ACAAACAAGTGATCGGTATGCTGGAGTTTCTGATTAACAATATATTTGTTGAATTTTGAGGTAGACATTTGCTAAAAATGGGAACAAAATGTAAAACATGCTAAACCGACAAACAAGTGATCGGTATGCTGGAGTTTCTGATTAACAATATATTTGTTGAATTTTGAGGTAGACATTTCAACAAATTGTTGGCATTCCCATGGGAACGAACTGTGCACGTCTCCTTGTCGATATCTTTTTGTTTTTCATATAGTTCGGAGTTCCTTCAGACACTTGTCAAAAACAAAAATTGAAAGAAGCCAAATCATTTAATTTCACATTCAGATATATTGATGATGTTGTTTCCATTAACAATCCAGATTTTGCGGATTGGCCTCCATTATTTTGTCTTCCAGAACTAGAAATTAAAGAAACAACAAACACGGCTTCCTCTGCGTCATTGTTAGACTAATACCTCGAATGTGACATAAGCGATTGTCTCAGTACCAAAATCTATGACAAACGATTTGAATTTTTAAGTTATCAATCCCCAATCTTAGCAGTTATATACAAACTTCACCTGCATATGGGATAAACATTTCTCTACTCATTTGGCATTCAAGAGCGTGTAGCTGCTACTCAGACTGTAAAACGTCACCAGTGTCTGAGCATAAAGTTGATGAACCAGGGTTATGTAAAAGAACGTCTCGTCCTTTGTCCTAAAAAGTTTATAAGAAGATACCAGGACTTTGTAGATAAGTATACCGTATCAACTTTACAAATAAAACATGATGGTCTTGAAGTAATTCTATGTGTTTATCATCATAATTACGTTCTTTTTCGTTGTCTTTATATATTATTAACCTTTACAGTTTAGTCCATTTTTGATAATATCCTTTTCGTTCGGCTCGGTATTTATACAACCCTTCTTTGTGTTATTGACTAAGGTCATGTTTTGTATTCTTGTCTTTAATGTTTGCTTATGTGCATTGTCTATAAATGTCTATAAGCCATTTTATTTTTCTTTGTTGACATTGTTGTTGGTTTTTATAGTGACTAAGATTGTAACACAATTATGACTGCTGTTTCCCAATGTTTACCCTTTATGTCTGTTATTTTATTCACACAATGTTGTCAATATAATGGAATTTTATGCGACAGTCATACAAGCAAGAGGTTTAGCTAGCTTTAAAACCAGATTTAATCCACCATTTTCTACACACGAAAATGCCTGCTCCAAGTGAGGAATATGACAGTTGGTTTTCCATTCATTTGATTTGTCTGAGCTTCGATGTTGCCATAGGATAAGGGACTTTCCGCTTTTAATATACTTTGGAGTTCGGTATTTAACTTATGCTTAGTTTTTTCTGTTACCTATTCTAACATCGGACTCGAACTTCTTTTAGACTGAGTTTTACTGTACGTTTTTCTGTATGTTAGTTTATTCTACATTGGCCAAAGGTATAGCAGAGGATTCATATCAAACAAAATATGTTTAATCTCACAACATTCTTATGCCTATCACATGTCAAGACCCTCTATCTTTTGTAATTCTTGAGTGTTTTTTTGTTGTTGTTAATTTGGTTAATTTGTATGTTTCGGAGTTTACTGTAGCGGCCATTTCGCTGAACAAGTATACATTACTGTTAAGGGACTAGCTAAAGCCCTCTTCCGGATGCGTGATTTTCTAGCTGCATTGAAGAACCATTGGTGGTTGTGGGCTGTTTTCTTTTCTTTGGTCTGGTTGTTGTCTCTTGAACACATTCCCCTGATCTATTCTCTACTTTTTTACCTAACTAATAAACGTAAGTTATTCGACAATTTAAAACTATGGAAATAGTTGTCGTAATCGATATTCACTATCCTTGGTTTCAAATATTTGACATTGAGCGTTCCTGAAGGTAAATCCAGAAAAGCGCTTCGGACGCATGAACTTTATAACGTGTTGTTCTCATTTTTTTAAAACATGTTATGAGCCAAAATACAAAAACAATGAAATTTGGTTAATTGGATATCAATGTATTTGCTTGTATTTGCTTGTTTACCAGTTATAAGCATCCGTTGCGAATATTTTATTTCTATTAACAGGATTTATACGGTTCCATATTTTTCATTTACAACTATACTTTTTTAGTATGAAATGCATTTTTTTAATACGAAATTAAGCATAATTAGAATGGTGAAATTTGTTCACTTGCAGTCATGTGCAGTTATATAAAACAATTGAGATTAAACACATTTTTTTTACTTTTTGATATGTTGCTCCATTCAAAATTATGTTTTTTTAATGATTTACTTAACATAATATATTCATCTAATTCAATTTTGAATACGTCAAGTGAACATGACTATTTTCCTTTGGTTAAAAATACTAGGGTGAGATGCTTATATAGATCATTGCTAATGGGAGGTATGAATTCTTTAATATTACTTTCTCGTGTAAAGCAGGAAAAGACTATAAAAGACGTGAATTTGATTTAGAATGAATGATTTTAAATTGTCCAGGCCTAGGGAAAAGTACGCTTGGATATCATTTCTTCCACAGAAGACTCATCCGTTGTGTAATCATATAAAAGAAAGTACGCAAAATCAAGAGCGAGGTTAAAGGGCATTTAAAAAAAACGGACAAAAAATTGCTAATAAAATAAACAGTTTATGAATTTGTATATATGTTTTTCAATTTTGTCTTTTTACATACAACTGTGTTTTTGTTTTTTATTTAGATTTGTTTCATTATGAAAAATGCACTAAGTTTATGTCCCTCACGACGAGTTTCAACTACAGAACAACTGTTGGTTAGTAGTAAGGAAACAACACAGACTAGCTGTAAGACGTCACCAAAAACTGAAAAGAAACCTCCAAAAAGGAAAAATAGAGATACAGTTCAAAAATCAAATACTGAAAAAGAAAGCTCAGTTAACAAACAAGAGTGTTCAAACATTGAAAATCTCAGCACAGAAAAGAATTTTTCACAAACCATGGCTTTACAACCTATGGTTTCATTGGCCGATTCCACATATTTTAACCAAGAAAATGTGATGCCTACAAATCAGAAGATATATGATGGTAACAACGTGACAGAGAATGTAAATTTGGATAAAGGGCAAGATAATGAAGTAGGGAGCAAAGGCATATCTTTGGAGGGAAACACAATTCCATTACATTCGAAAATGAAGTTAAGAAAAAAGAAAAAGAAAAGAAAGAAGAAAACACAAATGAAGGATGACACAATGACAAGTCTCAATGTTGACGATCGATAAATGACATAGCTATTGATGTTACATTGTGTATATTCTAACCAATTCTATTTGCTTACATGTTCAACTATATTTTCAATGGTAGACTGAAAACAGAAGATATAAAGTGATATCGCACGATTATTTTTATAATTTCTGACACCATTGTCTGAACCAATCAAGTGAATTGCTGCTCTACTTCTGGCTTTATGACAATAATTATATAACAAGTGTAGCCTTTAAAGTCATCAGTCAAAACAATTCTTTCAGGTCGATATAACCTCGTATCGACCTCATACAAAAGCTGTATTTGTATATTGATTATGCACTTTCTAAATTATACCTTAAAATATCTATGTATTGTATAAAAGAATATCAAGCTTACGAAGACTCATTGTCAATGCTTATTTGTCGATGGTCACTAATATAACATCAGTCAAAATCGCTCAAAACCAAATTTGAAAGCAAAAGGATGTATAAATACTTGAAGTGCTAAATAATCATATTGGTCTCAAATAAAACAACCAAAACCATTTTAGGTAATGTTGGCTCGAGCGAAACGCAGATTAAGTGTCATAATAATTTTTTAATTAATGTAAAAAAAATATAAATTCTGTACATTCGAAGCGCTTCTTTTTTCGGGGCATTAACCATCAGTTAGAACGCTCAAAATAAAAACAGCAATGCCAGGGCTTAATACATATATGACGTATATGATTGACTATAGCACAAACAGGAAATGCAGAATAACTAAAAAGATATAAGATCAACATGGCCTGCGAATTTTATTTTAATTCTAAAAGTAATTAACGGAAAATTTGTCAATTATAAAAACTTACCAATTTATATCATAACTTTAGTAAATGATATAAGATCAGTGAACATTGAATGTAGAAGTATAATCACCTTTTTCAAAATCAAATATACCACACGTAGACCGTACAGTGATCTATAGTTGTTAATTTCTGTGTCATTTGGTCTCTTGTCGAAAGTTGTCTCATTGGCAATAATACCACATCTTCTTTTTACACATCTATTTTCTTATATTTTGGTGTAAAATTGAAAACATGTTAAAGCAATACAGTCATATATTCCCATGCTACATGATTGTAACATATATATATATATATATTTTCATTATATTTAGCAACTACTGACTTAGGAATTTGTAACCCAGGAATATATTACCGTAGGAATAATTCGAGTCCACAAAAAGTATAATGTTCATTTATTCAAGTTATATAAGGCAAACAGGTTTGTGAAATCTAAATAATTGCTGTGCATCTGGTGTTTCGCTATATTAAAGTAAAAATGTGAAAATCAACAATAACAGGAAGGGATGTTGTGTATACGTCATTAAACTAGCATTCCAGCGATTCAATTCATTAAAACAAATGTGGATGTCGGTAAACTGTTCACCAACAGAATATGTGTACACACAATATCAAGATCGTAGTTGTTCCCAGCCAATTAAAGTTTAAAATTATTTTAACAATAAGAAGCAACCAGTCTGCAGACTTCAGGGAAAAAAATATATGAACAATCGGAAGATATGCATCAACAAATAAGACTAAAAGTGATTAAATGCAAGCATACCGTGTTTTGGTTAAAACTTGTAATCCAAATACTTCAAAATGACCGCGAATGCATGTAAAAGTACTGTTATTTTCGCACAATCATATCCTTTCCCTCTGTCTTTTGCAAATTGGTGTATGGAACGAGATTCATAGATTGTATGTTAATGTTTTTCCATTTTTTTTTTAATATGCAGCAAAATAAAAAAAATTGAACAGCTTTTTTTAAATTGATATTAATAAAATAATGATAACAAGACAAACAAAACAAATAAAATAGTTTTTCAGAAAATGATTGAAAATGTATAACTCAAGCTTCGAATAATATTTTATTAGTATGGTTACCGAAATCAACATTGTTGATGTTGTTGTCTTTATTATGAGAAAAATTACTATTCTGTTTTTTCCCGCTTTCTTCACACACTTTTGAGCGTTTTGTCAACAACTGCATAACACAAGCGTCGATTGGTTAGTTTATAAGCGAGAAAAAAATATACAGCAAAGTACTTCATTGTTACTTCTACAGAATTAAAACATTTATAAATTCTACTGATTTATGTTCTATTATGCACATTGTCAAAAGTAAAACTAGCAATCTTGTAATAACTATTCATATTATTATTTGTCTAGATTTTGCTAGTTGGTTGTGTCCGTTGCATCATCGATCTTGGTGTCCCTAACTGTGGTATCTTTTTCAGCCACTGTTTCATCTTCCGCAACATTATTTACTTTTGTCCCAGAGACTGTGTCTAATTGCTTATTTTCGATAGCGGCATTATTTTTGTTTTCAATTCCAATCGGTTTTACAGGTTGTAATTCAATTTTGTCTTCATGATTTTCCTGAATAGTTGTACTTTCTTTCTTTTGTAAATCAAATGCTCCTCTCGACTTCGACTTCTTGAGTTGTGATATTTTTTCTGGCTTATCCTTTTGTATTTTTTTGTTTCTGGATTTATTTGCTTCATCCCCAATTGATTGTTCCAGCATACTTTTCTCCTTTTCTCTAATGATTTCTTTTGTGTCGTCACCAGCTTTAAAAACCAGGGGTAATTTCTTCAATCTTATAACATTGAATACAGTCATCATAATGCAACATATCTGAAAAAATGATTAGAAATTTGATTTTCTGAGTTAAAGTTTCATTTCAAATTACCCCGTGAAGTCATAGTCACTATAATAAGTACCAAATGACACATTTCTTACATTTACAGAAACTGTTATAACATTGTTCATTCCTGTATTGATAACAATTTCATTCTCCAAACTTGAAATTTAGATGGCTTAATACAATTGCGAAACATTAATAAAATGAGGTGTGGATTAAACATGACAGTAACCAAACATCACAAAAACGCAATTGATGTATTTATATACATGTGATATGTATTCTTCACGTCATTTGTTATGTGTATTCCTCACATACTTTATTGTGTTTGCCTCTTGTTTCGGCACAGTATTGATCAGGGCTAAGACGAGTTCAGCAGTTGCATTGCGAAAAATAGTTAACATTGTCATGTAAATCTGATTTAATTTTAGTTTTATAATTGTGACGCTGTATGTTTGAATGCCAATTGAACAACTAATGAAACCAATTTGTTTCATCGAACAATTAAAAAAACTCGAAGCACTATTCGTTATCTACCCGAAGTGTTACCTGCTCATAATGATAAAATTGAGAATGGAAATGGGGAACATGTCAAAGAGACAACAACCCGGTCAAAGAACAGATAACAGCCGTAAAATGTGAGACCATTAAACGTGGATAATACCGTATTGTTGGTTAAAGACGGGGATATGTAAGTCATTTTTTTTAATTAGCATGCCATTCAAACTGTTTGAGTTGGTGCTAATGTAGAATCTGATATATACTGTAGCTTTTAGCTAAATACCAGTTTCATACAAAATTATTTATTATATTGAATATAGATATCGTTAGCGCATCAAAAATGTGTTGTTAATTGGAATAATTACTTGATATATCATGGTAAGTCCATATCAAACTACGAAATAATTTAGAGAACTTTTGATCACATCATCTGACTTAAATATTTTTGATAGTACCATACATACCTCTGTTAAAATGGTGATCGCCATGAAAACAAAGAAGATTATGCTGTATGTCTTTATTCTTTTTTCTACTGCATCATCACAAGACTGAAAGATATATTGTTATTATTTTATTTTTTCATATTACTTGATGTAGCGGACACTGATTCTATTTAGCAACTTGTTAAATGAAAGAAAGACATTAAAAGAGAGGCGAAAGACACCAGAGGGAAATTAAAATTCAAGTCGACTACAATGTGACAACGTCATGGCTAAAAAAGAATAAATGCCAACACACACACAAAAGTACACAAAACACAACACAGAAAACTAAAGACTAAGCAAAACGAACCCCACCAAAATTTAGGGGAGATCTCACGTAAATTGTGTTTTCATTCCGATTGAATTACTATTTGTTTTCAAAATGATATGTATCTTTTCGCTTAAAATTTAAACTCTATTATTGTCAAAATATTTTTGAACACATATTTGCATACGGTGTCATTCATTGAGAACCTCACACTTATAGCCGATTTTAAAATTATGTATCACTTTTAGTAAATAATTGTTTAATTAAAATAAGAATTCCAATTGAATATTATCATTATAATTAACATTATAGTAATTGTAAAGTTTCGTACGGTTCTTTTACTTTTCGTTGTGTCGTTCTGCTTCATTTGTTTGAAATTGTCCTGAATAAAGCTATTATTTTGTAAACAAAACAAGACACCGTTCACATCAATTATTAGAAAATTTCAATTATATTTATTATCATTCGGGAGATACTAATTTTCTTGGAGTTTATGCGTAAAGATGAACCATGAATTAAAACATTCATTGAATTACAAATGTTCTATAGGCTTGTAATTAGCAATAAATCAATTATCCACGAATACGCATTTTTCCCTCAATTCACGAAAATTGTTTCCCACAAAAATGAAAGAAAACAGTACTAACCTGTGAGTAAAAGTATCCATCTAGCATAGAAGATGTACAATGGCTATCTGTCCTAGTAGAGTACGGGAATACATCGGACTGAGATAAACAACACTGTACTGGGATTCGATTACCAGATCTATCCCCAGACGAGTACCACTTGGTGGAGGTAAACGATGATTCTATCAAGGATCCTACTCCACAGCATTCTGCCTATAAGTGCAAGGTTGAAAAATAATATCCATGATTGCACTGTTTCTTAAAATCACTCACAATATTTTAAATTGCGTACTTTTCCAAATATTTTGCAGTCCTTTCCAATACTTTAAACCAACTTGCGAGCAATTAATTTTAACGATTTTCGCGAGTGGTAAAATCACGCGAATATAAATCATTATAAAAATTTAAACTAGGATCTTTCCTTATCTAACATTGTTTTGTCTAATTGCATTACATAAAGTGAATTTGAAAATCGTGATGTGTAATCGGCGTATAGTGGGTTAGACAGTGCTACATGCAAATTGAAGTATCCGCGAAAAAAAGTTGGTTTACAGTACATTGTAAGATCATAGTTTCTAATGAGTTTTAATGAAGTTATTTAGACAGATTAAGGACAGAGACATACTTTTTATATAAAGCGATAACGAACTTCACTTTTATTTTTCTTTGGTTTTTTGCTGCCATGTTTAAAAATTTGGTACGGTTTTTATATACCCCCATAAAAGTATATATTTTTTTCGAAACAGAAAAACTATCTATGCCATGTAGATACATATAATTGTAAATTCTATAGTTATGTTTAATATTTTGTACAGCAAATTTCATTGAATAAAGAAAAGTAGTTCTTACAAATTGAATGACTAAAATACGCCAGATGTCTTTGTCACTCTTGTTTATTCATTATTAAACTATTGGTTTATTGACTAAAAACAAATATTTTCTTTACATCTTAAGATTTTTAAATCATCTTCCTAAGTCATACCTGTACAAAAAGCGTGTTCCAAGAGAGTGATAATGACGTGTCATATGTTGCTGAATTCTGAGAGTACTGATAGCCGCCATCTTGACTAACAAATTGTGCCCTTAGTTCATTTTCTAGCTCTGATGAAACCTTTAACCAAATTCAAATATTCAGTGATGATGACAGCAAAATTGTTTTGACGATTTTCTCCATAATCTTTTATTATATATCATTATAGTACATATCATCTCCAGATTTTCTTGTGTTGTTTGTGTTGCTCAGTCTTTAGTTTGTATTGCTGTATTTTTTAAATGTTGTAGACTGTATTGTTTGGTTGTTTGTCGTTTTGACTATAACTCGTGAGTTCAGATATGCTTTTAGTTTATTCCGTCTCTCCTTGTAATACATAAATAAAGATGTCGAATTAAAATTAATAACAAAAGGACATAGAAAACAAACAAAAACAAAAGTATGCTCTCCAAGTGTCGATTTCATTTGCAAACCTCAAAGTCGTAATCATGATTACATTTGAATTTTATATTTGGACTTCAGAAATGTTATCTATAAAATAGAAGACTCCAAATGGGAATTGTATACACTTATATGGCTAGAAAACATTTTTTTCGTTACATATTTAAATATTATGGTGATTACTGTTCACTTTAGTTTGTTTATATTTCAACTTCATATTGTTTGATTCGTGTGCAATTGAAGACTCTACAGTAGACAGAGCGGACGTCTGTTGTACAAAGTTATAAGCCTAGTATATTTAATTTATTTTGATGCTACTGTTGTTTACTGTTCCGTGCCCGAGATTATCACTTGCTAGCACTATTGTGTTGATATGTAATACAATTGATGTCTTTTTCTATAATTGTAATGCTATAGAATTATGATTTTTTTTTTTCTAAAAGCTTTGACTGTAATTAGTTAAGTTAACATATAAGCAAAGATCATTAATTTTGTTTCACTAACGTTACCAACACATAATAAAACTATGTAACACGTACGCCTCTTTCAAAGACATTATCAATACATACATCATCTTATTGGTCAACTTACTCCTGCCAAGAACTTTCCCCATAATCCTATTTGTACAATGTTGGCAACTACCACAGCACTCAATAACCCTGCAGTCTATAAATTAAAAATGGTATGCTTAACTTGATTTGAATGTGGGTTTTGTTATTATATTGTTGAGGTTTTGGCTTCATAAATGAATTAATTTTATACATTTCTATATTCTAGATATATTTGTGCTATTACCATAATTACTTTAGATTTTCATGGACTTTGTTTTCAGCTATATATATTGTCCCATTAAATTATACCAACTATAGTTTTCAACAGTTTATTAATTGTCTTTTTTTTTAATTTTTGGTTATTCAAAGTACATAAGGAGTGCAAGCAAACACACAATTGGAAAAAAACGCATACAACTTCTAGCAAGTAATTACATATTCTTTTTTTTTTTGATATCGTGAACAAAATCTCCAATTTTATAGATATCAAGTAAATACGAGAACACTTCATCAGATCATGATTTAAACCCGTAACTCTACTTGAAATTTGTTATCATTGACCTAGGGATAACTATCAGTGTTTAGCGTTTTATCGATATTTCAAATAAGCGTTTATCATGAACAGAACATTCATTTGCATAATAGATAAAGTACATTTTCTGTAAAGTTATCCTATACAAGATACGCCAATGCTTTAAACCTCAATGAATTATGATCCTGAAACAAAATAACGGTCAAACATTATTTCACAGCATTCAAATATTAAAAGTCTCACCACAATATTCAGAACTGATTTCCATTTTGGTAAAGCCATAACAAAGATGGAAAATATAACAACTGATATAGATACAGACGAAAAGGTGACAGTCACAATGGAAAATATGTTGACGGCCCTTGTGAAGGTATGGTCGGTAACATTGATTCTTGAGAATATGTCTTGTATATCCGAGTTTCCAAAAACTTTGTCGTATCTTATATTGATGGCTAGACAAAGCACCACAAGGCTACACATCTGTAAGATTGAAACAAATATTCATAGTAGTTATTTGACAAACAACAATAAAGACTTTGTAAAATTACATGCAACGTTACTTAGTTCTTTTTTAGACAATCTCGTTTAACAGCGTTTAGCTCACACACATATCATGAACAGTTGGAGAAATGTTTGCATTTGTCTAATTTCATTTATTCTTTACTCAGTAATTTTCAATTTGTAAACATTTTGTGGCTCATTTCCTTGGATTATACGTGGTCATGCAAGGCAAATATTGATTAAAGGATTGAACTCAAATATCTTCGGCACAACCCGATGCAAAACGCAATCTGATGTATAGTATTTGTTATTTTTAACTTTGTCAATCTAATGTTTATTCTGCTACATTTAACGTCAGAAAACGAACCGTAAGGGTTTAGTTAATTTATCTAAAGTTGTCTACTCTTTTGAAGGGGTAGAATTAGTATCTTACGAAATTATCTAATTAAAGACGTTATTATCTCGTAATGTGATTAAGCATTCGTAGATGATCATTCTGTTGTACGGTTGGTTATTGTCTAAAATGAGATATACCTTATATATTGTATAAGTCAATATCCCTTCCTAAAAATTCTAAGAATACTGAAAAATTGAAAAAACAAGAAACACCAATGATTCCATAATTAACATATACAGCTTGATAAGATAAAAAATATACTTACAAATATAGTTCCGAGAGATGTGAAGCGTACTAAGGTTAATTTAGACCTATAATGTAAGTAAAGTTTTATATTAAAAACATGATTTGTCGTAGATTAAAATCATTATACATGATTTTCATTAAATAGATATGGATGACTTTATACTAGAGTGTTATATATAACTCCGATTGTGGACTATTGACAATTGCTCAACATTAAGGAATATCTCACTCATGCAAAGCTCTTATTCATTGTCTGGCTATGGCTATATTGTTTGTCTATTTTTTGTTTCTAAGCTCGTATATTTGGATTTTTAAATACTTTTGCATCGAGCAACACTAATGAAATATAATTGTCAAAATGTGCTTCTGGTTCAGAAAAAAATACAGTCATTGTATTGATTGATATTTTATGTTTATTTTTTATTATTTGTTTATCTGCTCTTGGGGAAGGTGGTCAATTTTGTTAGGTCATTTTTACTAGAGGGTACATATCTGAATCACTAAGACATAAACTACAAAAAATGTAAAATAAAAAAAATACCAAAACTCCGTGGAAAATTTAAATCAGAAAGTGTCTAATCAAATGGCAAAATCAAAATCTCAAACACATTAAACGAATGGACAACAACTGTCATCTTCCTGACTTGGAACAGGCATTTTCTTTAGTAGAAAAGGGTGGATTGAACCTTGTTTCAAAGGTATCTAAACCTCTCACTTGCATGACAGTCGCATAAAATGCCATTATATTAACAACAATATGTGAACAAAACAAACAGACAAGATAGGTAAAATTGGCATTAAAAGCATAAGAGCGCCTGTGTAAATGAGCTTCTGCATCTTTGTTGAATTCATCGCTAATTTATATTAACAAAAAATTAGCAGATGACATGTATTAAAAACTGAGTATACATCAAATATCTAAATAGATTATGTTGATACTTGCTCACACTTTCTTTTTAGTAATAACAAAATAATAATGGTACGAAATTATATCTATGCTTCTGTTTTACAGAGTTAAATATATAAATAATACGCGTTATTCGTCATGTACAACTATAATTAACCATATACCTAAAAAAAAAATAAAATAGCATTTACTTATTTGTTCAATTACCTTTTCCAGTTACTTAAAAAGAAAGATTTCATTCCTCTGAAAATTTTTCTAAATATTACAGACTTTGTATTCATTTCATCTCCTGTTGAGCTGTCTGGTTTTTCCGTCGACAGTATATCTGAATATTCCTTGTTCACAAACAGGCCACCGATGATCTAAGGCAAACAATATATATGCAACTTTGTAGAATGATTCACTGAGATGCATCAATTGAAAATTTAAAAGTACCCCTCGAAATATATAACCAGGTGCGCCGATTAAGTAATCACATATTTTTTTTAATACTTCATAATAGAAATGAATCATCAGAAACATTACAAATAAGTTGTGGGTAAATATATATATAAAGTTGCTAATGATATATCCTTGATGTATTTTTTTCAATATCAATTTTTATTTTTTTCTTTATTTACTTATGGTTTGTATGTTGTTTTTTTCTGTTTATTTGATATATTTTTTTTACTTTTACATATGCTTCGAATATATCAACTTACATAGTTTGACACCCCAAAAACAAACAAAAAATATATTACATTATATTTATATACCTCTAAAACAATTTGCAGCAACAAGATCGTAAGAAACCATCCAACAAACATCTCAGTCTTTTCCAATATTACTTCTGCACATGTCTTAAAGTAAAGACTTATATATGTTCAAAACGTACTTGTACCATAACAGTATTTATACCAACTAATTTTATCTATTGCTTTATTTTGAATACAACTGTTTTTTATAAAATGTACAAATTAAACTTAAATTTCTTGAGGAATTTTTTTTTAACGTTTAAACATATTTTTAAATATTCTGTTACTAGAGTGGTAGCAGCAGTTTTATTTTTTTCATTTTTGAGAAAACATTTCAAACTGAAAGCTATAGCTTCCTGTAGTAGCTAGAGAATTATATAACTATTCGTTTTCTTGATCAGGTTAATTGTATATTTATTAGTTATCAGGTTTTTTACTTCTACGATATACAGATAGACATGCAATGGTTAAGATTGTTTATACATTCTTTTCTTCTCACAGAAAGATATATTATAACTGTACATTTTTAACTACGATGTATGTGTCAATCGACTTTGTTGTTTGTCTTTGCAAGTCATTTTTGTAAGAGTAGATAATTATTAAGGCCGGTTATGTATTCCAATATTGAATTTTTTTTACATTTTGGGTTGATAAAATAGATGGGTTTTTGAATTAACATGTTTTGTGCGTGTGGATACAGAAGCGTATGCAATATTTTATTCCGGATTTTTGTTTTATCATTTTTGGTCAAACGACACATAACGTTAGCTATCTCAAATTTATGTTTATTCATGCTGATGTATTAAAATCTATGACTGTACAATTACGTCCTGTTTTTGACAAGCTTACTCATAACCAATGTGGTTACACTTGACCGCGACCTTTCTGTTAAATGTGTAGCAATAAGGTTATAGTAAACAGATTTTAAGCAACTGATTTATTATCAAGTGTTTAACAGGCTTACATCTGTTTTGTACCCACCACAGCCACCAAAATAATTGAAAATTTCACTATATGAATTTGTGTTTGGATCTTCTTTGTCTAGTATTCTGGGATGAGCATTTTTACAACAGAACTGTATTCCCTGGGTCGTATGTGTTTCGGAGTAATAATTGACACCACAACACTGCAGCTGAAAACATATTCATAGAACATAATATCATGTAGTCATGCCTTATTCTGTGACGTCCATTGTTATTGATTTCATATATGTTTGCATTTGAACAGGATTAGCCACAACCCTTACTATTACTTAATATACAGTATATGTCACTGCATTTTATCTTAGCAATTGATATGTATTCAATTGATGTTTTATTGATAATTGGTACGTTCGTAGTTTAATTTTAGTCTTCATGTATTGAAACATCTTCAAACGCCTTTGAAAATTACCAAAATTTCGATGATGTTATCTTTTTTTTCGGTTTTATCCGTCATATGACAAATAAGAAATAATCTTGTCTTTCAATTTGTCTTTGCATTAGCCTAAATCGTAGAGATCATCTGCCATACAATTTGCAACTTATTCTGATAATCTTTCCTTTATATTTATGTTCCATCTGAAGTACAAAATGTATACGCATGTTTCTTGATAGATAAAAAAAAAAGCAACACGTATCTAGTCTCACGTACATTATCATTGATCTCACAAATTTTAAATGTCAGTACACAAGAATATCTAAAAAAAAAAGGTTCATAATAACCATGTTTATGTGTAATATGTCTTACAGTCATAATCATGTCATTCCACTTTCCCGTGATTTCATTTCCGTTGCCTCCATAAAAATATCCTAATTGTTGTAACCATAACTGAAATTTCATACCATCGTTGATCTGCAAAGGAAGTTATGTTACGTTTTAAGGACAAATTTTTGCAGAATATTTCTATATTAAATAGAATATATACCGAAAGGTTTACTGTTTGTTCCACCATTTTGGTATGGTTGAAATATTTGTTAACCAAAATTGTTAGACTTGAAATGCCGTTTTTACGCATTGAAATTTATAACGTGATGTTTTCATTTATCAATAAAACTTTATTATAAGGATGACAGATATCGCTGTTACTATTTTGATAGGGCAACAATGGTTGTTACAAATCCTACACTTTCTTGACAAAACGAATAGCTGATTTTTTTATTAGTTTGCTGTATCCATAAATCCTAGTAAAACCATCAAATGGAGCAAATATACACGACAAAAGGTTGTATGTCATATTCAAATATTCTAAATCACAAGTACATGGTATAATAATACTGATATTATAAGTCAAAAGCAGTAGGATCCTTATTTGAACTAAAATGTGAAGCACATTGTTCAAGATAAAAAACATCAAGCTCAGAAGGGTAAATGTTAGAAAGCAAAATAAAATTATTATTCGAGCAATCTGTTCATATCATTTAGGTCACTAATATATTTTAATGCCAGTTAAACACTCATTCAGGCAAAATTGACCTAAGATAGATTTGAATTTTATGTTCAGGACGTATTGCCGCAACCTACATTTCGAAATATGCCATAATGTGTCAATGTTTATATTGAAATCATAGACTCCAAAAATTGGGTCTTAATATAAAGCATGCTAAAATCGTACATGAATTACGGAACATATAAACATAGACAAAAGAAGATATTTTGCACTAATAGTACAAATTCAATGTGAAATTTGTATTGTTGTTTTTTAGTTGTAATATACTCAATCATAGGGTCAAGTATGGCTTTCCGTAAATCTACTTTTTACTAAACAATAAAAAGATAGAAATACTATTGCTTACCTCTTCAATAAAAACTATCCATAATACAACTGCAATAATTCTTGGTATATGCAAAGCAAAAGACAGAACAGAGCTCTAGAATGAAAGGTTTCAACATGTTCAATGAAGTGAGAAAATATGGTTAAAGTGATGTAATTCAAAGGAATGATGACTTATTTCGCAAAGACAAAAATTAAAATGTCTAACTTAACATCTCACGGTATATTTCAGACTAAACAAGAATGAAACACACACTATGCAGATCGTTAATTTTGTTTACATCTTCAGATAATTTACAATTAAACTAATTAATTACTATTACAACAAATGAAAGTCATCGAGTGAGTATTATGTCCTACATCACATATTTTCAAATTATGTTAATTTGAATATAAAGTTGTTCGCGCCAGACCTTTAGTATTGTGCTGAGAATCTGATAGTTGTAAAAATAAAATCGATTCTTTAAGAGCTTGAATTTTGAATAAAAAGGTATTTTTAATGACAAACAGAAATCATTTTCGGGATATAAAACACAACAGACAGGAAAAAAATAACTGAAGAACTATGTTCTATGTTTCTTTTTTTTTTTTGGGGTAGACCTTAACTTTGAAAATCTGTCATTCCTAATTTGCTGCCAAGTGCACATAAATTGAGTACAAAGCAGGGAAAAACATAATAATATAAACATGCCTTTGAAAACAAATTTGAGACCTCAGAAATATCGTGCATGTATTAGAGTTGTACAGGGAAATAAATTAATGCACCTGGGTCTCCAATATATATCTATCTGTATTTTTATTAGAATTTTTTGTTTGAATGCATATTGCAAGAGAATTGGATTTTTCTTCTGTTGAAACACCAACCAACAAAAGCGAAAAAGACAGAATTTTTATGCATTACAATTGTTAAAACGAGGTTTAAAATGGTGTCAACATTATCCGGTGGTATTTTACCGGAGAGGTATATTCTATATAAGTATTCCAAAACGTACAAATTTTTGTAGGTTTTATATGGAGTTGTGTGACATTTTTTACAGTTAGAAATTTGAAGCCATCAATCGTACGATTTGTCAATCATTATCAAATATCTTTTTGTTTGTTATCTACGTACCGTAATAAGAAAGCGTTGCGATTTTCTCCAGGATCCAACTAAGCCAAGAACTGCCAACAACAAAGTACATATTCCAATGACAACCGATGCTGCAGCTAGACCCACTAGTATATCATAGAAATAGTAATGGTAAAACTGCATCTTATAAAATATATGTCTAAGAGAGCCATCACTAATAAAAACGTCTCCTATTAGAGTTAATCCTAGTCCAAGAAGCCCAAGACCTGCTACCTAAAATATATGAACTAAGTTTAGGTTCAATGTTGGGGACAAGGTTTATCGCCAGCAAACTAATGTATCCTCGCCAAATTCTGTATGTGCCTGTCCCAAGTCATGAGCCTGTAATTCAGTGGTTTTCGTTTGTTGCTTTGTATCATATTTATTTTTCGTTCATTGTTTTGTACATAAATCTGGCCGTTCTCTTTTTTTTTTTTTTATTTTAAACTGTTTTACATTTGTCATTTCGGGGAATTATAGTTAGATATGCAATATTGTTTTTGCTCATTGGTAGAGGCTGTATGGCCATGTTGTCTCTGGTGGAGAGTTATTTCATTGGCAAGTATACATTATCTTTTTTATTTTTGTATTATATTATTGAGCGTAGAACTAAAGTGGAATTTGCTTTTCTTTTCTATTTCCTTTTTCTTTTTGTATCTGTTGCAGCATTAAATGGCATACTAAGGTGTATTAAGTTTCAGATTTGTGCGTATCAGTAGATACTTCTTATAGATTTATTTAAAGACCGAGGCGAAATTTATAATTAACATTGAAGCAATTTGATGCCACATCACATTGTGAAAGACTTACAATTCTATAATAACGCCAGCAAGATATAAACGTGATGAAAAAATACGTAATCAAGTAAGCAAAATTGTGATGTCATTTACATTTCTACTACGAATGATGAATATTATGGGAAAGTCGCAAAGTTATTGGAGCATTCCTGGTAAAGGTAAATCCAGAAAAGGACCTCAGGCGCATGACATTTATCATGTGTTTTTTTCTTTTTTTACAGCACTGGGTCTGTACCTCTGTTGGTGGACTTTCAGATCCCGAGTGTATCATCAGCTAAAAAATCAGTATTTCGATTTTGACATCATTTATAACAAACCTTTCTAAAATTGTCGGTTTATAGAAAGTAGGGGCTTTAACTCCTTAAAGCAAAGTTGGCCTTAAATCGATTTTTGTTTATGCCCTTTTTGGCTATATCGCTCTTTAACTGTTTCGGTTCTTATTCATCCTTGGCTTTCAATATTCGGCTTTGAGCGTTCCCGATGAAGGTCAATCTAAATAAGCGCTTCAGACGCAAAAAATTTATAACGTGTTGATTTCATTGTTTGATGACAGCTAGTTCATATATACCATTACTTACAAGTGAGCTTATTTTAAGTATGACCGATGCAAATACAACTTTTGACCTGGAACGAAAAATAGTTTAATAATATAACGGTACTAATGTTACTGCACCAAATGCGCATTTCGACAATTAATGTTTCTTCAATGGTGTTATCAAATACTAAGTTAAATTTTCATTAACGTTAACAGCCTTTATTCTTAATCTCAATTTTGTCCAACTTGTCGAATAAAACCTCAGAGTTTTGAAAGGTTTTTGATTAGCATTATACGTTTTGTCGTCTTTTGCTAAAAAAGTATGAAAATGTTAATATTTTTTTACAAATAAGATATGACACCGATAGTTACTTATAAAATGTTATATCTAATAAAATATCCTGTTATTCTACACTAACTAGATTACTATAATTAACTGACAAATGCATTGCCCGATTGAAACAATGCTATATTTTACCTGCTCCAATTATCCTTTATGAAGATCATCAAACTTCGTAATATACCATGTTTTAAACTCAACAATAGGTAATACTTATTCTCTGAAATGCTTGGTTTCTTTTCTTTAAATTCTAGTTTACGGAATATGTATTCGGCTGCAACTATTGAACATATCTATAATAGTAATATTACAATAACTAAAAACATCTTATCTGATTAAGTTATTTCACCACATCGTTGATATCACATTATTCAATCTCACTAAGGACATGTCATTTAATCTCAAATTGAAATATCTTACAACTTATATGAACACAACGATAACTTAAATGTAACTTTATCTTAGACTTCTATAAACAGTTAACTTTATAGAATCGGACAAAAAGTTTGGATTAAAAGAAAGACTACCTTGAATGTAAATCTAGAAAAGCGCTTTGAATGCATGGAACTTATAGCGTGTTGTTTTTCATTATTTGATATTACTCTCCTGTGTTTATTTTGTTCTTTCCTATATTTGTCCGTCTGGTTTATGTAATTAATAAGTTATTATATGTTTTTGTCTTTTGGTTTTTTATAATTGTTATTAAGAATGCAATGGATACCAAAGTGATATTAAACTCTTAAGTCGAAAGCGAACTGATAATAAACACTTCAAAGATACCGGTAATAAAATGTTGTACGCAAAACGTGCGTTTCGTTTACAAGACTCATCAGTGACGCTCGAATTAAAAGTGTTAAAAAGGCAAAATAAAATGGCGAAAGTGAGGAGCATTGAGGACCCAAAATTCCGAAAGGTTTTGCCATACCTAGGTAATCTATTAATTGCTATGACAAGAAAAGAAAAACGATCAAAGACAAATGACAGTATATAAAACACAACATGGAAAACTAAAAACTAAACAACACGAACTTCACCAAATAGGCAATACAATACAACTAACAAAAGAGGTAGAGGATACCAAGGGAATATTAAAAACTTTAAACTGACAACGCCATGTCAAAAAAATGAAAACCACTAAACAACAAACAATTTGAAAAAAAAACACTGCATAGAAAACAAAACAAATTAGAAACACGAGCCCCACTATCACTGAGTGTGATCTAAGGTGGGCTGGAAGAGTAAACGTGCTCCGTTAGAATTGAACTTGTAAAATACTTTTATCATTGCTTAAGATTTTATCGCTACGTAAATCATTTTAAATGGTCACTTAAAAATTGCATTTTTAAAAGCTGTACATTGTATTGATAAATACCTGACAAACAATACACGTCACACTGATCCCGATGTATATTTCTAAATAGCTGCCTAATTCTTGGACGTATAAACTCCAGCAGTAGTTTCTTTCTGGGCTGGTATTTTGACATCCAAGCTACAAAATCAAAGAAAATCTCCTTTCAGGTAAGTTGTGTGTTCATTGGATATAGTTTTTCTATTACAAAATGTAATTAGTTTATAAATCATTCGATTTATGCATGTTATGAGAACATAAAGATTTATCCTGATAATTCGTTTTTTTAAATTTTCGTGGGATCATGTTAAGGAAGCTTATAATAAACGTACTGTGCTTTTTAGCTAAATGATCAAGAAAATATATCCAACATGAACGTTTAAAAAGCTAAATTCCAAAACATAGCACATACACACTAATACCAGAAATAAAAAAATGATTACAATTAATGTAGAAAAAAATTAAAAAGTGATCGATTTTTGTTGAAGCAAAAGACTGAGCAATAACTATCTTTTTTTTTTTAGGTTTCAAAAGTTTTTTTGTTTTCTGTTAGGTCAAGATCAAAAGCTTTTAGTTTCACAATATGAGATAATTAAATTAAAGCATTTATTTTCACCACAAAATCTACTTGTTAACGTGTCCCATCAAACAGCAAATTCAATGTCTCACCTCTTGTAAGAACTCTGGGAACGTTTCCAGACGATTCCAGTATGATAGGTGTGAATTACCAGATGATAAAGATAGCTCGTATGCTGCTGTGTAATTAATTAATGTGTTGTTGAGGTCTGTTTTCTGTTAAATAAAAAGAGGTAGTTATATTGTAATCTAATCAAAATTAGTGCATGTCTTTCTTATAAGACATCCGGGAATATACATGAACACAATGCACATGTAAGTACATTTCAAAATGAAGATAACATTATTGACACTATTATTGATTGATAACAGCATTTTCTATTTCATTTATCACAAATTAACATAGACAACGACTATTTCAATCGTTTTAATATGACCGTGTTTTTGTTGAATAAGATCAATTGTTGTGCGTTCCGATTTGTTTTATAATTTTCTTTTCTTTTTTTTTTCTTGCGTAATTTGAGTTTGCTCAAAATCAAAAACAATGAAAACTTAATTATGTTTATGTCTGCAAATGGCTTTGCTAGTCTATTAATATTTATAACATTTTCTTTGCTTGCATATCTTCTCTTGTTTTATTAACGATATCTATTGTGTGCGAAAGCACTTCTTTTTTTTAAATATTCAAATTTCATACTGTAAATTCAGAAATTATTGCGAGGTTTTTATTAATGCGAATAATGCGACTTGGTGAGCATCGCAATAATAAGAACTCGCATTTTGATATCTGATCCATATATTTAAATGCAAATTTTCCTCAATTCGTAATAATTAATCTCGCATTTTTGTCCTTTCTTCAAAAATCGCAATGATAAATGTACGCAATAATTTCTGAATTTACAAATTCAAAAAGTTATTAATTTTCAGATTTCCTTTCTATTTCTATAACTGATTAAAATGCAAAACTTACCTTGTGATAAATTATCGAAAGAAGTACTATATATATAATATATATAACAATCAGGAAGGAACTCAAGATGACGGCCTAAAACAAATAAATGAATTGCTATTCATAAAAAAAAAAATAACTCAACTAAATATTTCTTGCATTTTATGTCAAAGAGGACCGTTTAATCAGTTAAAACGTTATCGCTAAAAGAATGAAAAACACATCCAAGATTATGTCCTTTTGATCATGTTTAAACCCGCTGCATTTGTATGCACCTTTCCTAAGTCGGAAGCCTGTTCAGTGTTTGTCGTTTGTTGATGTGATTCATAAGTGTTTCTCGTATCTCATTTTATATATATATTAAACCGTTGGTTTTTATGTTTGCATTGTTTTACACTAGTCATTTTGGGGCCCTTTACAGCTTGTTGTTAGGTGTGAGCCAAGACTCCATGTTCAAGGCCGTACTTTGACCTATAATTGTTTACTTTTTACACATTGTGACTTGGATGGAGAGTTGTCTCATTGGCACTCATACCACATCTTATTTCTATTAACATAAACAAACAACAATAAATGGAAAGCAAAATTCAATGTGCATTGAATACAAGCTATCATCATCCATTTCTGACAATTTTTAAATTGTAATCGACCCTTGAGTTATGATATCTCATTTGGCAATACATGTTTGAATATATTATACTTGGTTCTTTTTATCTTTGAACATATGCCGTTCAATATATCGTATTGTAGATAGGGACAGTAGAGCGATGAATAAAGTAACATCATGACTATTTACAGAGATCGTTTTTTTGGGATTCTTTTTGGATTTATTTTTAACATTTCAATTAACCAACTATCCATTAACATTGAACAGTGTATTATCATTAACGCCAAAATGGTTCCAAGTTATTAAATAAAAATAATTAAGAGTTCTGGGATAAAATAAATCCTGTCATTCCCGGTGTATTGAAATTTATTTACGAAGACGACATCTGATCAAAACTTAATGGACCTTATTATAGCTTCAGTCCTTATACTTGTTTGGCCTCAGTGTCAGGAATCGTTTGTAATACATCATACACATAACTTATATTGTTCCTATTTACTTGTTAAATATCAGCCAATCCATGTAGAACCGGTACAATGTACCAATTAGTTAATTGTGTTGCGTCCTCGCGAATATAAACATCGAAATTTGTTTTTTAAAGAATTGAAAAATTTGTATCTTTTTCTAGGCTAAAAAAATATACTTTACTTCTAAATATTATTTTTTTATATATGTATTTGCCATGAGAGTAAATATACAGTACTATTCGTTTTGTGTCAATTGAATATAAAAGTGGTAGAAAATCCACAACTTATTCAAACATGAACAGCTTTTAAAATATAAATAACAAAAATGTATAGTTGAAGCTAGGCAAAAAAATCAGCGCTTTCCTTGGGGGAGAATTATTCTTTTATTTAAAGCAGTTTTAAAATTTTAAGGGGAGGAATAACTCCCAAATTTCTAGAATTAACATATTCATAATGTTACGATCTCTGCATTCATAGCTCGGATGAATTTTTCAAAATGCAAAATATATATATATATTACAAGGTAAAATGAAACGGTTAATAGCATCTTCGAATTTTTACAGGTAAGTTTTAAACTTTAAATGCCCGTCGTTTTGAGTTGGCCCTCTGCCACATGAAATTTGCGACTCACTAAAAGTGCATATGACCTTATTTCGCTGCGAAATTTGGCTAACATTATTCAAGGTCAACTGTTACAGTTTTGCGCATATAAGGACTAAGTTTGAAGATTTAATTCATCACAACGTTAAAACGCTGCGTTTCCAAGGTAAGACCCTGCTATTCGAAATATCATCATCGGCCGTCTCCAGGCCGGAGTGTCCCAAAGTGAAGTAGCAAGAACTGAAAATGTTAACCAGAGCACAAGTTCGCGACTTTGGAACAGATCCTAGCAGACTGGCTGTACGAAGGACCGCCCGAGGAGTAGACCTCGCCTAACCACTCCTGGACAAGATCGCTACATCTGGATTTTTCATCTACGGGTTCAAACCGTTGCAGTTGGGATACCAGGATTGAGAAGAACCAGCTCACAAACAGTCCGCTATCAACTGCGTCAACATGACATTAGACCCAGGATACCGTATTTTGGATCCGTTTTGAGGCCGTTACACAGACGGATTAGAGTCCGATGGTGCAACAGATTGAGGGGCTGGACAAAACGGAATTGGTACATGTTCCGGGTAATTTAATAGCTCAAAGGTACAGAGACGAAATTTTCAAACCTCACCTTATGCATGTTATTTACCGACAGCGGGAGTTATTCCAGCAGGACAATGCTAGGCCTCACACAGCGCGTTTAACAATGGACTATCTTGAGCAGAACAACATCAATGTGCTACCTTGGCCTTCCAAATCACCGGACTTTAACCATATTGAGCATCTATGGGACCAACTAGATAAATGTGTGCGCCAGTGTCAACTCCCGCCTCAGACCCTTGATCAGCTCCGATAAATGTTGCAACAGGAATGACGAGCAATTCCACGCAACAACATTAGAACATTGATAGCATCCATGCCGAGGAGATGCATTGCAGTCTTAGCGGCGAGAGGTGGTCATACACGGTACTAACTTTAATGGCACCGGAAGTAACTCTTATTGTGAAAAAATTACTTTTATTCATCAATCTCAAAGGAATTGACTGTCTTCTTCTCAATCAAACACGTTTTGAGTGAATACCTCTATTAGTAATTGTAAAATTTCCATTAAAAATGCATGTATTAAAATTCTTAAAAATCCATTATGTGTTTCTTTTTTTGCAGAGTATACATTTGTATATATAATTCTTAGTAATTAGATATTTCGCAAATACCAAAACGATAGATTTGTGTGTAACAAAAGTAATCAGGAACTATGCTTGGTCTTTTTACTCACCACAGCTAACATTCGCTTTTCCCTTCTAAAAGCTCCATACAATCCAAAAATGCCGGTTATAAGTTCTACCACAAATACTCCAATGAGAGAAAATACAATTGATTTGACTGTTGATCCTAATGGCATCCCGGCTATAACTTCCAAGTCAATAATTTTAATAACCTTTTCGTCTAAAATATCGTCTTTTACTTTGATATATATTGACATGAATATGAAACCAAAGGTCAGTGTCTGTAATGAATAAGTTTTAAAAACCAGTAATTTATTTAAAAAAATCATATTTCTGACATTTACTTTTAACTGATGGTGCTCGAAAAAAAAATTTACTTGACATGCGCAACACGAATGGTGTTACTAGTGGAGTATGACATGCTTTGATCCTTCATAGCAAGTGAGATCCACCCGGCATTTTTATGGTTAATTTGATAAGCCTTTAGTTCAATGTGTACGGTTGTGTTTATTATTCCACTGAATTTAAATATTGATAGCAAAATCAACATTTGATTGGATGAGACTGTTCTACTCGACATTGTACAAAACTGATAATGAGTATCATTTTCCCCACTTAACATCGCGACTACCTCGTGCGAAGTTACGCGCGGTCAACTAACTTAACGTTTTGAACGTCTTTTAAGGATGTTCGCTACTCTGTTTAAAAAACAAGCTTTTAAAAAGACCGAAATAAATTGATAGTATATAAATAAAGGAACTAAAAAAGCAGAAAAAATGAAGGGTCCGTGTGCTTGTTTTCAAGATAATAGCCATTGAAAATTTGGCGGGAAATAATTCTCTCTAGATTTTTCATACACTATACATTGGCACCTTCTTTCTTTCAAAAATTATGATTTGATTTTGATTTTTGGTGTTTTGACGCCACTTTTTAGCACCGCTTTTGGGCTATTCCGTGGCGGACAGTTTTTATTGGTGGAGGAAGCAGGAGTGCCCGGAAAAAAACACCGACCTTCGATAGGGAAACTAACAATCCTAGTCAATTAAGATTGGAGTCGAGTGCACTCGCACGAGCGGTGTTCGAACTCACAACCTCAGTGTTGACTGGCTAGTGATTACAGTAGTAACTACTTAGACCACTCGGCCACCGAGGCCCCTAAAAAATTATGAAAAAATAACAAGAATTTTAAAGATTTTAAAAGATGACATTTTGAACTATATGTTATCAAATTATGGAAAGAAAATTAGGGGTTAGCGGGCAAAATTTTTAAAGGCACCACATGGATAAAACCGGAGGATTCCGAATATCTTAAAAGTGTTGGTTCTAATAAGCTTAGAGCAGTAATGGTGAATTTTCTGATACACAAATATATGATACAAATTTGACAGATCATTACATTCAGATTTCATCAAATCAAGAATTAAATGTAGGTAGTATAGTTCTTTTGAACATTAATAGTTTGGAAAATCGTGTTGTTTTAATGAATTATCTTGCCATAAACGTTTACCTAGGTTCACAGTACATGTGTTGTAAAAATCATTTAACAAATGCACTAATTGTTTGACATTTAAAGAATACAATTGAGAACACAACTGGAAGATAATATCAATATATTGTACTGCATATCTTGAATAGAAATTAACAAATGGGTTCATTAAATAGTCCGATAATGTCATTGTTAATTAATAAACAAAACAAAATTAAGACAATTACGACGTACATCAATATGTACGTTAAGTAAGTTTGAAATTGCGTATGAAAAGGGGGAATAAGTTTGATCAACTGCATCAACATTTGGATAAATAAACTGACAAAGTCATGAAAATTAAGAGAGATTTTCTATAAAAAACATAAATTATAACAATAATGATATATGAGCATACACATCAAATACATGGGAAAGAGCATCTGTATAAAGATGAGACGTATAAGGAGTATTAATGCGTGTGCGACATTTATCCAACAGAAACATAATGACATGAATGTAAGCAACTATAGGTCACCGTACGGCCTTCAACAATTACCTTTGTACTTCAATACGGCTTGTTTTTCAATAATTATTTAAAAGTTTCTTTAAAATATAAAGATTTTGCATATAAAAGTAATATAACTAATGATTCCTGAATGCAACCTGCATTAATTTGTATTCCTATTTTTCTTTCCTATGTAAAACACAGTTCTTTGCAATGAAATTAAATAATTAGTTCAGTATATAAATGATAACATTATGTACATTTAATAAATAAAACTCGTGAAAGTTACCAGGCTTATATTTCGTCAGACGCGTGTTTCGTCTTGGTTTCATCAGTGTCGGTGACGCTCGAAAAAAAATACGTTAAAAGGTCAGACAAGTACGAATTAAAAGTGCATTGAGGACCCAAAATTCTAAAAGTTAACTTACCCTTGTTATCAAAGAGGCGGTCAGAATAATATTTGCTGAAACAGTGATACGACTTCTATTTATTTTCGCCATTTTAAAAATTATTTGTTGATAGTAACAGTTGTACGGTTGTCAATTTAAATATCTAAAGACATTTTCGTGGTAAGTGCTCTTAACAATAAAACTATTTTTAAACGATACATTTAAAGAGATGATATGTAAGGCTAGTGTGGTGTGCAATAACCTTCCTAGTTCGTGGTAGTTCATTGTCCATGTTAACAAAAGAAACAATACACTCTTGTAATAATTTCCACGAATCTTTAACTTAATAACCTGTAAATATTGTACGACAAGCACTTCATTAGGGGGAATCAGTTATAAAACTTATAAACTATACATTTCAAAAAATAGATACTGCAGATAATATATAAAGACAACAGTAGTATACCGCTGTTCAAAAGTCTCAAATCGATTACGAGAGAACAAATCCGGGTTACAATCTACAACCGAGGGAAACACATCAACTATAGGAGGAAACAACGGAACAATAGAAACACTGATGTGCAACACAAACAACGCAACTACATGTATACTTATAAATCTAGTGACAACTGTACATAATATTTTTCTATCATATGTATATAAATATTGGCAACCTTTACGTGGTGAAGTTGTGTACTCGAACTATTGGATGAGGAAATACGTAGTTACATCAGATCAGGAATAGCTAAATAAGAAAAAAAAACATGCTTATTTGCTCCCAGGATTCACATCGATACTATGACAATTTGTTTATATGCACATCATTCAATTACTTACGACATTTTTACTAAACATCAACTTAGATGTCTTATATCTGTCAATCTATTTGTATTAGTCCATTTTCATACACAAAAATATGTTGTTTATCTTATACATGTATAAATTAAGCCAGATCCTTTAATTTCACATTTCGATATATTGATGATGTTCTTTCCATTAACAGTCCAAACTTTTCTGATTGGGTTCCATTAATATACCCCCCAAGAACTGGAAATTAAAGAAACAACAGACACGACTTCCTCCGACTCATTTTAAGACTTATACCTCGAATTTGACATACACGAGGATCGCAGTACCAGAACTTATGACAAACGAGACGATTTTAATTTTGACATTATCAATTTCCCCGACCTTAGTAACAATATACCAACTCATTCGGTATTCAAGAGCTTGCAGCTGCTACTCAGACTTTGTAAAACGTTACAAGTGTCTGAGTAAAAAGTTGATGAACCAGGGGTATGTCAAAGAACGTCTCTTCCTTTTTCTAAAAAAAAGTTCGGAAGATACCAAGACCTTGTTGATAAATATTCCGTATCAACTTGACAAATAATACACGATGGTCTTGATAGATTCTTGGTACTGACGTTGTTTATCACCTTAATAAAGTGTCTATTTTAGTGATATCAATTTGACATGGCTCTGTACTTATACATCCTGTCATTGTGTTATTGTGCTATGGTAATTTTTTTGTATTCTTGTCTTTCATTTGTGCTTTGTCTATATGCCTTTTTGTGTTTCTTTTTTACATATTTGTTTGTTTTTATAGTGATTAAGATTATAACACAATGTTGACTGCTGTATCCCTATTTTTGACATTTTTACCTATTATGTCTGTTTGTTTTGTTCACACATCGTTGTCAATATAATGCATTTTTATGCGACTGCCATACAAGTGAGAGGTTTAGATAGCTATAAAACCAGGTTTAATCCACCATTTTCTACATAAAAAAATGCCAGTACCAAGTCAGATATATGACAGTTGTTATCCATTCGTTTGATGTGTTTGAGCTTTTGATTTTGCCATTTGATTACGGACTTTCCGTTTTGAATTTGCCTCGGAGTTCGGTATTTTTGTTATTTTACTTTTCAATGACAATTTAAAAAGTAAATAAAGGCAACAGTAGTTTACTACTGTTTAATAGTCATAATAGGATTAAGTAAAAACAACTCCGGGTAACAAACTAAAATCGAGGGAACACATCAACTATAAGAGGAAAACAACGGAACAACGGAAACACTGAACACGAAAGCAAACGCCAACATACATCGAAACGGACTGTCTGTAAACCACGAATTAATTACTAAGCTAAATGTCGATTCCAGGTGACCTATTATCGATATGTTTTACTTTTTTTATTGAATTAACAACTTTGGTATTGTCGGTTAATGTAATTTACCTTAATCTTTGATGAAACCATGACTTGGACAACTGTTTGCCATTCACAGAAATACAAGGGTTTTCTTTATAATTCTTTATTCATTCCGCCCTATGTGCTATTGACAATTTTTATGATTTAAAATAAGATGTTTATTTGGAAATCAAACACCCTAAGCTGAAATTGACCCAGTAGTATCAGAAAAGTTACAACTTTCAGTCGGACGACAGACGAAGGAACAACAACACACTCTAAGACAAGACATTTGATTAAGTTGAAATTAGAGGACATTTAAGTTTTAAGTCTACATAACATTTCATATAAAACTAAATACTGAGCAACACGAACTCCACCAATAATCAGTGGATAAACTTATGTGATCCTGAAGAGAAAAAAGTATGCTCTACATGTGACACTTTTTCAAATAAACCTTCGGAAGCTTTTTCTCTAATATGGTGTATTTCCTTAATTTTCTTGATGTAGTCGAATTTTCGTTTTTCGTGACCGAATGGATACTTGCTAATGATATATTGAAGTAACGACTGTGTAGCAGTAAAATTAAAATGTGTAATTTGTAAGTTACCAACCTAGTTTGCATAACGCTGAGTTAATGTTGAGTTGAAATAATATTAAAGTGTTCTGCACAAGTAGTACTTGCTTGTAAAAGAGAAGCAAATGATACAAAAGGGATATTCAAATACATAGTCGAAAACAAACGGATAATGGCATTGCAAAAAATGAAAATCGATCAAAAGTAGAGAAAAAACTAAAGATTTAGCAACACACATCCCAACAAAACCCGGATTTAAGGTGCTCTGAAAGGGTATGCAGACCCGTTGTGATGCTCGTATACGTACACACCTGGTGATAACTATGATTTGGTAGGTCACATTCAAGAAAAAGCAAATGTCCGATTTTCATCTATGGTATCGGCTGTTTTGGATATGTTGAGTCATGAAATTATAGACAACAATCTATATTGTCTACACAAGACTCTTCAGTAACGCTCGAATCAAAGAGTTAAAACGCCCAATAAAGAAACAAAGATCGATTTTGTTTAAGGATGTAGTCATGCCAGTTTTAGGATTTTTGGTCAGATGTTCGGACTCCTTTGGATTTTTTGCTACGATACTGGGTAAAATAATTTGCCCCAAATCACCCATTTTTCTTTACATAAAAGGTTCAATAAAAGGTCATTACCAAATTTTCAGCAGATTTTAGATTTCTTTTCTTACTATTTCAGACACAAATAATGCCAATGCTAAATATAAGGCAAATGTCCGAGTCAGCCTTTTCCCGCTATTTTTTATATCTCGAAAAGGAGTTCCATAACCTATCAACATTTTTAGCTTATTTTGTACCTTAAATAATGCTCTTCTGATTTATAGTATAAATCTTAAATTCCAGATTATTTTTTTTTAATATCATCATCATGTCAAATACACATATGAACCAAGATATCTAACTTATTCGTTTCTTTTTTCCAATATTGTTAAATGTCATCACTTCAGTCATTTATTTGATTTAGTTGTCCGGCATTGTTATATCATTTCTAGCCAATTCGTCAACTTCTTGTCTTATATTGTCGGTAGGTTTATCTGGTTTGTCATTAACTTTGTCTTCAAATTCCATAGATTTTATCGATTGTAATTCAATTATGTCTTCGATGTTTTCCTGAACAATAGTATTTGCTTTTTTGTGTAAATCGACAGTTCTAACTGACAATCGCAGTTCGTTTTTAGATGATCTGTTTGCTCGGTTATCCTCTTTATTTCTTTGATTTCTTTTTTTCTTAGCGTTATCTCCTACTTTTTGAGTTGCATTGTCTTTTCTGATTCCAACTCCCTTTCCACCCGCTTTAACACTCACTTGCATCATCTTTGTGTCTTTCTTGAATCGTATTGCATTCAATAAAGTTGTTACAACACAACATATCTGAATTAGAGAGTGGCTTGAAATAAGAATCTTATGGTATACATGGTATACGCCACCACAAAATCGATTTTGTTTTTGTTGTTTTGTTTTAATAATTATCTGAGATACCTGGAACGATTTTATTTCATAAAGAATCTTTTTTGTTTACTTATTGTACCTCAAACTTAATAACAATGTGTAGGTCCTGAAAATGCGGTTTTATTTTCATTAAATTAATCGGGCATGACTTATTGGGTACGCCTTTTATAATCAAGGGGTCCACACACGGCATTCAAAATACAATAATTCAAAGCTCCGTGGAATAAAAATGCCTTTGATTGATCATCTCTAGCTAAAAATCAGACAATATCATAGTGGAAATTCAAAGATGTTCGAAACTTAAAAAGTGCCTGCAATAGGAATTGATAAACACAAAAATACACGTTTTACTGACTGTAATGTTTAAATGGGCGGTCTTGCCTTTGAATTCGTTGAAAAGTTTGTATAAGGTTTTTTGGAGGTCGACCCACATTTCACTTCGTCCAAAATATACATGACATATTTGCAACTGGACATTTAGGCGGCAATCAATTATTCAGGGTCACAGGATTTAACTTCCGTATTCAGACCGAACGTATTCAAACGTCCATCACAGCCACACAGCCAAACGGATGCCTCACGTTAGCAAGGGTTTACTGTTGTATGGGAGAAGTGCAAGGGTTAATCGCGTCCAGCTGTTAAACGTAAATTTAAGCTTTTCATTAATCATTTGTCTTTTCAATTTGTATTTTCGGACCTATTCAATAATTTAACTATTTTGATTGGATGTATCCGATAATCCACTGGTATCAATGTAAGAATCTAAATGTATTACACGATGTTTAATACATGAATTGTTGGAAGAGATTTACTAACTGTCTGCTTATAATCTGGTCTTTTAAAATTAATTTCCTGATTACAAACAGATAAAAAAAAAACCCAAATATATATATAACAAAAAGTTTTGTGCAGAACATTAATTAGTCAGTTGTAAATGAGGTCAGTATATGGTTGACTGACTCATTTATGAAATAAAAAATTATTATTTTGAACATTTAAAGTTTGAAAATATAAGTTTACCCCTTAGTTTTATAGAACAATTCAACGGTTTATATTTAGAACTGGAAATGTTTAAGAATTCATAATTTGAATCACGTAAATGTCTTTAAATCGATCGGTTTTCGATGCAATTAAGTAACTTGTGTAGAATGTGTAGTGTTTACCTATCAAGTAAGTTGAATCCGATTTAAACTCGTCAATTCTAGGGGAATAAGGCTTATCCAAAGGCCTTTTCTGTACTGTTTATGACTTTTTTTAAGATTTCGAAATCAGTAAAAGTTTAATAATAAGTTAATATTGATATTAAAAGACCTCATCACAAAAGAACTCTTAAAATCGCCCCACCTTTTGGGCTCGTGGATCTTAGCTTCCCTTTTTGTTCCGAGATCTTTTATTGTCAATATAAACTTATCATTGAACTTTTATTATTACTAATAACTTCTTTTTCTATCATTAAATTTGACTATTGATTTAAATTAAAAAGGTACAGATAGTTATGTATGTGTTTTTTTTTTGGGGGGGGGTTTTGAGCTGCGACTTGGATAAAACTCCTGACCGCACATAAAGTATTACAGACCTGGGTACAGCTAAACATCTTTATGTTCTTAGTAAACTATGAGAATACCTAAAGCTCACCTGTTGTATTGGGAATTTGGTTAGAAACAATAAAAACAGATTTACTTTTTTGTGGATCTTGCTCAAATATCACTGATTGTTTTCCTTCATTTAATAACCAAGTAGACTACTTGATTGTCGATAGCATGTTCTACTGTCATATTAGAATAAATTTCAAAACTGTGTGAGATTAAGATGTTTAAGTTCTATATTAAAAAGATATTTTCTTTGCCTTCATCTGACGACATATGTTTTATACATTGTGTTACATGTTACATGCATATTGACTCGATCGGATGAGTTCAGCCCTTACCAACTGATTTTAATAGTTTTTTCTTGTGTTGTCATCGCTTAACCCCGCCACATTCTGTGTCTGATTTGTCCTAGTCAGGATTATATAATGCAGTGGTTCTCGTTTGTTGCTGTATATCATATTTGTTTTTGCTTCATTGTTTTGTACATACATCATCAGGCCGTTTTACTTTCGTCTGATTTATGTTGCATTTGTCATTTCTGGGCTTTCAGTGGTACTTTGCGATATTGGCTTTTGCTCATTGTTGATCGCCATACGGTGGCATATAGTCGTTTGTTTTTTTTTTGGGTTTTTTTTTTAACATTTAACTGATACAGTTGTTAACGTCTGCGTCATTTGGTCTCTGGTAGACAGTTGTTTCATTGGCAATCATACCACAACTTCGAATTTTTATATTGACTCTGCAAGCATGTGTGAACATTATAAATAGATACGCAAGTCGACTAAACTTCGGGTATATCAACGCAATTAGTGTCCTTACATTTTGTTTATTGTTTAAAACCCTCTTACATTTTCATCAGGGAGCAATCGGTTATAAGTCATGGCCTCCGGTTTCCTCGATTTACCACAAGTCAGCAGCAAACTATACAAAGTACCAACGGTTGTAAAAATTACAACCTTCTGTAAAACGCAGTCCTGGCTTGATACTTTTAAATTAAAAACGAATGAGGCGGGTAAAACCTGTTTAACTATACGATAGTGGACTTAGTGCCATCAAACTAAGGGTTACAAGTGGTAAAATTGAAGTCATCCATTCGAAAATTTTGGAGACGTAATCAAAAGTTGGTTTCCGGTTAAGGAATATCTGCCCCACATATGACGATGGATATGTTTAAATTGTCGTAACCATCATCGCGTCCTCTTCTCCTTGAATGTGAACCATCGAAGATGTACTTGCATTACCCATACGATAGTTACAACTTGTGGACCTCCTGAGATTTACCCCCTGCTTTTTAGTAGGGTTCATGTCGCTCAGTGTTTGGTGTTCTATCCTTTGTATTATAGACTGTTGTTTTTCGATTTTTGCCTTGGTATTGCCAGTTTGTCTTCAACTTTTGTGTTTGATTATCTCTATGATGTCTTTTTTATGCAGAATCATATATGCAAATTATGAAGAAGTGCAGCTTAAAATCACGAAAACACGTGAAGTACTTTTCCACAACTTATTCTGTAAGAATAAAAGGAAATCGGAAGTATACTTAAAAAAACACTCTTTTGCACATATTCATACTCACCTCTACAAAAATGATCATAGCCATGAATACAATGAAGATTGTGCTGTATATTTCTAATCTTTCTTTAACTGCAACATCACATGACTAAAAGACATAGTTGGCAAACTTAATTTCTTGGACATACAATGGAGTCCTATATTTGTTGTATATATCAATATTTTGTTATAATCAAATATTTTATGACTATGAAAGCAATATTTTCTGCGAAGGGATTTTACAAATTCGGGGTGATTTTTACAACATGATTGCCGAACTAAATTTAGAACCAGGATTGGTAAAACATTGTGTCGAAAAACTATTTAAATAGACCGTTCAGCACAAATTAATTAGTTTTACAATTAAAACAACCTATTAATCCGTTTATAATCCGTATAATGAAGAATAATTCAGTATTATTTATTATGTCATTCATGGAGACTTTATAGCTATTTGGTCGTTTTGTATTGCATAAACATTTATGAAAATATCAAATGCTATTTCTTATATAATGACATTTAGATTAGATTAATAAGAGCCTTGGAAAAGATATATCATGTTGATAAATCATACCCTAAAGTTAGAGATTTAAATAATTAACCTGTGAGCGATAGTAGCCGTCTAGCATAGAAGTTGAGCAGTTGCTATCTGTTCTCGTAGAGTAAGGGAAGACATTGGTTTGAGATATACAACATTGTACTGGAATTCGTTGACCTGCTGATCTGTCATATAAATACCAGTAAGTAGATTTAAATGACGATTCTATCATAGGTCCTACTCCACAACATTCTGCCTACATAAAAAGTTAACAGATGTTTTATTTAGAGTTTCCTCAAATTGATATCTACTTTTAGAAGTTGTCAGTGGTATATGTATGCATATGATCCCACTGATCACTTTAACAAAATAATAAAGAGACAAACGACAGACTTCTGTTAAATTGCGCCTACTTGTATTCAATTCTACATTATATCAGCAGTTTTTCTAAGAATTTTCGAATCATGCATATACTTTATCTATAATAATTAGCTGACTATTTTCCTTCTGATATTGTTTGTCAATTGTGATTTATTCGCAACACTTAAAAAACAGTCTTGGACAAGTAAAGTACTATATCAATAAAATAAAAAAAGATCTCTCCAGATTATTTATGAATATAACTTGAAAGACAGGGCTGTCTTGAATATGCAGTAGGATATGAGCTTTTTCTCCGTGTTGCATATCTAACTGTTACTTTGAGATGAATAACAGGAAATAGACCCGGTTCGCTTTCTGTAACTTTGCCTAAACACGTGCTAAATTGACGTAAAGTGTGTGTAGGTCTTTGTTTCATTACTTGATATAGCATATAATTTCATTTACATATATGGCACTGGAAACTAATTTGCAAATTCTGCGGAAGAATTCTGACAAACTGTTCAACATTTTGTATTCTAATTTAAACAAGGGGTTGACTCATTTTGATAAATATTTTCTGTACATTTTAGACTATACACTTATTCTTGTATGTATGTCCAATGTTTAAGTACTGATAGTTTTACATGTATTTATCCGTAGTGTAGTAATCATTTTTTTAACCGTTTTCCTGTCATCATACCTGTACAAATAGTGTGTTCCACGAAAGTGATAATGACCAATCACGTGTTGCTGATTTGTCAGAGTAATCATAACCGCCATTAGTACTATTAAACTGTTTCATAAGTTCATCTTCTAGCTCTGAAGATACCTATAAGTTAAATCAATGTAGTGTACGTTCATACGAATAAACGGATATGTGATCAAAAGTAAGAGTAAGCAGGTAAGAAAGGTATCAACCCAACAAAACTATAAAGCAAAGAAATCTTAGCACACGGTCTTCAATTATTTACAACTGTCTAGTTAATATGTCGGGCTCTTCTTTATTCTTATCGCAATCATATATGAAAATTACATCCTATTGCCAGACATTAGCCTACTGTATTAATATGGGTTTTTTATACCTATTTTTTAAATAGTAGAATGTCATAAAGATAGTTGGAGCAGAAACTACATGTCCTTTAACTATTTTATTTTTATTCTTGTACATGTCTATAAATAAAACAAATCTATTTAATTTTTATTCTTGTACGTGTGTACGATTGTTCTTGCGTTTGCTTGTACTGTAATCCTGTCAGGAAGTGTTGTCATTTTCATCAATAGCGGTATTTTTAACATTGTTATATAAGCGGGAGGTTTGGCTAGCCATAAAACCAGGTTCAAGCCACCATTTTTTTCTTAAAATGACCTGTATAAAGTCAGGAATATGGCATTTGTTATCAAACAGTCCGTTTCAATGTACATTGGCGTTTGCTTTATTTGCAGTTCAGTGTACCTGTTGTTCCGTTGTTTTCCTTCTATAGTTGATGTGTTTCCCTCGGTTTGAGTTTGTTACTCGGATTGTTTTCGCTCTATCGAATTATGACTATTGAACAGCGGTATACTACCGCCGTTACTTGTAGCATCTGAATATTTCAATTTAACTTATGATATACTAAATCATCAATACAAATTCCCTTTATAAACTGTGTGCATCTGAGGCGCTTTTCCTGATTGACCTTCATCAGGAACATTCTTTAACAGCAAAAAAAAAATAAGTAGCCATATTCTTAAAAGTGATTTAAAAGGAATTTCAAACAAGGTCAAATTTGCCTAAAGTAGTTGGAACTATAGCATATCAATAACTTCTAAATTAATCAAAGGAATTTTTTTAAATAAATGTCATAAATCATGTTAGAGGAATTATTGTTTTTGGAAACAGCTACTATTCGTTCTTCTAATATTACCGCGTATCTGAGTTGTGATAGATTGCAAGTGATAGATGTAGCTTGATCTTACAAAGAAATCCTCCCAAACCAGTGCAATGGGACGTCTTGACTTTTGCAGTGGAAAACTGGCTTTTGCTCTGTGCTATTACTTTGAGACGAAGAACAGCAAATAAACGAGGTTCATCTTCGTTAGTCTTAAAAGTACGTGTAGCGATTTGTGTCTTGAATAAAAATTATCGTATTTTTATCATCAGGAAATTATGTTGAATCATTAATTGTAATCAAATTATTTTAGGTAAGGTTTACAGGTTTGTGTATGCCTATCACGTGATTTGCTCTTAAAGGTTAATATTTTTGGCTTTCTAAATGTTTGTCTCTATCGTACCTGCAAGAGGATAGTAGTCCCCAATTATACCATTTTTCAAGGAACCAGTGTTACGGTATAACCACGATGTATAATGTCTGTGATAAATTATGTTAGAGTCAATATGTGGAACATTATGTTTGTGAATTTACAGTTAAGACATATATGGAGTTGTTACAGACCTCTGGAGAGACCCTTTTGTTCCTTATGCTCTAAACATTTTGTATATTTGGCTATCCAAACATTTTGTTCTCAAACAAACGTGATGTATTCAAACAAAAGAGTTGTCATATGGCAAAATCCTAGATACGTTATTCATTAGATTAGCACCACGTGACTTTAGCTCTTTTAATTAAATTACTTCCCTTAGCTGTAGATTGAAAAATAGAAATTATATCAATTTTGCTGATCATCAAGTCTGTTTCCGTCTTTGATCTTAAACTTACGTGTCTCTGAAAATCTTCCGCAGGTATATATTTACAAATATGCTATGTAGTGCAAAGGAATAATGCCTAATATTTGAGGTTTTAGAAAATTGGACGGAATTAATCAGTTAAATTGAAAAGGCCGAACGTTTTTAGTGTTGATAAGGTTCATTTGTACACGAACACAAGGCAAAAACATGTACAATTCACCAATATGCGGACAAAATGTTGATGTAATTACGAATTGGCATATTTGAATATTTACTTAAGGGGCATGCATATTCCTATTGAAACGGATGTCAACATGATACGGCAATATGGCCGCTATGCAAATTAGTACTCAACATGTGGCCACTGTAATCATATCCTACTTTTTTCATACTAGACAATTATTTAAATGAAGTTAATTCCTGTAGAAAGGTCAATTTATTTCCAATTGTTTTACAAAATATGTACAGTGGTATCATTTGTCTGATTATTGATTTTGAAATATAATGCTAGACTTAAAAAAATATTTACCCATTACTCTGAGTTAGTCATTTGTAAAATAAATGTTATACAATTTAAAGCAGTCGAAACACTCCCACATGTTGTGACACATTTGAAAGAACTATAACATTTTTTTGCAAAAATAAATATATCATATAGTATCCTACTTCTTTGAGTTTTAGCATACATATTGTGTATTATTTTGCAAATTAAGTATAACGACAAGGAAGTTTTGAAAAACTGTTGGTGATACAATAACTATATTAGATTTTTATTTTAAAGCTCTAATTAGTTATTTATGGGGGTGAATGACCCTCATCCGAATATCAATTTTACTTCAAAATCTAATACAAATTACGAATCACTTTTCATACAAAAATAATTACCAACATTTTGTTCTATGTACTTTTGTATAGCGTAATCCATGCTTAAAAGAGAGACTAAAGATTCGGAAAGGACATTCAAATTGCACTTTAAAAATAAAATTAATGAAAAAGTATGAGTTTGCTTTTTTTTCTAGAAAATAAACCTTACGAATGTCTGTAAAACTGTTGTTCTCCGAATGTCATCCTATATTTTTAGGAACATTTACTTCAATATGATTCGAAAAAATGTAAACGACATCTTCGGAAAATTACACAATATGTGCAAATGGAGAACTAAGAATATATATATTTTCATTTATCCAATTTTTAGTTCTATGATCGTTTTGAAGAGACTTTTTTCCGCGATGCTATCAAACACAACAATTGGAGCAACAGAATAATTAACGTTTATATCTGTTTGACAGTTATCTCCTCTTCATATTTTCTCATATTTCCCTTAATTAGTTTCCTTTTATTCGATGGATACTAGAATCGATTTAGGAAAGTTTGTTCTATTTACACAGATCTTGGTATAATTTTTTTGAATAACGTTATAAAAAACGAAGCTAGTCAGACAAAAATGCAAAGGTGTTGTCACACCATAAAGTATAATGAATAAACATATTATTTTAGCAAAACTGTAATTACTATATAAGTATTTTAACGATAAATGAATTATGTTATTCGTAAACTTACATTATTGAAAAAAATCACCCATAATCCTTCTTGAAGAAGATTTGCAACTGCCACGATACACAATACCCCAGCACTCTAGTAATACAAAAAGTATGCCAGTATTAATGTAAATATAATAACTTTAGTCACCACAATAACATTAACGATACCAATTTTTCTACATTAGATGCACTTTCGACAAGAAATGTCTCTTCATTGATGCTCAGGACTTAAATATTTGAACATCCAAAACTTGGTAGGAATTGAAGAGATGATAAAACCAAAAAGGACAAAAAGTATAGCCAAAACCGGATATGGTATCAGCGCTATGCATACGAGAGATATACTCTCTTATTTTCTATCTTAATTAAAAGTAATTTCTAAAATTTTAAAACAACAAACTTTAATAACACAATAACGTGTAACCGTATTTGGCTGGTAATACCCTCGGGGACAAACAGGCCACCAGCAGAGGTATCGAACCAGTGGTAGTAATTACATTAATGGTACTAATTTTACTGCAACAGAAACGCATTTTGACAATTTAAAGAGAGGCGAAATATACCAATGGGACATTCAAACTCAGTAGAAAAATAACTGACAACGCCATGGCCAAAAAAGAAAACCAAGAGTAAACAAAAAAATTTCTCTTCAGTGATGCTTGAGGCCAAACAATTTAAAAATCCAAAACGTATTAGGAATTGAAGAGCTGATAAAAACAAAAAAGAACAAAAGTATAGCAAAAGCCGGGCAAGGAATCAGAGATTTGCATGAGGAAGATACATTCATTAATTCCGAATTTTTATGCAAGTACCGAAGTACTGGCTCCTGGGCTGGAGATACCATCGGGTATATCATATTAGAGTGTTTCGGGCCTGTTTTTTGTCTCACATCAATACAATCTCCTCGTAATTTGCCAAATCTAGTGATTATGATAGAATGTGTTTGTGACATAATATGTTTAAGCTGCGGAATATTCTCTAATTGACTTATTTCTTGAGGATTTGAAAGAAACAACTCAATTACTTGAACAGAGGGAACACAGCAAGAAGGGTAAATTCATAGTATAATTTAGTCTTAAATGAAATCAATGCAGTTACATCTCCATTTAAATTAAATTTCTTTCATGTTAATAAAAAACATCAATATGAAGAAGAAAAATTATCGTACGACATCAATATAAATTCAATATGTATGAAAATTACAGATATTATCTTAAATTTTCGATGCTCTAACCCTATTTTTGTAAAAATTTCATCAGCAATAGAACACTTTTTAAAAACAGCCTTTTCAGATAATTCATTTCTACCATAAAGTTACGCCAATCATATGCTAAATGCACTGTTACCAAAACAGAGAGGGAATATGTTTTTGAAACCAAGACACTAAATTGCTGTATGCCAATTCAAAATATAAGAAAACAACAGTACTTACGACAAAACTAAGAACTGATTTCCATTTGGGTAATACCATAACAAAGATTGACAATATAGCAACTGCTATGGATACAGACGAAAAGGTGACAGTCACAATGGAAAATATGTTGATCGACCTTGTAAATATTTGATCGGTAACGTTTATCCTGGAGAATAGTTCTTGTACATCGGAGTTTCCAAAAACTTTGTCAAATCGTATGTTGATGGCTAGACACAGCACCACAATGTTGAATATCTGTTAAATTAAACAATCAGTGATTCACAACCGTGTATAGTAATTTGCAATTACAGAGACCTTGTCAAATTATCTTCCAGTTCAGTACATACGCGTATATTCTTCAACAATCTTTTTGTGTAGGATTAAGGAATCAGACATATTCAGTACTAATAGCATGATTTCTCTGACTTCCTGAGTATGTGTTGTATGACATTCATTTACCTGCATCTATGGTGTCGACAAAATGGAATTAACTGAATATGCTGGTTTTATTTTCATTTAGACCATACTAATTTTGACGTTATTCATCAACTTATTGAGAAAACCGGATATAGGCTGGTTGCTCATTATAAATATAGCCCATCACATGGTGTGTGGCTGTACAGAATTAGAAATCTCTGCAGTGGAGTTTGCTCTTTATCTTTTATCTTTTGTTCGTTCATTTAATTGTTTGTCTATAAATAAGTAGGTGTTTGTGACGTAATATTGAACTTATAAACAATAGGTCAATATAAGAATAAGTAGATATGGTATGATTGCCAATGAGATATATATATCCTACCATATTCTACAAAATATAGACTAAAGCAGTAGGCTAAATATGTCAAAGAAAAGCAATCAAATGACACTTACAAAAAAAATCTAGTATCTAGCATCCAAAGATAAATATATATATATATACTAGAAAATACTCACAAACAAACATCCAAGAGAAATAAAGTGAACCAGTGAAATTTTTGACCTATAATGTAAAGATATCATAGTAGAAACATACATTTTTTACGTTTAAATAAAACATCTTAGAGCACAATTTTTTACTATATGCATGAGCGTGTTATACAATAACAAACATACAAATAAAATTGCTACATATTCTAAATATTTTTAGTTTTTATTAGCATAATTGAATCTTTCCAAATATGATTTATTGCATGTATTGTATATATATTATAGTGATTCTGATATTTCCTAATCGGTTATTAATAATATGTGGTTTTCGATTATATTATTATTGAATGCTGACGTCAACGATTTAGCAATTTTTTTTCATGGAGGAATAATGTGGTTGGTGTTGTATGTTACTATATATGTTTGGTAATCGTGTATCCTTTCAATTAAACATACCACTGACAAAACAAAGTCTAAGTTGAAGAAATTCTTTGGTGGATCAAGAGTTGTTTTGTTATAAATTTGAAAACAAAGTCTAAGTTGAAGAACTTTTGTGATGGATCAAGAGTTGTTTTGTTATAAATTTATATTACAAGGCTATAGTAAAAGTTTCTAAGTCTTTTTTTGTTGGCAACCCAAGTTGTTTCTTCTGTATGTTACCATTATAACTCGCAATACATGATGCGTGTCTCCTTAATAGCTAATCGATGCTCAATTCTTACGTTTTCAACTTTTCTTCTTTTTTTATTATCCCCCCCCCCCCCCCACACACACACACACACACACACACACACACCCTGTTTTTTTTTTTTGCTTATTCAGGGCCATTAATTTTCAAATTTTCATTTCTATAAAAATGCTAAAACGACATCGCAAATAAGATATCATTTTAATTCTTTTTCATTTAGAATAAATTTCCCACATAACTCTACATAAACTTTTCCTAAAGATCTCATATTAAAAATGTTGTTTTTGTTGCTTTTTTGTTGTTTTTTTATTTTTGTTTGTTTTTTTTATCTTCTTCATTTTTTTTTCGAAAAGGGTGGGGTGGAGTGGGTCAGTTAGTGTTTGAAGTCATTAGTCGAAAACAAACTGACAAAACCATGGCCAAAAAGAACTAAAAGGGTCCAGAAATCAAACAACAGTATACAAGACACTGTTCAACTTTTATATTTGCTAAACCTATGGCAAAAGTATGCCAAAAATTTAAAACAATTCTTTTTTTGAACGAAAAATGACATCGCAAACAAAAATGTGATTCGGTTCTGTTAAGAATTTCCCACATTTATAAACACATTTGGTAACGCATGCATAAAAAAAAGAATAAGGTCATAGCGGCACGTATGATCGTGTTTTTCTTTAATTATTTTATTTTAAACATCCTCTGCTAAGATATGTAAAATAATACGATATATGCCACGTTTGTCATGTTTTATTTATATCGTGCACCATAAACCCATAACTAATATACGATATACTTATTTTTGTTGTTACCTTTTCCAGTTACTAACACAAAATGATTTTATTTCTTTAACCATCTTTCTGAATATTACAGACTTTGCATTCAATGTTGCTCCTGTTGGGTTTCCAGCGCTTTTTGTCAACATTATAACGAGATATTCTTTGCTAACAAATACGAAACCAATAATCTAAGGCAAAACAAAAATACAATGGTTGCATGAATTCCTATTCGTAGAATGTTTCATTAAATATATAAATATAAAAAATTATTCCTCATCTTCATTTTAATTTTCTATGAAGGACAATTTAATTCGTTGTGTAATAAAATAAAAGTTCCTTTATTATATAAGTTCCAAATGGAACACATATTCTATAATATTATTTCTACTTGAACAAATATTAAAGTATTCGTTCCTAACGGAAAAAAGGGTATAACTTGCTGTTCTAAGTGAGCCAAGGCTCCATGTTGAAGGCCGTACTTTGATCTATAATTGTTTACTCTTTAAACATTGTGACTTGGATGGAGAGTTGTCTTATTGGCACTCATACCACATCTTCTTACTTCTATAAAATATGTGTTTCAAAACAACAGATATTATAACATTGTTTATACCAACGTTTCCGGGAGAACTTAAGTTAGGCGGAACAAATACACGTTTACCGTGAAAGGTATTTGAATTTTAACATTTTAAATATGACCAAGTGATAGCCATATCAGAACAAATAATGCGTTCACTTGTGTTCTTCAATATAGATTCTCACTAAAATAAAAACAAAATACAGGAAAAAATGAAACATCATTTTACACACTTGACATTCAGTTTTTAAACATTTATCAAAGAAGTCCTATTAAATTATTTTTTTATTTGAAATAAAATTATTAAAACAGCTCAAATAAACTGTATTAAGTGAACTTTAAATGTATCCATGGTATTTGGACTGTGGATTCACTAGTATTCCAGAGGTACCATTTTTTATGTATTTTGTTGGAACAAGTGAACCAAGAATCTTAATCAACGAATAACAAAACTTTCTATAAGCTTGTATGCAGACTATTGCAAAACCACAAAATCAAATATCCACGAAAATTTAAGTTTTTCTGAATCCACAAACATTGATTCCCACGAAAATTTAAGCTTTCCTGAATCCACAAACATTGGTTTCCACGAAAATCAATGCATCCACAGTATCTATTTTTTTCAAAATGTCTGCAGTTATTTATTTTTAATTTATCTATTTTCGTTTGTTTTCATTCCTGTTTCGACGCAAGGTTTACTTGACCTATATAGTCTTCGATCCCGTAAGGTGCTTTAAATAAAAAATAACTCATCAAAGATATCAGGCTTATAATTTGGTATGACAGTACTGGTGTCTTCTCGATTGCTCAACTTTTTAAAAGTACAGGTAAAAAAGTAATGAAACTAAGTGGGACAATCGGGAAGATGTCTGTTAGACTTCATGTAGACTGTTATTTTGTACACTAGCACGTTACAAATCTGGTTCAGATTATAGGTATTGTTCAAACCAGATTGTATGGTCATCTAACATCAACATGTTTCCGTCCTGAATATGCATTTAACTATCCACTGGATGTTAAACAGCCCTCCATTTACCCTTTTTCATAAAATAATATCTGTTTAGAGCACACTAATGGCATTATACATTTTGTTCTATATGAGAATGTAGATTGAGTCCTTGCCCTGTTATTTTAAAAAGTATGTGAATTCGAATTATTAAGGTTAAATTAACCACTAAACTTACCCGTCATTGTGAGTGTTCATAAAAATTGGAAAGAAGAGAAAAAAATTACGTGCATTTTAATGAAAACTTTAAAATAAAAAAAATAAAATTTAAGATTACATGATTGATATTGTATTATAAATAAACCTAGCATTATAGATATTTTTTATTACTTATATGAGAAATTATTTTCGTGCATTTTAACTGATGATTAATTCAACAATTCACATTTACATATATAAAATTGATATCAAGTACCAGTATTCTCATGCGATAATTAATATTAATTTGACATTACCAAGCATTGTTTATTCAAAACAGTTACCATAAAAAAAATGATGTGATTCAATCAGAAATTATGATGTTGGCCAATCAGAAGTCTAATTTAAAAACATAAGGTCATCTAAATTAGAGAGAGACGAAAGATACCAGAGGGACAGTCAAACTCATAGATCGAAAACAAACTGACAACGCCATGACGAAAAATAAAAAGACAAATAAACAAATAATAGTACAGATGACACAACATAGAAAACTAAAGCCTAAGCAACACGAACCCCACCAAAAACAGGGGGTGATCTCAGGTGCTCCGGAAGGGTAAGCAGATCCTGCTCCACATGTGGCACCCGTAAATGAGATTACAATTCAACCATATACTTATTTTGTATGCTATAATTATATACCTCTAAAACAATTTGCAGCAACACAATCGCTAGAAACCAACCAACAAACATTTTAGTCTTGAACAAGATGACATCTGCGCATGTCTGAAAGATAATGATTTAATTTATTTGACACATGCGATTTACAAAAACAAGTACTTAGTAAGCAAAAACGACCAATCAGCAACATTCTTCGATTTGAGACCAGATATAAGAGTTCATTAAAGAAAAAAATTATAAATGCAATTTAAAACAAGATTTGGGAAATTAACAAATGCGAACGTTAAGCAATATGCTAATTGTTCTCAATGTAAATCGTGTTTTCATCAAAAAAATTAGTTGATCTTAAGAAGAGGACGGATTTCGTGGTTTATCTTGTGAAAATGATTTTCTTTAAATTATTTATATATATTGTGGTGGGTTTTTTTTTTTCGTGACAACATAAAACTTTTTTCAGTTCAAGTGATCCACAAAAGAAAAATTGCCAAAAATAAAAGAACCGCTAATATTTGTTATAGTCAATAAACTATGTTTCCGTTAAATACTTGGTTATCGTTGTTCAAATCACGTAAAAGTATTTTAAAAATGCAAATAAAAATTAGAAATAAATGGAGTGAGACCCGCAGGTTGAGAAGTTCCTGCGAGTCAGACATCACACGTCATGCGAATCCAGATTTATGATACACCGAATATGATACACTCAGTTATTGAAAACAACACGTTATAAATTGCATGCGTCCGAAGTACTTTTTATAACCAATTCGTAATTTTGACCATAAACTAATGAAGTTTCGTTTTCCTTCGTTTTTCTCACAACCCAGTTGGAAAAGTTTTTGAAATGATGAATAAAGGGCTGGTGATATCCTCGGAAAGAAAACCTCCATCATCAGTGGCATTAACCCATTGACAGTGAAGAAATATTATTAAAGATACCAGATAAAGAAAACATCCTGTTTTACAACAAGAATTACCTCTGTTTTGTATCCACCACATCCACCCAAATAATCAAACGATGAGTAGAAATTTGTATTATATCCAGCAGAGTCCAGTATTCTGGGATGAGCATTTTTACAACAAAATTTTATTCCATTTGTAGTATATGTTTCATTGTTATGATTGACGCCACAACACTGCAGCTGAAAACATTAGAAGAAGACTTATTACTATTCAAAATTGGAATTTCACAAGGTGATGGCTTTTTCTTTTTTTATTAACTTTTTTTAGCATTAGTATCTTCTGTCAACATTTTGTACGAGACTTGAACCTAACACTTTTGACACAACTTTGTAGAATTTTGAGTTTCAATGCTTTTCATTCTCCTTATTCACCTTCTATCTGTGATTCGAATCCCACTAATAATGCTGGTGTTGACTAAACGCGCGTATGGCGGTCTTAATTATAAGCCTGATATATAATGAATTTTTTTATCTACTTTGATCGTCAAGCCACTGATGTAATTCGTAATCAATAATTTCCTTTTAATTGTTTTTTTAACTTGTCATTTCGTCATTTTTGTCTTTGTTTTTCATTGTTTTTGTTTTTCTCTTTGTACCTTTCCTTTCTTTAAGAGTATAGCAGTATGTCTTTAATTTCTTACAAATTATTAATTCTTTCAGAATTTTCAAAACTTAAAATTATAAACATAGTTATGTCGGACACTTGTTTGTATCTTTATGTCTATATATGTCTTACTGTCATGATCATATCATTCCACTTCGTAGTAATTTCATTTCCGGAGCCTTCAATAAAATAACCTAATTGTTGTAACCATAACTGAAATTTCATGCCACTATTGATCTGTAAAGGAATATATTTTCAATTTTAAAGATATACTTTTGTACTATACCACTTTCTATAAAAAAATAAAATAAATGACATTCGTCTTAAAAGCTTTTCTAAGCCGAAAATATAGTCAACCCCATCTAATGGTCATTTTGCTGTAAGTGCTTCAAATGCATGCATTTTAATCCATTTTGAGTTCGTGTGATTACCCCAACCTTTTTCTCTTGTGTGAAATGTTCCAATACAAAAAAACGATTTACGATTGTAAACTACTGTCTCGTGTTTACATTTCGAAAAATTCTAAACTAATATCGTTTTTTACTTACATTAAGACCACAGATTGAAGATTAATGTTGACAAAATAGAAGAAGAAGCATACAAAAACATTGCAACAATACTAATCTACAAAAAGTAAAATATCAAAAATACCGAACTCCAATGAAAATTCAAAACGGAAAGTCTCTTATTAAATAGAAAAATCAAAATCTCACACATCAAACGTATGGAAAACAACTGCCATATTCCTGACTCTGTACAGGCTTTTTCTTATTTAGAAAATAAACACCGGTTGATAATCAGTATATCCATACAATAAACAAATTTACAAAATGTATATGCTAATGGAAAGTACAGTATGTTTAATACTGTAAAGATAAGCGCCAATGAGACTTCAACCAAAGAAATCAATAGACAACAATATGGCAATTTGTATCTTTCATAAAAGAAAACTGGTAATGAAATAATAAAATGTGACAGGGTATAAATCAATCTTGGTCTCGGATAAGAAGTTTTATTGGATCCCTTTATTCATGAAAAACTATTTAATTTTACTGATAAATGAAAATGTTATTAATTTTGTGGCATTCAAATGATATATTCACAATAAAGGTTATTATCCTGGTCGCAAACCGTTCTTTATAATTAGGTTGTTTTGAATGCAAAGAAAGGTCAACCCTCTTATTACAGTCCTTCATCTCAAGGTAAAATTTAGGCATTAAACATTGAGGAAATATGAAGGAAAGAAATGTGTACGCCTGTAGTTGATTTTTCATCTACGTTCAATAATCTCAGGGACTTTAATATTAAGTTCAAGGTGAGAGGTTTCTTTCAAATTCTAACTATAAAATAATAAGATTTTTTTTTGCCATGGCATAGTCAATGTATTTTCGACTTATTAGTTTGAATGACCCTTTGGTATCTTTCGTTTCTTTTATATATGTAATTCATATTATCTACAGCCATTTCAATGACTTGGGACTTTAAATCAAAAGTTTAAAATTAAACACAATAACTTTTACGCTGCAAAAAAAAAGGGATTTTAATTTGCAATACTATAGTGCATACCTTTGCAATAAAAAATATCCAAAATGCAACTGCAATGATTCTTGGTACATGCAAAACCAGAGAGAGAGCAGTGCTCTGAAATAGAAAGTGTTAATATATCAATTGTTTCACATCTTCATTCCTTGACCCTTAATGGATAGTTGTCTCGTTGACAATTATATTACACCTCCCTCTTTATGCATAGAATTATTTTACTGCAAAAGCAACCCACCAACACAATAAAGCATAAATAAAAACAATCTTATATGTATTGATATGTGGACAGTTGATTGTCTTTTTTCATTTGAAATTAATGTCGTACTAGTATTTCTTAAATCGATTGATTGTTTATCTTTAGCTCCTATGTATTTGAATCTCAACTCTAACTGACTGTTTTTTCTTAAAAGAGGGTACAATAAATAAACTGGTATATTTAAGATTATTTAACGATACATTATATATACTACCATTATCACTTTCTTTTTTAACTCAACAAGTATGATGAAGACATAATCATTCAATCAGTTTAATTGAGGTCTGGAGCTGGCATGTTAGTAAATGCTAGTAGTCCTTTGTTAATTTATGTATCATTGTCATTTTGCTTAGTTTCTTTTGTTACCTATTCTGACGTCGGACTCGGACTTCTTTTAAACTGAGTTTTACTGTGCGTATTGCTGTGTGTTTCTTTATTCTATATTGGCTATATTGGCTAGAGGTATATGGGAGGGTTGAGATCTCACAAAACATGTTGAACCCCGCCGCATTTTTTCGCCTATCGCAAGTCAGTGGCCTCTGGCCTTTGTTAGTCTTGTATGTTTTTTTTTTTTTAATTTTAGTTCGTTTATATGTTTTGGAGTTTAGTATGACGTCCATTTTCACTGAACTAGTACACATTTTTCTTTAGGAGCCAGCTTAAGCCCGCCGTGTTGAAGACCTATTGGTGGCCTTCGGCTGTTATCTGCTCTTTGGTCGGGTTGTTGTCTCTTTGACATATTCCCCATTTCCATTCTCAATTCTAATTTGTTGCTAAATTGCATACCGTCACAAGTACGATTGGTGATTTTTTCTAGGAACCAACTAAGCCAAGAACAGCTACCGTCGATGTTACTGTCCCAAGTACAACAGAAGCTGCAGCAAGACCAACCAGTATATCATAGAAATAGTAGTTGTGAAACTGTAGTTTGTAAAATATATGTTTGAGGGAGCTATTATTTATAAATTCGTCTCCTAGAAGCGTTAATCCTAGTCCAAGAAGTCCAACACCTGCTGTCTGAAAAAAATATTTCAAGCAATTTTATTGCGTGTAGCACTAATGTGGTTTTATTTTGTTTTCTTCTTTTTCAGCTTTTAATTTGTCTAATTTGGTGTTATCCTAAATGTCTTCATTGAAATTAGCATATGTAAAGACTTCTGTAAAATCAAATCCGGACGAAGTCGATATTAACAGTTAAAGCATAATTATCAGTTGTAATTAGAATCTATGTAATTTTGTGAAAACACAAAATTCTAAACCAATACAATGGCACAAAAGAGTAAAATTCTTAATCAAATACTAGGCAAAATTGTCAAGCAAAGATAATAATTCTTCGACGAACATCGAAGATAGGAAAAAGTATTTCAAATCTTTTTCTCATGACCTCTATCACTACCAATACTCACAAGAGAGGCTACTTTAAGTAGGACCGACGCAACAACTACTTTTGACCTGCAACGAAAGGTAATTAGAATTATCATAATTGTCTCTCAGACCGCACTCAATTAGACTGTTTGTCGATATTTTCTGACAAGACTTCATATTGTAAAGGATATTGGTAATCAATATACTTGTTTTCAGTTCTTTTTTCAACGGAAGTCGGTTACAGGGAAATATTCTGTTGAAACAATTATCGAATTTACCGAAACTTTCGGTGTTTAGAAAAAAAAGATGTAATATTTCAAGCAATATATAAAATGTAAAATAACAAAAATACCAAACTCTGAGGAAAATTTGAAACGGAAAGCTCTTAATCAAATTGCAAAATTGAAAGCTCAAACACATCGAACAAAAGGATAACAACTGTCATATTCCTGACTTGGTAAAGACATTTTCTTATGTAAAAAATGGTAAATTAAACCTGGTTTTATAACTAGCTAAACCTCTCACTTGTATGACAGACGCATAGAATTCCATTATATTGACAACGATGTGTGAACAAAACAAACAGACATAATAGGTAAAAATGTCAAAAATAGGAGTACAGCAGTGAACATTGTGTAATAATTTTCATCACTATAAAAACAAACACATATGTCAACAAAGAACAACAAATAGGCATATAGACAAAGCACATTAGCAAAAACGAAAGACAAGAATACAAAATGTATGTAAAAAAAAAATGGATCAACTAGACAACCAATATGCCAAGTTTTTATCATCAACGCAACTGAAGTAAGTATTCTCACGCTCATTTTAAAATAAAACACTACTACTAATATGTAAAGAACTGAGAAAATACGAGTTAGAGGGGGAATGCTATATTTCACCTGTTCCAATTTTCCTTTATAAAGATGATCAGAATTCGAAATATGCCATGCTTTAAACTCAACAAAAGATAGTACTTATTCTCTGAAATACTTGGTTTCTTTTCTTTAAATTCAAGTTTACGGAATGTGTATTCAGCTGCAACTATTGTAACTATCTGTAATGAATCATTATTTTAAAAACATCGTATTTCAATAATCGTTTATAAGTTATGTCTTTTCTCCACATATCACATACTTCAATCCCAAAGAATGCACATCAAATATACATTAAGTATTTTTGTCATCCCAAAACAAGCATTATACAGCACAAAATTCAGAAATGCACAAGAATTACACAAACGCATCGTGATTGTTACGTGAACGAAACAATATCGTAAATATGCAATAGTTACTAATTCAAGAAAACATGAAAATAGTAGGTTTATGTTTTTATTCTGTATAATTTAATAAACTCGCATCTCCAGACATCTCTTTGGGTTCGAAATATGTTTTTTTTTTTTTTTTGGGGGGGGGGGGGGGGGGGGGGATTTTATGACTATTATTAATATTTATGTTTTATTTGTATGAAAAAGATAGCTCGTATTAACAATTGTTGATCTTAATTTTAAACTTTAACATATATTTTTCAACTGTCTACTTGTTTTCTATTGTGTTTTATTTTTTTAAATTTTGCGCTATTATATTTAAATATCTCACTTGATTATACTACAGCTTCCTTTTTAATATATTGCAAACCTTCTATATTTCTTGATATTTTTCACATCAGTTTTCTTTACAAATCCTGCTACTAATGTTTTAACGAGGCGAGCGGTTGTCTGTCCGTTTGTAAATTATAAAGTCACTTGTTTAGTGGATCAGCTACTGAATCTTTCTTTGATTTATGAGTATTTTGGTTATTGTTCAATATAGGCAACAGTTGTTTGCCAGTTTTTCAGATAAAGTCGATCATAACTGGAGATCAATAATTCTTCTCAATTCAAGTTTATTGTGGGAGTGTTTTGCTCAATTATTGTAACGTTTTGTGGACAGTTGTTTATCTTTTCGTTGTTTCTATTTGACCATAGTATTGTTTGTTTTTCTTTGTTTATGGTTTTTGGTAGCCCACTTCATATCTCCTCCGTCCTTTTGCATATCAGATGTTGTTATGGTTTGAATAAAAAGTCAAGGAATTTATATAATAAGTAACCCGGAAAAGGTTCAAACACACCCTACTTAAAAAAAAGGATGGCTACAAAATATCAAGGGAAAGTTGAATATTTAGAATCAGACAGCCATCTGTATCTTTTTCCTTTCCTTTCTTATTCGTCTGGTTTAAGTGATGTTCGTGTTGCTGAGTCTTTGATATTGTAGGTTGTATTTTGTATACTGTTGTTTATCTTCTCATCGTTAAAAGTTGTGTGCCATGAGTTTGTTTTCCACTAATGAGTCTTGTATGTTTCGCCTCACTTTTATCTGTTTAAATCCATTAACGTTTATTAGTATTTCCAATGAAAACTATTTATAGTACAATTTCAATGATTACTAGGACATTGTATGTGCAAATAGCATCAAACGATGTAAAACATTTTATATTGGTTTAAATCTGTATGGCCGACATAAATCATTCGACTAAGTCGCTTTAATGTTTTAAAAGCTCGATATTACAATCTATTCACAAATACCTGACATACTATACACGTCACAATTATACCGATGTATATCTCTAAGTAAGTGTCTAACTTCTGGACATACACACTCCCGCAGTGATATATTTCTGGATAACTATTTTGGCATCCAAGCTAAAAATATGAAGAAAAATTTCACAAGGTCATGCATTTTTCAGAATATTAATGATATCGTTACTCTTAATTCTTTTGATGTGTACTGATTGATGTTTTGTCTTATACCAAAGACGGGATTTTTTTATTTAGCTTGAATCGATCGTACAAGTACGATGTTGTTTTTTATTGTTAACATATGAATCAGTTTCTTTGGGATCATTTCTTAACAATCGACTTCCTTCTTTAGGTATATAACTATATATATATATATATATATGAACAAGTCTAAATTGAAAACAACGTTCAAACCTATGATTGCGTTGGTTAAAAACCGCAATTTTTATACGTGTGCATGCAGAACAAATTTCTTGATTAAAGGGTCTAAATACAGCACAAACAACATTTTCCAAAAGACCAAATGAGTGAAAAAGTATATTTTAACAAAACGCATTTTGACTAGCAGGTCGAACAACTGATGTTCTTAGACCCTGCTGTCTGCCATTGGCGATTGCCAAAAAAACGGATCACAAGCGTTACAAAATAGATCTTATTATTAATTTATTACCAAACAGAAAACAATAACTTGCAGAAAAGATGGTAAACCGCAAACATGAGGTGCAAACATTTGTACACCATATCCGGATTTCGACAATTAATGTCTCTCCAGTGATGTTAGGAATCGAAACGGTATTTGGAAGGCCATATAATTTACCTCAATTTAGGATAGACTCTTGAATTTTGAAAGAGTCAAAATAGGATGAACGGATCATATAAACCCGAAGGAAAATATAATACAAGCCCAAACGAAAAAATATATACAAGTCTAAATTGAAAACAACGTTCAAACCTATGAATGCGTTGGATAAAAACCGCAATTTTTATACGTGTGCATGCAAAACAAATTTCTTGGTAGAGGGGTCTAAATACAGCACAAACAACATTTTCCAAAAGATAAAAAAAGTGAAAAAGTATATTTTAACAAAACGCATTTGACTAGCAGGTCGAATAACGGATGTTCTTGAACACTGCTGACTGCCATGGCGATTGCCAAATAAACGGATCACCAGATGTAACAAAATGGATCTTAATTATTAATATAATACCAAACAGAAAACTATAAACTTGCGGAAAAGATGGTATACCGCAAACATGAGGTGCAAAAATTTGTACACCATATTCGGATTTCGACAATTAGTGTCTCTTCAATGATGTTAGGAATCGAAACGGTATTTGGAAGGCCATATAATTTACCTCAATTTAGGATTGACTCTTAAATTATTCTTTCCCTGTATATATATATATATATATATATATATATATATATATATATATATATATATATATATATACAGGGAAAGAATAAAGCATTCAGGGACAAATAAATTGTAAAACAGTAGGCGTAGTATATGCAATTAATTGTACAAAATGCGAAAAACTTAAATATGTAGGACAAACGGGTGATACACTATATCAACGGATGCTATTGAACTTTTCAAAAATAAGAACAAAGAAAACAGAAGATCCGGTAGCCAACCACTTCATTCAGCATAATCATTCGATGAAATATTTTTAAGTTACCGCCATAGAAAGAGTATTTGGAACAGAAATTTACAGAAAAACTAAAGAAGCCTTTTGGATAAAAAAATTAAAAACTTTAGAGGCTGATGGACTCAACACAATGTATGAACGATAATGAAAATATTTATATAACAAAAGAAAAAAACGCGGCAAATGAACGTCATAGTAGTTATTATAACGTAATGTATTCAAGCAATGTAATTGTTGTTTGAATGTTGTAATTTATTCCAATGAAGAAGGCCGTAATGGCCGAAACGTATGGGAATTTGTGTTATAGTTTTTATTATACAATCATTCAGAGACTTTATATATATATATATATATAAAACCGCTTAAGAACCGAGTTTAAGAACATTTGTTGTTCGACCTGTTAGTCAAATGCGTTTTGTTAAAATATACTTTTTTCACTTTTTTGGTCTTTTGGAAAATGTTGTTTGTGCTGTATTTAGACCCTTCTAACAAGACATTTGTTTTGCATGCACACGTATAAAAATTCCGGTTTTTATCCAACGCAATCATAGGTTTGAACGTTGTTTTTAATTTAGACTTGTATATATATAAATATATCAATGTATTTCTTATATTTAAAAAATGTCTTTTACTTGGATATATGTTATCGATATTATATATTTTATTTGGACCTTAGTATGTGAAGTATCAGCTTTAAAAAATTAAATTTCAAATTATAAATTTAGTACTTACGAACCTGTATCTGTTTGAAACACAAGTGATATTCCCCGTTAGAAATTCTACGTTCATTAATTATTAAGAAACTAAGGTTCCTACTGTCTCATGCAAAGTTTGCCTGAGATGATTTTTACTGTTCTATTTTGGTCCTTTCTGATCATATAGCTTCGAACGTTTCAATGTATTCACGGTTAATATGTCGATCAGATCAAAGTAAGGAGACGTAATAAGATGGGCAATGATTTAATCATCTACCAGAATTTTGATGACGTGAATATAGGCATGTATAGATGTAATAAGATGGGCAATGATTTAATCATCTACCAGAATTTTAATGACGTGAATATAGGCATGTATAGATGTAATAAGATGGGCAATGATTTAATCATCTACCAGAATTTTAATGACGTGAATATAGGCATGTATAGATGTAATAAGATGGGCAATGATTTAATCATCTACCAGAATTTTAATGACGTGAATATAGGCATGTATAGGTCACCGTACGGCTTTCAATGACGAGAAACAAATAATTACATGAGTCAGCTTGTAAAGGGTCCGGCATAAAAAATAAGAAATAATTCGAACAAGAAAAGGTACGCTTTATTTCATAACAATAAAATTAGTAAAATTAAATATGACAGATGACGATTATATGACCACTTGTACTTTGTTATTTTAAGATCTAAGACCAGGTAGACACGGCTCCCCGTGAGTTGAGAGAAACACCTGTCGTATTAGTCAGTCAAATTGTCTTAACAATTCTGCTTCATATTAATAAAGGTTTTGTATATGATTTCTTCTCCGTGAATAAACATAGCAGAAGACGAAGAACTTGGCACAAATGTAACACAAAACAAAAACTCTTTATAAAGTTATATATACTATATAGTGTATCAAAAATCTTTCAGTTTTATTTCTGTGCCTTACTCATGCTCAATAACCTGTTACGGTTTAATCCATATTTTATCGTTCCTTTCTTTTCCGATCATAATTATTTATAACGTTTACTAAGTCGAACCTTTACCATGTCGTATCTTTGCGATATTTAGCAAGTCGTAACTTTACCAGTTCGTACCCACACATTCTGTATATGAAGTAAGGATAAATGCTATTCCTGTTTTCATTTTGCAAGTATTTTTTTCGTTAACTTTTAAAGGAACAGCATTTCCCGCAAATTTGTATATTTTATCAAAACACATGCCTCATATTGTTTCAAAGTAGTTTCATTTCAGGCTTGGACCATACCTATTGAGTATTTGATTATTTATTTTCAAAATTCAAAATGATTTTGTGAACTTCATATTGTTGGTGTATTGAATTTGATAAAGCATATCCCCAATTGAAACAATAATATCTTACCTTTTTTAAAAAGTTCGGGAAGGTTTTTTCCCAGTACGTGTATGATATGTAGTGTTTGTTATAAGGAATAGTTGCCTGGTACGCTGATGTGTAATTAGATAATGTGTCGTTGAGGTCAGTTTTCTGTAAAATAAAAAAAACTAATTTGTACCATAATTCAAAGCAAAATGAATGCATTAACCGGAGAATTGTATTGATTTTAATTCCAAAAAGAAACTATTTCAATTGACATTTATATTTGACAAGCATTTTGCGATCGGTAAGATTTGAAAATACAATGAACAGAACAGCAGTTTCTATTCTCATTTATTAAAAAACTAGCTTCGGAAAAACGACTAATTGTTCATTATACTATATGTACGTTTTGCAAACGTTCAAGTGCTGAAGTGACCGTGACAGTATTTTTTGAAAGTGTTTTCTTATAAAAAAGTCAACACATATAAGGTTTCTAAATTCTAACAAAACTCCTAAAACTAAGACCAGACCAATGCGGGTCTGAATTCGAAATGAGAACAAAAAGGTGTTTCCATGAAAAACGTAATGAAATCAAACTAAAAATATTTTCTAAAATACCCGATTTTGTTATCAAACTATCATTGTTATTCTGTGTTTGTGTCATCCCTTTCTAAAATTTTGTAACTTACCTTATTGTATATAATAGAAATATTCACTATATTTATCAAGTAGACAACTATCATAATGGAACTCATTAAGACGTTCTGCAATAAATAAATTAAACAAATTGGTATATATTCATACTATCCATTTGATTTTTGCACCTAATTTCTTAGACGATTTTGTAATCATATGGACATTAATTACCACAGAAGGTAAATTTATTCTAAATTGAGTTCTTCATTCAAAACTGAAATGATAATGAATGTTAAGTATATAAGTGTATAGTATCCTATTTGTTTGAGTAATATAAATACTTGGCGTTTTTAAATTATATGATCATCGACACTTTCTAGCTCTTGTTGGCAATAGCTGCATGAGATTTCGATTGTGTTCAATGTAAAATGTTGATTTTTTTATCAGTTAAAATCCTCAGCTTTTGTCAGCCAAAAACATTTATACTTTGCGGAACCATATATTTGGAATTCAGCTTCGTTATCAGAATTTGTGATATCATTGTGTTGTAAGAATATTAAAAAAGAGTTAACTAGGTTTAAGTTAGAAGCGTTTTTTTTTATATATTGATACATCTTATCTTACAAAAAAACGTACAAAACCACCGCTTTTTAATTTTGCATGGATTGGAAATCTTCATGTTTTGTAATTCAAATCTATCTTTGGCTTTTATAAATGTAGTGGTAGTGTACTATACAAATTGAAGTTGCACCTGACAAAAACATATCTATCCGAGGTCTGTCTTATGGGTGGCTGGGGGAGGGCGTTGTAAAATCTAAACATGTCATACATTTTTATGATTATGATCTTAATTTCATCTTATTCATACATAGTTTTTATGTAAAGTTATACATAATGTAAATCATTGAATAATGTAATAAGCAGGATACCAGTTGTACTTACAACGGCCAGTATTCGTTTTTTCCTTCCAATAGCTCCCCATATTCCAAAAATACCAGAAACCAGTTCTAAGACAAATACTCCAATGAAAGAAAATACAACAGATTTAACGGTTGTTCCTAATGGCATCCCAGCTAGTATCTCCATGTCGATAATTTTGATGACGTCTTCGTTTAAAATGTCGTTGTTAACCTTCATCAATATCGACATCATTATGAAACCAAAGGTAAATGTCTGTAATAAAAAAATGCAATTTTTTTTCTTTGAGTCGTGTAAACTCCCCCCCCCCCCCCCTTCACCATTCTCTATTACACAACACATCATTCCCCTTTTTCACTATATACTATTCCCCATTGCACCATACACATTTTAATCATAGACGATAATGCACCATTAGAACGCGTACACCTTTCCCTAACACACGATACACCATTCTCTATTTTATCATTAGTCATTCCCTACTGCACAATACACAATAAGTTCCTCATTATCCTATCACAATCAATCTGAAACGGTAATTTTTATCTGAACATATCTTAAAAGACTGAACAAAAAATGGGAAGCAACTGTGTTTATCGTCTTTTGATATTGAGGATCGGTTGAGATCAAAACTTTACGAAAAAAGATATGATTTTAGCTTCTCGATAGTGAACTTTCTAAGATCCCCTTGGTATCTGTCGACTCTCTAGTTAAATAATTTTCAGTCGTTCAGTCAATATTGAGATTTATCCACTGCGGTAAATACAATAGTGATCAAACAATTCACTTGCACTCACCTAAAATCTGTCCAGTCTATAATCATATTGTTTTTGTACAAGTGTTCGAATTAAATCATTGCAAAACAAAAACGTTTCCTGTTTTGTAATACCACATTCTTTATTGGTTCCTCAAATTCCTTCTGATACGGCGCTTTTAAAAAAATAAATCTACACATAGAAGTATTATTGAGTAAAATAAATTTAACATGTACTGAGTCAGGTACTCCAGTGATTTTATTACTTTCGTGTATTCTTTCGGAAATATGGGTCCTGAAGCTCTACAACTACGTACTTTTCTTGGCCTTTTTTAACTTTTTAACTTCTATGAGTCGTTTTAAGACAAAACGAGCGTCTGGCGTACAACATTTGTATCCTGGAATTTATGATGAGTGTTTATACTTATATACTTCATATGTTAGGTTGTTCAGTGGTTGTTATGCTTAAACAATGTCAAATACTTTATTCGCCTTAACCATTGCCAGAACTTATACCAGACCCCACCTTTACGCGTCATTTTCGTCAGAAATATACAAAAAAAATATAGAAACAAATAAATAAAAGTTGATGTAAACTAGATAAGGTTGTGGATTGAGATTTAGATCAATTGATATACGCATTTAAATACATAATATGTATACGAGCAAACAGGATTTAAGTTAATTATTCTGACATAATTGTATTTGATTTCGGATAACGACTTTAATTCTAAAGAAATATAATTTTCATGTTTTACAAACGATTTGTTGTGGTTTAAATTTAGAATTTGGTTAACAAACATCCGTGTTCTATTTTTGATATATTCATAGTTAACAACAAGAAAGTGACAAAAGATATGACTCAAGTTCTGAAATAACGAGTTCGTGTCCATCCGTGTTCTTTTAAGATATTATATGCAACAATTTACAATCACATCATGTTTAATTTATACTTTGAAATGCTTGAAATTGATAATCAGAATAATTTCGAATGTTATTTTGTTATTTCGTCTTATATTACTTATTTCTTAAAACAAGTGGGAAACGATTCGGGTATTTCGACAGGGTAAGTATCGTCTGAAAATCACTACGAAAAAAATAAAATAACAAAAATACCGAACTCTTGGAAAATATACCTAATTGTTGGAATTGATAAACATAACACAACGTTCGAATAAAAATAATACCGGTATTTCATATATTTCATATCAGAGTTAATGGATTTTGACCGTACATAAGGAAAAAACATTTTTTTCAATGTAATGTAATTGATCTAGTATGCTTGGATCAATTTCCTACAAACTTAACACTGTCGTTGTACTTGGTTCATCTAGACTTGCTTTTGATTTTGAAAATTTTCTAGAGTTATAAGTTTTTAACCGTCATATTTGAAGCAATATGTGTACTCCTATGGTTATCATCATGCGTGTTTTTCTATAGAGCCTTTTCATTTGATCTTAATAAATTACTTCATAACATCCCGTTTTAAGCACCAATTGCATATGCACAATATTGGCGTATCATGCAATCTTGGTATAGCTTATTATTGGATTTTTTCAGCTCTTCAATATTTGTTTTAGGTTTTGTATTTGGTTTTGGTTTTGGTTTTCAGCATTACTAAAGAAACATTAATGTCGTATGTGGTAAATTCTAATTTTTTCATTACAAAGATCTGAGAAATCTTGTCATATAGAACTGGTCCATAGTTTGTTTTATGTAAATTTTGAGTTGATGTTGCCAATACAAATTCAAAATTGCCACCACCTTTGAACAAATTTAAGCATAGAACATGTGAAATACATACACATGGCGTCTTCTGAGAATCTGTTTTATATATGTAAACGATATCTTGCACTAATTATACTTTACTAGTCCTATATTTATTTGCGCTTTTTGTTGCCGATCAAAGATAAGATATGACCACCGCAGTGGGACAAAATAAAACTATACGAGAAAAAAAATAATGAGTACAAACAATTTCTTTGCCCCTCTCTCACCAAACAATAACTTAAAACCAAATCATGTACAAATGCTCATAGGGTGTTCCTATACTTATTTTTTATATATCGTACCTATCCGAAAACAAAGATTGACACATCTGTTGAACATAGTTTTACGTAGAATCATTTTGAAAATCCTTACAAATAGCTTCTCCACCAAACTTATGCCTAGTTTTTGCTAGTTATCTGAGATCCAATATGACTGTCCCCACTGAACAGAGTTTAACATAGAACCCAATGAGAAAGACATAGTAAAAATTATAAAAATATATTAGTGGCACTACCATGCATGCACTCAATGGCACTAACACGAATCAAACAAGTACTTTCTCACTGATCTGTTATCACACTTCAAACTATATATTATTTCAAAAACACTACAACCAAATCGATGGTCTCAAAGTAGCTTGCTCGCTTTTAGTGCGGAAGATCTTTTTTTTTTTTTTTTTTTGCTGCTTATCCAGTTATTACGTGATATCTAAAAGTAAGATCAAAGATTGGATGGCTCGGGGTCGTAATAATGTGACCAGGTAGGGTGTCATATATACCTGTGTTTCATTGTGAGTCACGTTAAAAAGCCTGTCCAGATTGTTAGCATAGTAAAAACCAAAGTCAATTATAGTATCTAACAATAGCAGAGCTGTGCATATAAAAGCAACATGGTTCTAATTTCAATTTTTCTGTTTTTGGTCTTTCTATCTGCAAACGCATTTTTTTAAACGAATAAAGTTATGATATTAATGGAACTTATTCTACTCTAACAGATGCGCATTTCGACATTAAACGACTCTTCAGTGATGCTTGAGGCCAAACTATTTGACACTCCAAAACGTATTTAAAAATTTGAAGTACTGAGTAAATCACAAAGAATAAAAATTATAGCCAAATCCGGGTCAGAAACCTGATCTTTTCATTTGGAAGATATATTGCTCGATTTAGGATAATTTCTTCAATTCTATCACAGCAAATCTCCATAACACAGTATCCGTAGAATCATGCCAATACCAAAGTACAGGCTACTGGGTTGGTGATATTCTCGGAGACTAATAGTCCACCATCAGAGGTATCGACCCATTGATATGTACATTATTCTAACTGACAAAATACATATATTTAACTTACCCTGGTTATTAAGGATGCTGTCAAAACAATATTTGCTGAAATAGACAAACGACCTCGATTTATTTTCACCATTTTTCAAATAATATTTTGATGCTATCGGTGATGTGGTTGTCAATTTAAATGTGTAATGTGTTATTGTAATACATGTTTCAAACAAACCATACGTGAAATTCGAGGCTAAATTACATTTAAATACATGACATTCAAGATGGTATATTACATAATAGACTTCCTAGTTCTTTGTTACACAAAGGACACAAGAAAACAACATATATAAAGAAAAATAACCGCTTTCCACGAACCTTACACTTAATAAAGTGGACCATTTTTTGCATCAAACATTTTTTTTACTTATGAATTATTTATGGTTTTAAAGAAACAAAATAACATATTATTCAATGAAAATTTTAAAACTCAATCCGACGATACATTGTTCCCATAAAACATGCTGAAATATTTCCCAAGGATAAAGTTGAGAGCAATATTATATCACGCCAGTCAACTATTTAAGCTTATCAAAAAATGCTAAATAAAATGATTCAGAATAAACACAGACTTATTAATTTTGTAAATGAACATCATATAATGAGAAATGTGATAATAAGACAGTTCCCTATGCATGGGTTTATACATCTATGGTGTAACGATAGCCACTATCAGAAAATAGTTTATAACAAACGATCAGAAGGCGATTTCGTATTAGGAAAACTGTTGCTTTTAATCGGGTATATTTTTGGCATAACCTTTTTTAGATTGTTTACTTTTTTCAATGCTCTTCAAACTCTTATTTAATTTTGTATTTAAACTGTTCGAGTGCCATTGATGATTTTAATGCAGGCCAGACGCTTCTAGCGTATCAAATAATAAGCCTGATAACTTTCATTAACTTTACAACCGCTTGATTGATTCAAATGCTGGTGGACTTTTCGCCCCGACGGCATCACCAGTCCAGTATTCTGCAGTCCTATGGTGTAATATGTTAGTCTAATAATGATTTTAATGCGTTAGGTATGCGTTAGATGATACATCTTTGGACATGTTCTTTTGACATCACGATAGCGAAATCAGAGGAAAGCAAGACAGTTTGGCGTAATAATTGAAATTTGACCAATCAAGAATTGAGAACAAGAGAATTACACGTTTTATATATGATAAATATTAAGTTAAGAAAACCAAAAGAAAAAAAATTGAACCAAATGCTTAAGTTTAAGTCATCCTTTTGAATGTTTTACAGGCGCCTTCATAAATTAGTCGACTATTAAAAAGTATCTAGATCGTAGCCTCAAAAGTTTAAGCGGTTTGTCGTAAAGCCTATAAAAAAAAGAACGAATATGGAAAAAAATATAGTCCGTCCTTGTGTTGATTAACAAAAATTCGTCCAAAAATTAATTTCAGTCATCATTTTAATGGAAATCATAAACAAAATAGATATTCATGAAAGGACCGCTTTCCTTTTATATAACACAAAACTTGAAATTCCAGGTTTTTTGTCTCGGTGAAATTATACATTGTTTCTAGTGTCCTTACAACCGTTAAAGACTTATTATCTGATAATTTTATACACAAATGCATACATCAGAATCAAATGTTGAAAATCCAAATTATTGAATAATGCCATGTGCTTCTGAATTGTTATCATATCGCAACATGCATTAGAAAAAAACATGTCAATTCTTCAGAAGTGTTATCGCTTTCAACTTTTGAAAGACGTAATATTTATTTTTTTTATAACAAATACATGTTGCACACAATAATTTATTTATATAAATATATCTAAAAATTCGAAAACGTGATTTTATTTATGTAGACAGTTTAAAGTTTAAAATTTTAAATCAAAATGTAACATGTTGTGTTTTGTTATATAATGACGAATATATAGCATAAAGTATCATGCCATACTCGAATTCAACACTATAAATCTTCTTCGACTAAATTTTCTGCGTCAACATCTGCTATTAATTTGTCTTTCAATTCGGTTTTATCTGAATCTGTTTCTTCAGTAATTTGTATACTGGTGTCTTTCATTGTGTTATCTCCTTTTTCTTGATGCATGTTTTCTGTTTCATCGTTTTTGTGTTGATCTATTGTGTCTGCTTCCTCTTTTTTGTCATTGTTTGTGTTTTCTGTTTTATTGAAATGTTTCGAATCAAGCATTTCCTCAGTATTCGTTCTCATTCTTTCATTTTCTGTCTTTGTCTCTTCCAACGACTGTATTTCAATATTGTCTTTGATTTTCTCCGTTTCAGCAGTATCTTGCTTTACGAATGATTTCTGTTTTTCAGTCGATTGTTGCCTCTCACTTTTTGCAATGTTTTCGGATTTCTCTTTTTTTTTCTTCTTTTTCTTATCTTTTTTATCAGAAACAGTGCTTGTAGGTTTTGATGTGGATTTTTCATGTACTTCTAATATTTCTACATCTCCTTCATTTGCTTTCTCTTCTACGTGCATAGTACTTGGTTCAGCTGGTAGGTGAATGGCGTCATATATTGTCATCACTATACACGAAATCTGAAATGACAAGATTTTTTTATTGCGAGTAAAAACTAACAAGACTACGGTTATAAAAAAAAAATATATAACCAACAACACTCAATGAGAATCACGATCCGACCATAAATCGTGTTAATACAGGTACTCCTAGCGGGGAGTAGTTATTGCTCAACCTGTTGCTTCCGTCGTGTTACTCTTTGCTTTGGCTGAAATCAATTTTTTGAAATAAGGGAAAAAAACCTCATGATTGAATTCACGACAAGTGGAACATATGAGGGCCTCGATTGGGGTCCTTCATTTCTGTATTTTCTTAAGTTTCAGCTGTAATCTTTAATGTCGATACATTTCAATAGTTTAAATGATATGAAATACAAAAATGGACATATTATAAAAATGCATTTTTTAAATTTATTACATGAATGTAAATTGATGCTTTAAAGTTAATGAACTGTCAAGAAATTGTCATATACATTTTTATTTACTTTTCAAACAAAAGTTGAATGATTCAAATCCTGTAAGAATGATGTACCAATTATCAGCAACCAATCTTTAAAGTATATATGGAATTTAACCATTAAAATGAACAAAACTTTTAGCGGTTTGCCGTAAAGACTAATAATATAAGAATGAGTATGGAATAAATTTATCTGATTTCTACAACTTCTTCTATAATCCATCCTTGTGTGGTTAGACGAAAATTTGTCTAAAAATTAATTTCAGCCAACATTTTAATGGAAATCATAAAAAAGTTATATTCATTAAAGGACTATTTACCCCTGATAAAAACTAACATGTCAACGGGTACAATGCACGATATTGGTTGTCTACTACTAGATTACAAAGTCCATATAAAAATATCTGTTAAAATTTTGCTTAGTTTCCTTTGTTACTATTCTGACATCGGGCTTCTTTTAAACTGAGTTTTACTGTGCGTACCTTCGGCTGTTGTCTGCTTTTTGGTCGGGTTGTTGTCTCCTTGACATATTCCCCATTTCCATTCTCAATTTTAATGTATCATATCCTAGACAGAACATCTGTTACTATTTTTAAGTACTATATTTATGTTCAAGTGAGTAATTTGTAAACAGAAGCATTATTAGCGTGTGTTTTTAAATTGTTATTCGAATCATATTGTCATTAATATAGTCATGTGTAAGAGAAGACCGAAGACCCCAATTTAGTTCTGTCTACTAATTAATCAAGATCAGTTTTCCCTAGGCTATATTCAATTGTATATGATTATCTGCTACACAATTTGCTTGCTTGAGAACTTTGGATAAACTTCTGTTTTATTATTGTCCACCACACTGTAGGTTATGCTATTTTCATATTGTTATTTGTATTTTTAATATGTACCGACAGTTTCTTTATGATCTCTTTCAGAGTTTAAAGTAATTGTCTGCAAACACCTGATTTTGATTATCTTACATTGTGTCAGTTTTCACGCATTTTAGCCAGTTAAATACGTTTGATAATTGTCCAATCCCATTTGTGTGCAAGTATTTGGCCTGTATCGCCCCTCTTAAATTTCTAATTTTTGCTTTCTAAAGTGTCCTCTTTTTCAATTTAATTTTTCTATGGAACGTCATTTGTGTCATAAATTTTGGTTAATAATTTTTTAACAATGTAATGAAAATCGTATTATTGAGAACATATATGTTTGTAATAGTACTTACGATTCCGTTGTCGTCGGAAATGATAAATTTTAAGTAATATACCTAGTTACGATTAAGGCTCTTATCACAATGTGCCCCGTGAATGTCTAAACAGTTGTGTAATTCCCGCTGTCTTGTTCTTATTTGATTTTTATGAGAATATAAAGAACGATTAAATATTTTAACCTCAGGGTAATAAACACAGCATTGCATAATTATGAACTTTACATTTCTATGTAGCAACATTCCAGAAGCGCCTGCATACGCAGTATATATCTCCCAATTGATACGGGCTTGTATTTCCTATCATGATTTCCTTGATAGAGGGTTGTTGTTTACAAGGAAGCTTTTTAACAAAGAGTTCCAAATGGTGAAGCTAAAATCATCCCTTCGTAAAGTTTACGGATGCCATATTGATTTGGTTGACCGTTATGGAATATCCGTTTAACATATGATAGCGGATATGTTTCTAATGTCGTAACTACAATCCCGTCCCCTTTTAACGAATGTGACCCACCGAATAGGACTTGTTAGCGGGTTTGCACTAACATGGGCAGCACAACGGGTGCCACTTGTGGGGCAGGATCTGCTTACCCTCCCGGTGCATCTGAGATCACCCCCAGTTTTTATTGGGGTTCTTGTATTTAGTCTTTAGTTTTATATGTTGTGTTTTGTGTTTTATGGTTTGTCTGGTTGTCTGTTTCTTTTTTAGCCATGGCGTTGTCAGTTCATTTTCGATTTATGACTGGTATCTTTCGCCCCTCTTTTATTATAGTCATTGTTCTGATTAATCGGTGTTTATGTAGTATTCTTTTCTTTTAGCAAAATAATTTCCACAATATTCTCTTGTGAATCATTAAAAAGTCCATCGTACAAAATTTTGTGAAAAGAGCTACATAACCATTGGTGTATACAAACTTGAGATGATAGATGAAAACCACCCTTTAATATTATGGAGATGGCAGATGTGGATAAAGTTTGATATTTCACAGATGATCATTTTCAATTGACGTTACGACAATTCTCGATTGTGACATCCCCCTAATCAGACTTATCGGCAAATGTTTTCTTACCATGCGTAACACGACGGATGCTATTAAGGGAACATGGTTTGTTTGTCCTTCCACAGCACCTGAAACCTCCCTCAGGAAGTTCCAGACTGAGTATTGAATAACAATTGCACATTATTTACCTATGTTTTCCTGCTTACAGGTGTTGCAAATAATGTATTGTAATAAATAAATTGTTTTGTATTGCATGACAAACACCTACTTGACTGACTAAGCGGTATGAGTTTTGCTCATTGTTGGAGGGCGTAAGAAGGCCTATATTTGTCAACTTAGATTTCATTAGTCTCTGGTGGAGAGTTTTCTCATTGGCAATCATAATACTTCACATTTTAAATTGAGATCATTTTACTATAAAATGTTCATTTTTCATATACCTTTCTAACAATATCTATTTAAAAAAACAATATGAATTTCGGTCATTAAATATGTGTTGATGTAATATTTGGATTGATGCATACACTAACATGAGAGAATTTTTAAAAAGGATTAAATGATACAAACATCCCTAGAGTATATTTCTCTGTTGTATGTCTTGCTTTGTGACGATCTCTAACGGTCTAATTATCTATCTTAGTTTCCGATTATTCATTTTCTTCTTTGTGTTTCATCTTGTTTAAACATATGGAATATAATATCGTAAAAAGTGCACCAATCTTACAAACCTCAGCTAAAATGACGACTGCCATAAACACAAAGAACGGTATGCTGTACATTTTTAATCTACCTTCAACTACAGAATCACATCCCTACAATATATTTTGGTTTTTAATTTATTTATCTTTTATGTGCCATTATTCAAATTTTCAAATTCTAAGTAAAAAATTAAATCAATATGATACCATATTGTTTGAATTTCTTTCTTTTTTTTTTAATAAAAATAAAAACTTTTGAAATCATTTTCTTGTTATAATTATTCATGAGTTTGTATTAAACATGTTTTGTGCTATACAAATGCCCATTGAAACAATGGAACGAGTTATGCCGAGTCACTTATCAATTTACATTTTTTTTTCATATTTTATCTATGCTTCTTTTTCTTAGGCAACGAATTCTTAGATCGGTGCTTTGTTTCGATCTAAATGTTTTTGTCATTTGTATCGATTCGATTAATCAAATCATATTTTACAGCGTGTTTTTCAGGTGTGATGTAACGGTGCTGTCCCAAGTTTATGGCGGATCGACAAATCGCAAACATGTTAAATCTCGCCACTTCTATATGTGCTTCTCTTAAGTCATTCCAATGTAATTGAGTGTTGTTTTTGGTTGCTGTCTATCGAATTTTGTGTTTCTTTATTGTTTTTGTACATACACTTTGGCATTGTTTTTTTTCGATTGAATTGTTTTGCTGACTATATGATATTGGTTTTGATCGTTGTTAAAGGACTTGCGGTAACCTACAATTTCTTACATCTACTTCATTGGGTCTTTTTTTGGAAAATGTATCATTGGCATTCATACCACATAGTCTTGATTTTAATCAAATGAATGTGTAAATTGTTGACTACTTGGATATTTACATAAAGCAGGTCTTTTTTTAAATTCTTTATATAATTTGAAGAGGATATATATAAACTAGTATTCCTAAAATAGATTAATCAGTTCCGTTGATGTTAAAACGGCCTTTAAGAACATAGGTCAATGCGGAAAAATGTCTTTTTCGAATTACTCGCTTTCGTTAGGTTTGTTTTTCCAACCTTTTGTTTGTATTAATCTTTCTACTTTATACAACAGGCAAAGGTTTGAATTATGTCCCATCATCAGTTTGAACGCTTTAAAATGAGATAATACGCTTCCTTTCAGTGAGACAACGATTAACAGTATCATAACGCAGAAGTTAAATGGTCTAAATGTCGGTGTAACAAAAAAATATTATCGATAACTTCAATCGTATTTACATCGAGTAAGATGTTGGACGTCAAATCCAAAATCGAATCAATATTTGAAAACAATTCAAACAATACCATTGATTTAGGAAACTTCAAAATTTAATACAAGTTTGCTCTACCGGCTCAATAGTAAGATTTAAGTATTCTGGGAAAACCTAGAAGCTTTACCAAGGCAACTACAGATAAGACGATTTTATTTAAACTGTAACATAACTCGTACCTGACTATGGTAATAACCGTTAAATAGATTATATGTACAGTCCGTGTCAGATATACTGGTATATGGATACACTTCTGTCTGAGATTTACAACACTGCACTGGAATACGTTGGGAGGTCGAATCACGCCGGTACATATACCAATCCGATGAGGTAAATGAGTCCGGCATGTAAGTCCCAACACCACAGCATTCAGCCTAAATACATTAATATATATATTACTGTTAGATCAATGAAAGTATTAAAAAAACGAAGGACAAAATATAATATCTACGGCTACAGAGTATATGAAAACCTTTTTTCGAAAATGCATAAGAAATTGAAGATCTTCGTACATCATTACACCACCTCTTCAAACAAAAATAAAACAGAAAAATACAACGTCTTCTGAATTTTAAAGACTGTTAGCCTCTCCCAGTGACAGTTTATGTACTTATACATCCTTGGTTTGCAAATCTTAATCTTTCGGGTTGATCGGTCATCGATGAAGGTAAATGATGAAAAGTATTTTGAACACAACAAATTTACATTATTTTCATTGTCTAGGAGTGAGTATATTCCACTGCTGTTGTATTGTTATTCCCTGTTGTATCATCTGTTCAGTAATCTTTCTAGAATGTCTGTAAACAGCTTACTGTAACACCACTTTCCAAGGTTAGGGGATGATTGAGATCCCGCTAACATGTTTAACGTATATGTGCCTGTCCGAAGTCAGGAGTCTGTAATTCAGTGGTTGTCGTTTGTTGCTGTGTTACATATATGTTTTTTGTTAATTTTTTGGTACATAAATCAAACCGTTAGTTTTCTCGTTTGAATTGTTATACATTTGTGATTTCGGGGCCTTGTATAACTGACTATGCGGTACGGGCTTGGCTCATTGTTGAAGGTTATACGTTGGCCTATAGCTGTTAATTCTGTGTCATTTTGTATTTCGTTGAGATTTTTAGGTGGGGTTCGTGTTGCATATTCTTTAGTTTTCTATGTTGTGTTTTGTGTACTATTGTTTGTCTGTTTGTCTTTTTTTCCTTTTTAGTCATGGCGTTGTCAGGTCATTTTCGATTTATGAGTTTAAATGTCCCTCTGGTATCTTTTACCCATCTTTTGTCTCATTAGCAGTCTTCGTTTTTATAAGTTTGTATTCAGAAACATATGATTAAACTCTCTTAGGCAAACACTGTACACTGTGATAGATTTAACATCCTTTTTGGGGGTCCTATGTCCTTTCACGTGTATGTCGTCCTTATTATTACTTCTTTATTTTGATGATCAAGACTGGTACCTCGGGTACAGAAGGATCTATAACCCGGAAATGATTACATCGGGTGCAATGCTGCTTAGAATTTAGTTTAGTATGTAGTATTATGTAGACTGCCTTTTTCGTCCGACTCTGTTAGTTTCTCTTCTACTAATAAATATAAGATGTCTCTTCGAATCGATATCTTCCTTCTCTTCATTTTTATAGTGAGCCGGTGTATTTGGAATTCTGTTGTATTACCTGCTTCGCACATGAGACATACAATCAATACGCCGTTTTAGAATCGAATGCAATTTTGATTATTCGATTTTGTGTACCCCAAAATGAAAACCACATCCTGTTAAATAATGAATTTCAATTGTTTTGGTATTTGTTAGCCTATCATAGCGTTTTGATGTATTTTCATGAATATATTGCCCAGATTGCATTTGATTCTAAAACGGCAAATTGAAAAACTTTCTTAGTCTGAGGAACTAATCTATAAAACCTTCACTGTTTGTACCAATACACTGCAATTACCTGGACCTGTATCTTAAACAGTTTTATACTATAGAAAACGTTGTTGTCTAAAAGCAATGTGTCTGTACCACTGCTGTGCAATGGTTAAGTCATTCTAAATCATATCAATTTATCGGTATAGCAGTTATCTTACTAATGGCCCGAGAACACAGTTATTTCGTAGTGCATTTCTTTTAGACAATAAATTCAAATTAAAAAAATCGCACCTGCTCTATTTCAAAAAGATTTTTACAGTGTAGTGTACTACTATTGGGACAAATAATATCAAAATTATAGACACTTCTACCAGCTAAAACTCAAACAATTTACAATTCTGTGTTAAGGGGGTCTAAAATTCAGTTTGACAGCTTCAGACGTACTAATTTTGACCTTTTTTAACTGGACCAAATCACTACTTAACATAAAGATTCAGCACCCAAATTTTTTAAACATGTAATTTCATCCCCTTACTTAATATTTCATGCATTTAATATCAAGAAATAAATTGGAAAAGTGTAACAAAAAAAATGCAAGTTATACACTGTTCACACTAGGGACTATATTCGTAGACAACGAAAACCAAAGGACGATAACTGTGTCCTTGGACCTAATAGGACAGAAAAACGTGACCAATCTTAATAAAACTTTGCATGACCTAAGCTTATGGAATTATAAGATAGTTGGCCAAGTTTCATGGTCATAGGACATATATTATAGAAACTACGGTCATTTTAGTATTGACAATTGGATGTTTATTTTTGACGTTTAAATCAAATATTTTCAACTGTCAAGATTTTGGCCTAAAAAATTTAAATGTTGCAAAAATTTGCTTTTTAAATGCTCTTGAATATTATATATTAAGTATTAAAAGCATCTGAACATTCATTTTATTTATCAGATTTATTACAAGTATTCCAAAGTCAGATTTCTATGAGCCTATGCCTGAAAATAGAGATTTTCGAATTAAGGGAAGCCTTACATTAACATGCATTTTTTTCAACCAATTTGAAGTTTTTGAAGTTTTTTAACCATAGATTATTCTTCCATATATATTAAATGTACTTTAAATGTAGAGAAAAGTTACAAAAAGCATACCACATGAATTTAAAAAATTGAAAACAACACGTTTAATAATTTCCTGCGTACGAAGCGCTTTTCTGGATTTACCTTCATCAGGAACGCTCAAAATGGTCTTAGGCCATGTAATACTGAGAATTATTTAGAGTCGATTTAGGCCGTAGCCAATATTTACATATAAAAATGCACACAGAAGCTATAAGAAATGAAAATTTGTGACTTTTTGCTCATTTCTCTGCTAAGGTGTCATGATACAAGAAGTCTAATTGCAAAAGGACTCTTGTATTTAACTTTTTTGCAGACAGTATGGTCTGATGACCAGTTTTTTCACTTTTCAATGGAAAACTTGCATGTAGTTTTAGTCTCAATTGGCATATACTTGGACCACTTACTATCCTAAAGAAGAAAATTATGGTAGCATATGAAATAAATAAGGTGTACTGATCATTGTAAAGTGCTTTTTTTACAGATTTAGTGAAATATTTGTGATGGACTACAGATTTTATGTACAAAGCTCTTCACATTTCACATACATCAAACAGGCCGTTTAACCAGGGCCATAAATACATTCGTAGTGCATTTCTTTTAGACAATAAATTCAAATTAAAAAAATCGCACCTGCTCTATCTCAAAAAGGTTTTTACAGTGTAGTGTACTACAATTGGGACAAATAATATCAAAATTATAGAAACTTCTACCAGCTTTAACTCAAAATATTGACAATTCTGTGTTAAGGGGGTCTAAAATTCAGTTTGACAGCTTCAGACGTACTCATTTTTGACCTTTTTTAACTGGACCAAATCACTACTTAACATAAAGATTCAGCACCCAAATTTTTTAAACATATAATTTCATCCCCTTACTTAATATTTCATGAATTAAATATCAAAAAATAAATTGGGAAAGTGTATAAAAAAAAATGCAAGTTATACACTGTTCACACTAGGGACTATATTCGTAGACAACGAAAACCAAAGGACGATAACTGTGTCCTTGGACCTAATATCTTTACCAGTTTATATTAAAAAAAATCGTCAATGAAGCCACATTTTAATTTTGTACACAAAACGGACTTTTCGTCAATATTACACCTATCATTTGCGCTTGACTCAAACAGTATGATTAATCAATCAAAAACTGATCAGAAGAGCGTTATTTACAGAAAATTCCATAAAGTTGTGACTATAATCTGTATGATTAATCTATGCTAGGGGTCGAAAAACAGTGATTCAAATGATCGTTAAAATTTATAAACAATCAATTTAAATATTTCTTTCAATGATAGTGGACATTAACACAAACGTGTCGACTATCTCCATATTCTGAGAAATTTACAACTTGGTTTTTAAGGTTTTTGGGGGGTTATTGCTTACAAATATTTTATTATTTGTCTTCCTAATTGTTTGGTCATAATGATCGATGCAGGCTATACCGCGTTTCGTATCAAACGAATGATATACGTTTATACACACACGTACCTTTACAAATAATGTATTCCAAGATAATGATGTTTCACGGTGATGGTGGCCTGATGCATGAGAATACATATAGCTATATTGACTGGTTAACTCCGTTCTCATTTTTCCCTCTAAATCTGAATCTACCTGCAAAACAAAATATAAATAAGCATTAATATATATTGTATATAGTGATGCCCTCAATCATTAATGTAGATATGAAACCTTTCAATTGTTAGTATTCGTATCTTATACAACCCTCACATGATAGCGTTGAAATAAAAACATTGTTGTTGAAATAGTTCAGGTTCCTGTTTTATGCAGTCTGACTCAACTTACACTCGTAAATCTATTTTAAACTGAAACTTTCATTTGAATTTCAAAAGCTCTCAAAATACTGAACATCACATCCAGTAGTTTGGCCAATGCTCAGACATATTCACAGTGGTAAACTCAGTAAAGAACTGATTAGAAACTCTGAACAAGACTTGGTGTTTTCAGGTTCAGCTTTTTCGGTCGTTGTTAAGATCGAAATCACATTTTCAAAACTACACTTCTTTACTAGTGACAGGTTGCATGAACTTACATTGGAGTTCTAATGATACTTTTTTGGCACAGTACAGCTAACAACAGATAGACAAATTCAGACAACAGTTATTTGCCGATGTTCAAAACTCATGCATACGATATAAAGTCAAAGAAAAACAGCTAATAGAGGGATTCTCATGAAAATAAAAATGAGCGAGACCAGGTGTGTCTCCTCTATGCATGCATCACCAGACATTTGAATCCGCACTCAGGCAAACGATCTCGATCGGGAATAGGGACTTATCAGTAAAATGACATATTAGAAATTTTGTGGTAGATCTAAGACAGCAAAAATCTGTGAGTTGCGGCACATTTATACTTTATCCATTAACCATGTCGCAGTGATGACCGTGCAACTTATATAGTGTCGATTTCAGTCGTTCTTCCTCATAACTCTGTTAGAAAAGTGTTTGTGTAAAGAGCAACTCTTTCTTATAGTATCCGTATAGTGTAAACATAAAAAGCGTAACGTTAGAATTAAGATATTTAAACGGATTCTTTTGGTCAGAAGATAAAGTACAGGCAATAATTTGAAAGTTGAAATTATAACATTTGTCATAGATTCAAGTTAGAAGTTTTCAATCTGTTTCTATATCGAAAAAACTTTTTAAATATGAAAGGGGTTCTTCTAGTGTCTGCATAATCCTTATTCACAAATTTACTGGAATATATGAGATGCAAACCTCTACTTAAAAGTGGGTGTTATTGAGTGACAGGACTACATCAATATATCTTAAAATGAGATTTTAAACATTTGTGTCTGCCATGTTTTTTTCTGTTTCTTAATGAGGCGATTTTGTATGAGTTCTGCTGATAATGATTACAAAAACAGGCACGTCATTAGATGCACTTTTAGCACCGATGTTAATGGTGCGTCATTGTAAAGAGTTACAAAATACCTGTTTGTATTGGAACATAATTGTACACTTTTCAGTAAAAAAATTATCAAAAGGATAAACAGTAGGATAACAAGGAAAGCAAGAGGTATTGTTCAATAAAAGTTTGATGTATATTACATCAATTACACCACCTGACATGTTAAGCCTGGCATCGGTAATTGTTATTTTTAAAACATGGCAACCTACCAGAGCCCTTTTCTGCTTTACAAGGGTATACCTATGATGCTCTATTATGGTGATATTTGCCATTATACTTCCGTTTCTATGAGAGAGCTTTACTGATTGTTTAAACATACTAAAACGTACGGATTGCTGAAACTTATTAAGAATGTGTAAGAAAAAGTATTTGATTTTCTCAAAAAGGATCACTTTAAAAAAATTTATCAAATATCATATAAACATGTAGCCGTACTGTTTTGAACATCAAAATACCTGCAATTAAATATAACGAAAAGCTGTTTCTGTCCAGAAATAATATAATTATATTCTAATGTATTTACTAAAATTGACTTAAAATGAGGATTGGAATGGGGTTCCAATATGTTTACATTATTAGGAATAAACTTTTCTGTTAATTTGCATGAAATGGAATTGCTGAACTATGGTCCAAGAATTAAAGAAATTGAAAATATAATACAAATTTGGTCTAAACATAATAAACACTCTCGAGAACGACATATATCCATAAACAATCTTTATAATACACAAAGACCAATTATTACAAATAATATAAGAATATTTTTTTTTATCAAAAAAAGGTTCGAAAGATATGTATAACGTTTTATGAGAAAAAAAATACTAAACCTAAATGTTAATACAAATGGTCCTTAACACTACGCAAAAATTTTGATTGGAAAACCGTGCATAATATGTCTTTTTACTCCACAAAAAGCTCAAAACTACAATGATTATAGTACAGAATAATACACAGAATTTTGGGCACAACTACATTTTATTTAGAATGAAAATAAAATAAAGAGATAAATGTACTTTCTGCAATGAAGTTATTGAAGATATTGAACATATATTTTGGACTAGCTATAAAATAGTAGATCTGTGGATAAGACTTGGTGACTGGATTTATAACCAAACACTAATAGATATTCCGTTTAACATGGATATAATCTTTTCCGGAAATTTATGAAAAATGATAAAATAAAATATTTAATAATACTATCATCGAACTAGAGATAAAGGATACAACAGATACAGTTAAGTCTGCCTCATATCTTGACTTACATCTTGAAATTGACAATAAGGGTAGGTTGAAAACAAAACTTAGCGACAAACGAGATGATTTCAGCTTCCCAATTGTGAACTTTCCATTTCTATGTAACAACATTCCAGCAGCGCCTGCATAAGGAGTATATATCTCCCAATCGATACGATATTCCCGCGCTTGTATTTCCTATCATGATTTCCTTGATAGATGGTTGGTGCTCACAAGGAAGCTATTAAACCAAGAGTTCTAAATGATGAAGTTGAAATCATCCCTTCGTAAATTTTACGGACGCCATCACGAGTTTGTTGACCGTATGGAATAACAGTTTCGCAGATGATATTGGATATGTTTCTTACGTCGTAACTACAATCCCCTTTCCTTTTCATGAATGTGACCTACCGAATTAGACAATTTTTATCAAATTTGTAATAACATGAGCAACACGATGGGTGCCACATGTGGAGCAGAATCTTCTTACCCTTCCGGAGCACCTAAGATCACCCCCAGTTTTTGGTGGGGTTCGTGTTACTAAGACAGTCTTAAGTTTTCTATGTTGTTTTTTGTGTACTATTATTTGTCTATTTGTCTTTCTCATTTTTAGCCATGGCGTTGTCAGTTTATTTTCGATTTATGACTTTGACTGTTCCTCCATCTTTCGACCCTCTTTTATCAAAATTCTTTGTCTAAAGAACAAAACTTTGTGAAAAATCAATTAAATTTTGTAGGGCTGAAAAATTATCTAAAAGATAATATAATACTAGAAAAGAATATATTTTTTAAAACAAAGCCTCCTCAAATTGCCCATCTCTACTGGAACCCCTGACTCCCATGACTAGAATAATTTACACTTAAACAATTTGGCATTACCGTATGTAATGTTACTGTGTATATCGCTTTAGCCTTTTCCATACCACCAAATGTGTTTTGTATAGTATATTGATTTACGGTTGTTTTTTTTGTTTTTTTGCTTTTGTAATTTATTTCTTTATTATTTTCTCTTCTCTCCATTCTTTCTCTCGGAAATACAATTCTTTCTTTATTGAACAATAGGGAAATAATGGATACATAATTATAAAGCGTATATATTTCATAATCTAGAAAACTAACAATTACTTACTGTTTTCTATCTAAATATACAATATTATATATTTCTAAAAAGGCCTAGGTAATGTACCGGTACTTTCTGTATCCAATTAAAAAATATATGTATAATTAAAAAAAAATGACTTACACTCGAGATAAATTTCCCCCATAAACCTATCTGTGCTATACTCGCAACCAAAATAACACTCCACAATCCAGCACTCTGAAATGATATTTAAACCTGATCTTAGACTAGACTTTTATTGGTTCGTACATTTTAAATAAACAAAAACCAAATTCAGTATATGGCTTTGGTGGAAAAAATCAATTGATCATCCATACAGCCATATAGACATAATTTTATTGCAATTGACGATTGAACGTTTTGTCTGATATTTGTTTTGTTATGCAGTTTTTGTCTCGACAAATGCCACTTTATATCTAAAATAATCTTTATATTTAGTACAAAAAGTCTCTCAAATTTACAAGGTTAATTTTAAAAGGAAAAGACTTTCAAACAAACAAAAATTAGATATCGTCACCCAATGAAACCAATAAAAAACACCGTCATATTCCTGACTTTGTACAGGCATTTTCCAAAGATAATGGAAAACTCTAAACATTTGTAAGGTCTTGCATCGCGAACCGGTTTTATTTTTAATTAATATGGTTTCTTAGTGTATAAGTTACTCTGGGTAATTTACTAACTCATTGACTGAGCTAATCCGAAACGTCTTTTCTGTTAGTTTGTGTATTAATAAAATGTTTGCCTTCTTCGTTATATGTACAAGTACTACTGCAAACCGTAATACATCCTGCTCGAAATTTTCTCCTCGTATATAGGCATGCTTTTATTTTGTTATGTGTTTATAGTAGCCTATGCGCATCATGTATATACAAACAAGCTAACATACTGTATATAAAAATATTCTCCTCCATCTCCATGAAACAATGGAAACAATAGAGTACATAATTGCAACAATCGACAGTGACGAAAAGGTTGAAACCACGATAGAAAATATGTTTAGAGCTTTGCTGAGTGTGTGTTCTGCAATGCTAAATCTCGAAAGTATTTCCTTGATATCTGAATTTCCAAACACTGTATCATATCGTATGTGTATTGCTATTCCAAGTAAACCAACATTTGATATCTGAAATGGATATTGGCGATGATAACAACAATAACTATGTACAAAAATTAAAAGATGATGGAAATGATTTTGCAATAAATGATCGCTTTAAAATGTGACACATTATCAATTATCAATTTGTGATAAACGCTTATTTTCAAAAAATGTTTAACCTTTTTTTAATATCTTTGTCACAGATGACCACGGGTATTTTACTATTGCTGTAACAATAATCCCGTACTTTTTTTCTCAATTGAGACTTCCCATAAATAGACTAATCATCGTTTTTACTATGAGTAACATGACGAATGCTTGTGGAATACGGTCTGCTTACCCTTTCAGAGCATCTGAGATCATCCTATTCTGCTTAAAAGGGGTCCGTGTTGATTTTTCTGTAGTTTTAATTATAATTGTTTTTTGTCCTAGTCAGCCGATCTCATCTCTTGTTTTTCTTTTTTTGTGTGCTTGTTTGTCTTTTCGTCATGTTTGTCATTTCATTTTGTTGGTCTTTTCGTCATGTTTCTCCTTATGCATGGGCAATTTTTCGTTGACTTATGGGTTTTGAATTTTTCGTTGGTACAGATGGGTGCGGTCCTAACCGGTACAAAAGTTAACTTTGAGCAGACTTGTTGACTGCTTTTCTAGTTAACTTTGGAAATTTTAAGCAGACAAACAAGTTAACTTTGTCGTTGGTAGACCAGACCTACGGTCTGCTTTTTTGGGACTGCTGTAGACCAATTGACAGGTCTGCTCTAGACCAGACCTGTGGACAAGTCTGCTTTTGACCAGTCCTGAGGACAGGTCTGCCCCAGACCAGACCTGTGGACAGGTCTGCTCCAGACCAGACCTGTGGCCAGGTCTGCTCCTGACCAGACCTGTGGACAAGTCTGCTATTGACCAGACCTGGGAACAGGTCTGCTTATGACAGATAACCGTGTTTAAGACTTTTGATTTTAATATGTAAACAATAATCGCATTGTTCTTTTTTCCCAGTATAGCAAATTACTTTACTCGTTAGACTCTATCGATATTAAAAACATTAAAAAAAAATCTTTTTTTTAAATTCATATTCTTATATACATTAAACAATGGCTATAAAATTACACACTTGTGATCACATACAGCTATCATTAAAGAAAGGAAAGTTTTTATTTAATTAGAAGGCGGATAGAAAGGTTATCCAACGCATCGGAAAAATATTTTTATGTCATGGGATATCAACATCATTGTCGACGTTGCTTCGTTCCCCATTTTATACAGTCTCTTCCTTAAATTTAACTTTATGCATTACATGGATATTTCATCGTAATTCACCTTGTTTGCCTTGGATTTACGATTCTGTTTTCGACAAAATATTCTAACGAAAATTGTACAGTGTCCGGATACATAAGGTGTTGAATAATTATGAACAATCTCGTCAATTTCGTTCGATTTTTCTTTACCGATTAAAAATCATGATATGGGAATTCCAAAAAATATAGTCTTTGCACCACCGAACACCACCGCACACCACCGAACACCACCGAACACCCAAAAAAACACCAACCACTAAGAAAAACAGTGATATTATACACTAAAACGATAAAACAAATTAAATTACGCATAATTTAATCAATTTTTAGATTTTTATGAGCATCATTTTCATGTTTAAGTTGATAATCAATATAAAGGGAAACGTTTCCGGATTCAACCTTATTTTCCGGATTACAATCTGTTTGTATATATATTACTTTTATTTTGTGATAGCATTTTATCTTACTATCCTTTTTTGTTCTGTATAGATTTTTTCTTTCTGTTAATATTTTTTTCCTAACAAATACAAGTGACTAATATTTTCATATAATAATTTATTACATCAATGACTATATATACATAATTTACAACATGTTGAGTGTTTATCGTTTTTCTGTTCTCTCATTTACTGGTCTTTTTCTTTGGCAAGGTTTCTTTGCAATGTTTTTGGCCTTATTTACAACTGAAAATTTCCCATCAGTGGAACTGATCATTATTATTTTTCGCTTTCTTTTCTTGTCTAGTAAAAAGTTCTCAAAAATTGATGATTTTTCATCTTCCGACTTGCATCTCCATATTTGGTCTGTTATTCTGTAATGTACTTCACTTGAGATCAAGTCATAGTCTCCGTGACCATGACGACATCCTCTTAAGTGTACAAATTGTACCAGCACACAGTCGTAGAGTCTTTTTATTAATTCTGGTGTGGATTGGGGTTTCCATTTGATGGCTACTTTAAATACATGATTTATGCTCTCTGCGTTGTTGTTAGTCCAAAGTTTTTCGGATTTATCTTTATTTTTTCTCCGCGGTTCATTGACAAATGCTTTGATACGAGGTTTTAAATTGTCTGTGAAATACTTGGCAAGCTTGGGATACAGAACTATTTGATTCTTGAAGGTATTTGACTTATCTTCAAAGTCCACTGTATTATTTGCATTGACTACTCCGTCCTTTCCAAAAATGTTGTCCATGATTTCGTTTCGTTCTTTTACGTCGACACCAATTTTATTTTGAAGATAATGTTTTAAGTTGTCTTTTAAATGTTTGCTGCAGAGAAGTCTTGTTGCTGATGGAAAGGCATCTCTGATGGCATTGGTCATCGCCTTCTCGTCATCAGAACCGAAGATTAGTTCCTCAGGAATTCTTAATTCAAGACTGTTTATTTTGAACTCAGATGCTAGATGAGAAAAAAATGAATAATAAGTTTTGTAGGATGCATCTTTGTGCAGTAGCATTGGACCAATAAATATTGGGTGGTCTTTTGTAGTTTTTTTTACCACTCTATGGTGTTTGTAAACTAAGGCTGTCACGAAGAAGCTTCCCAAATTGAACGTTCTGTCTACACCAACTGCACCGTCAGACCTGGCTAGAAACATCTTAAAGTCGGTCATCTGTTTTTCTGTATAACAGAGGATTGATGGCACTTGTTCTTTTTTATGTATTACTTGTTGAACAAAGGGATGGTCGTTCAGCATACTAAGGACTTCTAGGATTTCGTCGGCTATGTTGTTTGAATTTGATGGCTGGTTTGCCTTCCTTTGTCGGTATTTGGCATTTTTAATTTGTTTAGTGTCATGCGGAGCGGTCATTGAATTGTCTTGATTCATTTGCAGGAAAATCTCTTTCGGCTTTTTGTCGCTGAATTCGGATTGCACTTGGCGAATAATGTTGGGATGAGTACGGACCTTATTGTCAGAGTTAATTACGTAGGTGCCTTGATACTCGTACAGAGCAATATCTGTCAATGCTGTATCTGATGTTGACGAAAACCAGGAAACATGTTTCTTGAATGCACTGTTTGATTTCAAAACAGTTTCGTAGCGATGCATAGTAATCACATCGGATTGAGGAGGTTGAGGTTCTAAAGCTGTCCATACCACTTGACCTTTTATGCGTTGCTTTAAACAGTACTGACTTTTTTTTTTGAAAATTGTCCTAAAATTGTCACTTATCAAGTAATCTTGAAGATGGGTGCGGCTTTTGCTGGTATTCAATGAACCACAATCGTCATAGTAATTTCTTTTTTTGTCGCTGGTAAGGGTGTTTCCGTCATTACGGACTAGTAACCATGAATTGGATTTGTTACCAGAGGGACAGTCATCAAAAACTTGTTCTTTCTTATTTATGTGGGAGAAACATTCTCTTGCAGACATGAATTTACCTAGTGGAAGGCTATTAACACCATCAGCAACTGGATAATCGTCATTATCACTATCAGCAACGGTTTCTTCAAAGTTATCGTCATCATTTGCATCTGATAGGACGTTTGAAGAATTTGTATAACAGTGGAGTTGTTCATCTGATTGTTCAATGTTATCGTCATCTACATCTTGGTTGATACTGCTATTAGGAGATAAGTCTATGGTTTTATCTGTCAAGTAATTTTCCAAAGTAGCATTTAATGGATTTGTTGTTTTTACGCATGGAGAGCTATGAGATTGTGGTACGAATTGTATATTATTAGCATTGTGTTCAAAAATTGGGACAAAGTGATTTGGTGTCCAGGTACCGCGCGGGTTTGAGGTTAATGATGAATGTGTCCACATTATGCTGATTTTATAGTTTGGCTGTAACATGGTACTAGCGTTGTAGACAGTGTTTAGCACCTTGACACGCGTCGATGATGAATAGATTAAACAGATTAATCAGATTAACAAATTCAACGTCTTATGCACTGAACAATATTAAGCTTAAAAAATTAAGAAGATTATGCAAAGATACTATATATTTTTTAGATTAAAACATAAAATTACCAAATTAAGACGAAGTAAGCCAGATAATTAAGAGTAGGTTGACCCTACTTCTTCTCTCAAACAGGTCAAACAACAGAACGTGGAACCGCTGGATGTAACCAAGAAATTGATGTCTTGTAATGATAATTGTTGACAATCATAGTGGTACCATGAATTGCAAGAGTCACAGTGTACTGCGTTCTTGGTGCAATTCTGTCTGCAGTCACCACATGGCCAGAAAACCGACCTTTTTAGGTACGAAATTTTGCGTTTTGGCATTTTGACTTTAGTGATAAACTTTGATACTTTAATAATAAATTTTGTGAGATTTTTGGGATTTATTTCTTGTTCTGTCAATATATACCTTTTGGTCAATATCTTTAGATTTTGGAGCCAATCGTAAATTTGACTTTTGAGGTGTTCGGTGGTGTTCATGACGGGTGGTTTGCGGAGTTGTAGTGTTATAGACTCTCCATTTCTGTTCGCTTTAGATAAATAATATCTTAATCTTATCATTTATTATGAATTTGTTGAAATAATAACATACATAATATATTTAGGTTGCATTTATAACGTTAAAAGACACAAAAATACATTTTTTGGGTGTTCGGTGGTGTTCGGTGGTGTGCGGTGGTGTTCGGTGGTGAAAAGACCTACCGAAAAATATACTCGTTGTGCACATGAATGAAATAGTTGCCACTTTAGGTTTAGCTACAAACAAAATCAATCAACCGACATGTATACTATTCCCAGAAGAGAACTTCTTATACTTTTCATTATAAAGTAAAAATGAAACCAGACATGTCTGTGTTGGATGATGCTGTCAAATAGTTTTGTTATACACACCATCCTCATTTTGATCCTGAACTACTAACTTTAGTGATGGTCTAATATTATGAATACAGGTTGAAATGCTGACAATCTAAATTGATGCGGAAAAGATATTGCATTCATTGTTTTCCAATATTGCTTTCATTTGTATTATAATACAGTACATCCATGACATCCTGACATAAAAAAAAATTCTGATTAAATATAATGCAGCCATAAAGATTTACATACTAAAGTGCAAATATGGTCAGTTTTAGTTGATACGGTCAAACAATTTGCTATACCAGTCAGCCTGAGGTATCAAAAGTACTGAAGTTTTGTTACATATCAATATATATTGAACAACAGGAGGAAATGCTGGCACTCTAAATTTATGCGGACAAAATTTTGTATTCATTGTGTTCCAATATTACTGTCATTTGTATTATACATTAAATCCTGACATAAAAATATTACTGAATTATTATGCGGCTATAAAGATTTACATAATCATGATAATAAAGTGCAAATATGGTTAGTTTTGGTTGATACGGTCTAATAATTTTGCTATACAAGTCAGCCGGGGGTATCAAAACTACTGAAATTTAGTTACGTATCAATATATTATGTATATTGAACAAAAGCAGGACATGCTGGAACTCTAAATTTATGCGGACAAAAATTTTAATTGTTGTGTTCCAATATTGCTGTCATTTGTATTATACATTAAATCCTGACATAAAAATAGTTGCTGATTTACAATGCGGCTATATAGATTTACAAAATAAAGTGCAAATATGGTCAGTTTTTGATGATGCGGTCAAATCATTTTGTTATAGGAGTCAGCCTGAGGTATCAAAACTACTGAAATTTTGTTGCGAAACAATATTTTGATTAAAAAGAGGACATGCTGGCAATCTAGATTTATACGGACAAAATTTTGCATTCACATTATGTTCTAATATTGCTGTCATTTGTATTATACAATACATCCTGACATAAAATATTACTGAATTATTATGCACATATATAGATTTACAAAATAAAGTGCAAATATGGAAGTTTTGGTTGATACGGTCAAATAATTTTGCTATACGGGTCAGCCTGGGGTATCAAAACTACTGAAATCTTGTTACGTATAAATATATTGAACAAAAGAAGGACATGCTGGCACTCTAAATTTATGCGGACAAAAATGTGTAGCTGTTGTGTTCCAATATTGCTGTCATTTTTATTATACATTAAATCTTGACATAAAAATAGCTGCTGATTACTATGCAGCTATATAGATTTACAAAATAAAGTGCAAATATGGTCAGTTTTTGATGATGCGGTCAAATAATTTTGTTATAGGAGTCAGCCTGAGGTATCAAAACTACTCAAATTTTGTTGCGAGACAATATTTTGATTAAAAAGAGGACATGCTGGCAATCTAGATTTATACGGACAAAATTTTGTATTCACATTCTGTTCCATTATTGCTGTCATTTGTATTATACAATACATCCTGACATAAAATATTACTGAATTATTATGCGCCTATATAGATTTACATGATAAAGTGCAAATATGGTAAGTTTTGGTTGATACGGTCAAATAATTTTGCTATACAAGTTAGCCTGGGGTATCAAAACTATTGAAATTTTGTTACGTATCAATATATTGAACAAAAGGAGGACATGCTGGCACTCTAAATTTATGCGGACAAAAATTTGTAGCTGTTGTTTTCCAATATTGCTGTCATTTGTATCATACATTAAATCCTGACATAAAAATAGTTGCTGATTTACTATGTGGCTATATAGATTTATAAAATAAAGTGCAAATATGGTCAGTTTTGGTTGATGCGTTCAAATCATTTTGTTATAGGAGTCAGCCTGAGGTATCAAAACTACTGAAATTTTGTTGCGAGACAATATTTTGATTAAAAAGAGGACATGCTGGCAATCCAGATTGATACAGACAAAATTTTGTATTCACATTCTGTTCCAATATTGCTGTCATTTGTATTATACAATACATCCTGACATAAAATATTACTGAATTATTATGCGCCTATATAGATTTACATGATAAAGTGCAAATATGGTAAGGTTTGGTTGATACGGTCAAATAATTTTGCTACAAGTTCTACAAGTCAGCCTTGGGTATCAAAACTATTGAAATTTTGTGACGTATCAATATATTGAACAAAAGGAGGACATGCTGGCACTCTAAATTTATGCGGACAAAAATTTGTAGTTGTTGTGTTCCAATATTGCTGTCATTTGTATTATCAATAAATCCTGACATAAAAATAGTTGCTGATTTACTATGCGGCTATATAGATTTACAAAATGAAGTGCAAATATGGTCAGTTTTGGTTGATGCGGTCAAATCATTTTGTTATAGGAGTCAGCCTGAGGTATCAAAACTACTGAAATTTTGTTGCAAGACAATATTTTGATTAAAAAGAGGACATGCTGGCAATCTAGATTGATACGGACAAAATTGTGTATTCACATTATGTTCCAATATTGCTGTCATTTGTATTATACAATACAACATGACATAAAATTTTATTGAATTATTATGCACCTATATAGATTTACATGATAAAGTGCAAATATGATAATTTTTTGTTGATACGGTCAAATAATTTTGCTATACAAGTCACCCTGGGGAATCAAAACTACTGAAATTTTGTTACGTATCAATATATTGAACACAAAGAGGACATGCTGACACTCTTAATTTATGCGGACAAAAATTTGTATTTGTTGTGTTCCAATATCGCTGTCATTTGTATTATACATTTAATCCTGACATAAAAATAGTCGCTGATTTACTATGCGGCTATATAGATTTACAAAATAAAGTGCAAATATGGTCAGTTTTGGTTGATGCGGTCAAATCATTTTGTTATAGGAGTCAGCCTGAGGTATCAAAACTACTGAAATTTTGTTGCGAAACAATATTTTGATTAAAAAGAGGACATGCTGGCAATCTAGATTTATACGGACAAAATTTTGTATTCACATTATGTTCTAATATTGCTGTCATTTGTATTATACAATACATCCTAACATAAAATATTACTGAATTATTATGCGGCTATATAGATTTACATGATAAAGTGCAAATATGGTAAGTTTTGGTTGATACGGTCAAATAATTTTGCAATACGAGTCAGCCTGGGGTATCCAAACTACTGAAATTTTGTTACGTATCAATATATTGAACAAAAGGAGGACATGCTGGCAATCTAAATTTATGCGGGTAAAATTTTGCAGTGATTGTGTTCCAATATTGCTGTCATTTGTATTGTATATCTATCCCGACATAAAAATATTTCTGATTTACTATGCGGCTATATAGATTTACATTATAAAGTGCAAATATGGTTGATACGATTGAAAGAATTTGATATGTATTGGAATATATATTCAGCTCGTTAGCATTGTAACCATTATCGTTTTTTTTTAATATATAGAAAGGCAGGTCACGGATAAATTTCTATATAAACAAGCAAAGTTTTATGCGTACTTTATTTACAAATAGATATAAGAAGATGTGGTATGAGGGCCAATGAGACAAATTAACTCTCCATCCAAGTCAAAATTTATAAAAGTAAACCATTATAGGTCAAAGTACGGTCTTCAACACGGAGTTACATGTATTTAATCATGTTTATATCACGGAAGTATTAAATTGACTTTATTTTTTCTATGTTTATACCAAGAAACAAAGACATTAAAAAATATTTTAAAAAATCGATTTAGATCGAGCGGTCCTGGTTACAAGTTAACTTAGTGTTGAGCAGACAAGGCCAAAATGTAACTTGAGATCAGGTCTGGTTCTATCGGAGTTGTTTAAATCAAAGTTAACTTGTGTTAACTTATGGCAGAACTGGTTTCGAAGTTAACTTATATCAATAGCGGACCTGTTTCCAAGTTAACTTTTTCGGCAGACATAAAAACAGTCCTAGGACCAAGTCCGCTTTTCAAGTTAACTAGATTGTGGTCCTAGGACTGGTCAGAGCAGTCCTAAATCCTGTCACAGGTTAACTTTGACCAGTCCAAATGACTGGTTATCAAGTTAACTTGCTGTACAGGTTAGGACTGCACCCATCTGTAGCATCCGACTTTTTTAAACAATGTACGCAATCGATGAATTATGATAAGCGAATTTTGACAAATTGCTCTATGATTAAAAAGTGTTAAAGTAAACTCACAAACAAAATTATAAGTGAAATGAGGTACACCAATGTCATTCTCGATCTGAAACAAAACAATATATGGAATCATAATTTATAGTCAAATTGATGCCTATACAGGAACTAACTTCATGTATGTTCTTCTTAATCTCCAATATTCGTTTTACATCTTTAGCTTCAGTGTCGTATAATTCTTTTTTATCTTTACTTTTTGTTTGAAATTTTATCATTATATTTATTTTTGTCATTGTTTATTCGATACCATCAAACTATTAAGGGGGCTCGAGGGTATAAATTTATTTTTTTTAAATATAGGATTCCGCTATTTTTTTCTATAAATGAACTTTATTATATACTTAATAGAAAAATTTAATTTAAACAAATGGGTCACCGTTCATTTAAGCTGATAATCTGCCTTCAAAAGAAGTATGCATTTTTGTTGAAGTCCTTTTTCTGTTGAACTAATAGTAGAAATAGAGGTAATATCGAAATAAAAAAAAGAACTAAATTACAGAAATCGCTTAAATTTTACAATCGTTTAGATTAAGTACAGCTTATTTAAAAAAAAAAAGAATAAAAACTAAAGGTCACCGATGAGTTAAAAAAGATATTTCAAGTTAAATGCAAAAAGTATGGCACTTTTCACCAAAGGGAGATAATTTGGAGCTTTTTCAATGATATAAACATTTTAAAATTCATCGAATCGAATTTGGCTGAAATATTTGTACCCTCGAGCCTACTTAAGGTTTATATGTGAGATCGTTTAACTATTTTTCAGTAGTGAATATCGATGGATGAGTTTATCACCTAGAATCAATTTCATTAATTATCCAGTATCGCTCTGTTTGAAGTCATTGTGATCTCGGTTTTTCTCTTATTACATCTTCTGTGCTAGTCCTTGATTTACGAATTAAGAACATATGTTTATCATCTGGAACTCATTTCATTCAGTCGACGTTCATAGTATCGCTCTGTTCGGAGTTCTTGCGATTACTGTATTTCTATGCATATGTATTCTGTGTTGTTCATTGATTTACGAATTTTTGAACATCGGTAAATAATGGTGCTTCCTATTGTATATCTGTATCCGATTAAAATAAAATACATAACTTTGTACTATGAATACCAGAAGAGCACTCACTGCAAACACTGTGTTATAATTAGAATCACAATGTCGAAAAAAATAATTTATCACATTTTCTCCAAACAAAATGCTACTCTTATTAATTATCAAAATATTGATATACTATCGATACAAATTGTATATGTGTTTATTTAAACATGTAATTAATTACATCACAGACCTTCTCCATTTATTCATGAGGAAAGATTGCATCCCTTGAAATGCTGTCCTGAAAATTGATGTTGCAGTTGATTCATTTTCCGTCTTGGTTTCCACGTTTTTCAGTGTAGATATAAACAGATATTCTTTGTTCGCAAATATCAAACCTAAAATCTATCAAAAACATCTTGTTTAAATGAAGCAATTTCTTCTGTCATGTTCAAATAATTTTTAGTCTACGAGAATTTTTTAATTATCATTTTAGTATTTTAGTAATGCAAGGCGTTTCTGATATTTACGCTGCATCAATCTTGTCAATTTGAAACCAAGAGAAAAAAAATCTTTTTTCCCAGCAATAACGAAGTTTAGTTTCTTGTACTTAGTTGTAAATTCCTGCTAAATAATTTCTAGCAACACTAAGAAGCAGACTAATTTGAAATTAAGGTCAGGTTCGATAATAATGTTACTTACCTTTATATAGTGGTTATATTACTAAATGCTTACCTCAATGACTACCTGCAGCAACAAAATTGCTAGGAACCAACCAATATACATTCTGGTTTTAAACAAAATGACATCTGTACATGTCTGAAAAAAATATAAATTGTTGCAGTTTAAATATTCGACTAAGAGGTAAAATTCATGGTTCGTTTATATTTGTTGCATTGCCGTTTGGTTTTTGTTGCACTTCAGTGTTTCTATTGTTTCGTTGTTTTCATCTAAAAGTTGATGTGTTTCCCTCAGTTTTAGTTTGTAACGCGGATTTATTTTCTCTCAATCGATCTATGACTTTTGAACAGCGGTAAACTACTGTTGCCTTTATTTTGTACCATATTACTAAACGGTATGACCATGACCTCCAAAAGTAATCCCAACCTTTATTTTGGGTTATGAAACCTTCTGGTAAAATTCCATAGAAATACATAGACTCATACACAAGTTATTGTACTGTAACAAAACTAATTCTTGATTTTGGTCCCGTTATGGTCCCTTATTCATAAACAGCAAGGCCAACAACTCCCAATATTCATCCAAATCTTCCTATTGTATGATATAATCAACTATATATCAATTGATTTCAGTCTATTTATATTAAAGGCTATCATTTATTTTACAGCATTTTCCGTATTACTTGTTTAAATATCAAACTTACATCAGTTTTGTGCTCATAACATCCACCAAAATAATACAAAATATTATTATCATTATTGTTATAATGGTTTCCTGGATCCATACGACTTTCATGAGCATTTGTACAACAAAATCTATTTCCATACGTAGTGGACCAAGTTTCGTAATAATAATTTACTCCACAGCATTGTAACTGTCAATAAAATATCAACGTGACCAATATTACTGTGAATTCTCTTCTGAAATGTTTCACATTTTGACATACCAGGGTATGATCTTCTATACGGTTTGAATGCTATATTGATTAATCTGTTCTGTTCTTACAGCAATGGTATGGTAAAAAAGCATTCGTTCGTTTTTTATTATATCTTATATACATAATAAACTTTTTTAAAAGGATATTATTTAGTTTACCTGCTTTTCATTATTCTAAAAATCATGTTTTTTTTTAATTCGTGACGTTAATTGTGATTTTAAGATTTTCGAAATGTTTTAATTACTTCCCTTTGTTGAATGTAAATGTTTGCCACAAGAGTTAATTTGTTATATTTGTTTTTGATTTCTTGGTTTACTTGTCGATGTCACTTTGACGTATTACCGCAGCTTAAACTATTTAATACATAGATAAACACCAGCATGATTCGTGATGACGTGTTTTGTAAAAAAAAAATGCATTACACTTTAACTAAGCGATTGATATAATTTAACGTTTGTAACATAGAGGCAGTTTTAGCAAACGTGGATAATAAATAAAAGTAGACAAAAACACCACACGCAATCGGAAAATGGTAACAATCGGACACAGTTTAAAATCTTACTGTCATTATCATTTCATTCCAATTTCTTGTGAGTGTGTTCTGGCTACCGCCGTAGTAGTAACCTTGCTGTTGTAGACCGAGTTGAAATTTCATTCCATCGTCAATCTAAACAAAATATAACAATATTTCAGTCATTTCCGTAAGTTTAATTACGCTTTTGTTCATATATGCCAAGCATTTTTGCTTCATCTTAACACTTCAAGGCTTTACTTTGAGGCTTTGAGTTTAATTTTGTAACATTTCAAAAACAATTACAACACTAAAATAATATCAAGACAGTGGAATAAATACAATGGGTACTGTTCGTCACTTGTGAGTCTTATGTAGACGAAATGCACGTATGGTGTATTAAATTATAAGCCTGGTACCTTTGATAACTATTAGCATGTCGAAATGTCATATTGTAATGTTTATTTGGGTATTTCTCTGTCCTGAATGTTCTTGCATTTATTTGTAATGTAGTCCTGTCAAGCAATGTTGTCATTTTAGTGTTATATTTAACATTGCCATAAAAGCGCGAGGTTTGGCTAGCCGCAAAACCAGGTTCAACCCACCATTTTTTTCTTAAAATGTCCTGTACCAAGTCTGACAAATGGCAGTTGTTATCTCATAGTTCGTTTCTGTGTGTGTTGCATTGTCGTTTTGGTTTCATGTTGCACTTCAGTGTTTCTGTTGTTTTGTTGTTTTCCTCTTATAGTTGATGTGAATTGCGGTTTGGTTTGTAACCGGGATTTTTTTTCTGTCAATCGATTTATGACTTTTGCATATACTTTCGGTATACTACTGTTGCCTTTATTTTACGTTTAAACCGTACGTGTTTTCCAAAATTATACGATTGTCTTATAATATGGTTCTACATACCAGTATACAAATTGAAACAACTAGATAGTATGATTTGGGCATCTTAATAATTGATTACTGATTCATTAAAAGCATGAAATATGAATGCAGGACTCAAATCTATGGAGAGTTCCAAATCTATGGCAGATTCTTAATCTATGGCAAATGTGACGTTACAAAAGTCCAACAAATCAAATCTATGGCGGATTTTTGTTTTCTCCAAATCTATGGCGGATTTTTAAATTGTTTCATTTTCCGGGAAAAGAGTAACACATAACGTCACAATTGAATTAGCCATATTACATCGTTGCAGCCTCTACCGATGGCGGAGCCCATAGATTTGAACACCATTCTAGATGAAAGTATTTCCCTCGACAACAATTTGCTGATGGTTTAAAGGAAGATGTGGCCTATTATCCGGAAGAGGGCTTTTTAACCAGTCAAGGTCGTTAAAAACTTTCATCATCATCGTAAGAGGGACATAAGGTGATGTACCGGCCGAAGTCCGCGATGAATAAGAGCTGTTTTCAGTACCGGATATTTTAGAAAAGGAGTTGTAGTAAACATTTTACTGTCTTTGGCTGGGAAAGTTTATAAAGTGAAAAATAAATTTCCGGATACCAAATTGAATTTGATTTAAATCGTCATTATATATAAAAAGATGTATTGACGATGAAATAAATCTCATGTGAAAATTCAAATTGTTAATGTTTGTTATGTGACTTACTAGTTGGTTTAATGAATGAGTTAAACAGGTAAAACGCTCAGATTAGTAAAATGTTTATTTTTACGTGGCACATCATTTCAATCTTGATGTCTACATTAAGGTGTATGAATTCATCATTTACGAAATATGTTGGTTGCCATCACGATTTGGTTGACCATGATGAAATGTTCATTTCACAAATGTTTAAAGACATGCTTCCGAACATTTCCACTTGTTGAGATAAGTCATTGGTCATATGTACTGCATTGTTTTCGATTTGCACAAAATTTGCCATAGATTTGGAAACAATAAAAATCCTCCATAGATTAGGAAATTACAAAACTTGTCATAGATTAGGATTGTAAAAATTCTGCCATAGATCTGGGATGGCATGACGTCACATTTGCCATAGATTTGGGATGGCATGACTTCACATTTGCCATAGATTAGAAATCTGCCATAGATTTGGAACAAACCATAGATTTGATTCCTACATGTTTTATTACTATCTGTCAAGGTTCGTGTCTCAAACAATATTTCATCAAAACTTTAACATGTTTGATATGAAATAGATGCTCGTCAAACATCCAACATCCATAAAAGATATAGATTGTTTGTGAGAATTACATTAATGGTACCAATTTTATAGTACCAGACGCGTATTTCTACAACTATCGTCTTTTCAGTGATAACCAAAGTATGTGAAATTCCATAACCTAGTATTACCAATGTTATTTCATCTGATCGGGCAGAGCTTACGTTTTAATTTGCATAAGGACAGTCTATTTGAAGATGTGTGTGATAAGGATGATGGCAGTTATAATTATAACTGATTTCTAATCACATATCAGTGTCACCAAACTGATATTCAAATGAACTGAGTGTATGATATGGGACGAATAACTGGACACTTTTATCCCGACACACCTGTCTATAGATGGACTTGTCTTAAATATGCGAACCGGTTAAACCCCGCCCAGTCAAGTGAAATAAATCAAGTAATATCAACGTTGAAAAGCACAAAAATTAAAAAAGGACTAGAAGCAAAGGTAATCATTGACCAGGAATCAGAGCTAGGCAAGACGGAGATATATTTCTTAATTCAAATGATTTTGAAAATTTGACTGCACATTTAAAAGGAACAATATCGGTATTTTATGTCAGGGCCGGGCTACTGGGCTGGTGATACCCTCAGAGACTAACAGTTCATCAGCAGATAGATCGACTCAGATGTCATGACAGCTTTCAAGGTAAAAATTATATTGCACCAATTTTATTGCACCAAATACGCATTTCGACAATTCAAGTCTCTCAAGTGATGACTGTTAAATTACGTTATTACTCATATGTAATCCATTTTGTTAAATTCGGATACAAATGGAGAATACTCAATAGTTATGGCAGCAATGGTATGGTGAATAATCAACATGGAAAGCACTCCTTTCACATACTACATAATGCAATAGTTTTACCTCCTCATTCTTACATATGACATAAATGGTGCTATTTTACTGCACCGCGTGCTCATTTCGACAATAATGTCTCTTAAGTTATGCTCAGACCAAAATATTCGAAAATAGAAAACTTATTCAAACATTGAAGAGCTGATATTACTAAAAAGAACAAAAAGTCAAAGTCGGACAAGGAATCAGAGTTTTGCTTGAATTGATATATTCTATAATTTTAAATAATTTTCAAAGTTTTATAACAGCAAATTCCACTAACACAATATCCGTCTTTTCATGCCGATACTGGTTAATGGCTGGTTTAGGGGTTTCTTCAGAAACCAAAAAGGACCAAAAGAAAGCCAAAGCCGGGCAAAGTGCTGGCTACTGGGCTGTTGGTATATTAAGAGATTGCGAAATAATCAATGGATTGGATTATACATTACTTCGAATCATAAACTAGGTAACAGTTGATGACAGGGTTAAACAATATCAGGAGTATGAAGTTATTGAAAAATATACTACTTTTTCTAATGTTAATGTCAAGATATTTTCAGTGTAGGTATTGACGTTTTGAACATTTTTTTCTTTGATAGACGACGGACGCTAAGTGACGACAAGAGATCACACTGTACCTGTTGGCTATATGAGTTAAGGTAAAAACTAGATAAATCTGTGAATTTTAAGAAACTTTAAGCATACGTTTAATTCTAGCATAGGTTAAACAATGAAATTGATCATTCAATTGCTCTTAATATAATGTTTTAACTACTTCCTTGAAAGAAATAGCCTATAAAATCTCAACAAATTATGAAATGTTTAAAATATAATGTATAAAGAGATTAATTCTGTTTTTCTTCTGAAAATACATTGTTCTTGTAGACCGATTTTTTTTATTTTGAAAATTCGTAACAAGGTTAGATTTATCTGAGTTTTCTGTATCCGAAGTTTTAAAGAAAAAAATGCTTACTGTCACGTAATTAAAAAACTTTTTTGAATTTAAAAACCACATGATTACACATACCTCTTCTACTAGATAAATCCATATAATTATAGCAATGATTCTCGGAATGTGTAAAATGTTCGACATAACAGAACTCTGCAAATAAAATAAAAAGAGAAATTTATTTACGAAATGAACTACAATAAAGCAAAAGCAATGAATTAAATAATCCTTTACAAGTGAGACGTTAAGCTAGCATTATTCATGTTAAAACCTGGTTTAATCCACAATTGTTCTACAAAATTAAATACATATACCATGTCAGGAATATGACAGTTGTTATCCATTCGTTTGATGTGTTTGAGCTTTTAATTTGGCCATTTGATTAGGGACTTTCCTTTTTGAATTTTCCTCGGAGTTCAGTATTTTTGTAATTTTTCTTTTTATTTAAACAAAGTTCAATTTGCAAAAAGAAATTCTACAAGAAACTTGTAAATATATATTGGTTTTTTTTTTAACCTATAGCCAATACCGAGTTATCTACTGTCTTTCTAAGTTTTTCTGAGTACCCTTTTCCTAGAGAATTGTGTCCTAACTGAAGCCTTGAACATTGACAGCAGTTGTCTTTAGTCATATAAAAAAAAATCCATGTGTTTAGGTCGACAGAATACTATTGATGGTATTTGTTTAATGTTTGTATTAAAGTTGAGAATCCAACTTTGGTAATATTATATAGTTTTTAGGTGAAAGACAAAGTAAAAGTTTGTTAGTGCAGTCAACAATTACGTTTACCTGTGTGCGTATACATAGAACATGTATAAATTTACCTTTTACATACCGTGAGCAATAGTTTTGATGACTTTCTCCATGAACCAATTAAACCAGTTATAGATGTAACCATCGTTAAAATGCCAATCACTACAGCCGAAGCAGCTAAACCCACAAGAATATCATAAAAATAGTAATTGTGGAATTGAATTTGCTTAAATATATATCTTAATGATGAATCATGTATGAATTTATCACCAATCAGTGTTAGTCCAAGCCCTGTTAGTCCAGTTCCAATTACCTGAAAAGTAAAATAATACGTATTATCAAATACTTAGAGTAAATGACTTATAACTTTATAGTATCATAGAAGCACCTTTACATTTACGTAAATTCCATATTCTTCGAAATAGGCCTTAGCGGGATGATGTGAAAAAATATCGACTGCTTACGGTTTTTTTTTACGTGCCTTTTCGTAAAGTTATCACATAGCATTTCGACGTCACTCGGCAAATTCCGAAAAAATACACCTCAATGGTTCGTTTTCAGTGAAAAACATAGTAAAGTAGGTTACAAACCAAATATTAGGAAACAGATATATAAAAGATTTATAAGGACAAGACAATTCAGATTTTTTTCTGATGCCCATTTAGCTGGCAATGTCACACTCAACTTTGCAGCATAATCTAGGTACTTTACAAATGTTGATATTTATAAACAATGTTCATTATATTTTGCTGATTTTTTTGACGTTTTTAAGGTTCTTGTTGGGTTATAAACGTCGTATATACCCTGGCAGTTTCCTGAATATAAACTGACATCTATGTTCTGTTATCCAATCACAAAATTTTATTCATTTGTAATCCTTAATATGAAAAATATATTATACTGTTGAATTTTTCCTGTATTGAGGCATATGATAGGAAGATTTCATATCGGGGTTATTACATTTGGCGTCCGTCTTCCGTAAACTTTTCAATGTTTTAGCTTCTACTTGAGAACCCCTTAAAGGATCAATATACCAGCTGTTATTGCTCACCATTGTTAAGCATTTGATAAAAAATTCATAAAATGTTATTTTTTATATCAGATGTATTATCAGCCCTCGTCCGAAATGAGACCTTAAATCATCGGCTCTTGGGCTGTAAATATAATTGATAGGAAATATGGCATGTATGAATCTGATGACATTAATTGTGTATAATAATGCAATAGTAGCAGTAGGACATGCAATATCCTTGCCTGTGTGTTCAAGGTGTGAAATATTTTGCGATCGGCCTCTTTTTTGATTAAATAACATTGGTTAAAATATCTTTAGCAAAGTCATACTTAGAAAAGCTCTTCGAACGCATGATTTTATTACGTATTGTTTTCATTTTTACGTGTCAGGCTTTCATTAATACCAAATATATGTTCCTGAAAATTCTTAAATATTGTAAATCTTTGTTTATTTAATGTTGCCATCGACTCAATTATTATTATCATACTTATGTTCACAAATATATCGATTATGTATTTTCAAATAATTCATACTTACAAGTGAACAAATCTTGAAGCTAACTGATATAAACATCAATTTTGACCTGAAATTGAGATGTATTTGACTTTATTAACTTACGAGAAAATTGTCTGAAAGATCTCCAACTCATATGAAAATAAGAACAGATGCGAACAGTTCGTTCTCATAGGAATGCCGACAAATTCAAGATATATATTGTAAATAACAAACTAAAACATACTGATTCCAACAAAATGTGTCATATGGGACCCAAAAGCAAAAAAAGGTTTAGCGTATGCTGACATTTTCATAATGAAAAGCGTTGTGGATTATCAATTTAAGACGATTCATCAATTTGACATAGGGAAAGGTGCTATAAAGGGATAAAAAATCAAAATTTTGACAGAATTGATTTAAGATTGAGATTTAAATTTAAATTTATCGAGAAGTTCTTTTGAGTTTGTAAGAATCCAAATATGGTTAATACCATTACACGAGTAAACAGTTACACAGTATTTTAGAGGACTTTCTTTCACTGCGGACAGAATTTTTGTCAATCTAATGGACAATTCCTTTGTAGAACCTGCAGATGAGCCAGCAACGTATCGTTATCTAAACGGAATTTTGTGAAGCTTAGGTATCCAATACACATAAGGTTAGTCCTCAGTTTGCAGTTCAATTTAATGTTTAAGGTAAACATGAAAAACTTATGATTCGTAAAAATCTCATCCTTTTTAATTTATATGATATTGTAGGTGGGACTACCTGAGTGCTCATTTATTCCTAATCATTTTACAAGACACTTGTATTAGTACGATTCACATACAAAAAAACAATATTATTTGAAGCTTTGTCCGCAGGAACAACAACATATTTATTAGGAAAAAATGAAAGACAGTTCACAACTTCTTTGACTCTGAATACGGACTTTGGTCGATCATTTACAGTTTTTTCAACTTTTGGACGGAGACCAGAGATAGCTTTAACCCATTCTGACAAAGTGTTTAGTTCAACTTCTTCTCTTTTAGTCCATGCTATGGCGGATTCCCTAATGGAATACATAACCATTTTGAAGTTATGATTCCAATTGATGTGTCGGGGTGCTCTGAACTTAGGACCGTGGGATATCTTTCGGAGATGTTCATGTTGCATTATGTTAAGATCACCAGTAATGAGATGGCAAGAGGGGCTGTAAATATAAGACGAAATGGAACAGTTACATGTCAGAGGGTTATTTATGTATTCTTCTCAATCAAGGTCCTACAATGCTTGCATAAAGTTAAATAGGCACAATGATTTTGGTATAACTGTAGGTTACAATAACATAAATTCTGCTGTAAAATCCTACTTTCTCAAGTTAAGAACATTACATTTGATATCATCGCTTTTGTTATTTGTTCTTTGTGTCGTAAGTTTTTTCTATATCATATTCATTATCCTGTTTTACCTTTTCCAATTATCTCTTACAAATATGGCAAAACTTCGAAATATTCCATGCTGTAAAGTTAACAGTAAATAATACTTGTTGTCTGAAATTCTCGGTTTCTTTTCTTTAAACTCAAACTTCCTGTATGTATATTCTGTTGCAACTATAGTTACTATCTAAATAGAAACAAAACAAATAGCATGTGATCATGGTTTTCCAATCAAAGTTGAGGAATCCTTATCTACTGATTACGAGCTATAATAATATTCTTCGAAGAAGATTAATTGTGCAGAGTTGCATTTTGAAACAACATACAAAAACGAGTGAACACGAGTAATTGTTTAATTGATAAAAACATAAGATGTGTTTATTTACTACTTAATACAAAATTGATATTTCAGAAAGATCAGAATAGAATGTTTTTCAATTGATTAAAGCATAAAAGCTCTGACGTCTATTATTTGAAATACTATGTGTTTATCTAGAATGGTTTAACATATTTGTGTTTCTGCAGATATAAACACACATTTTTGCAATAGTATATGGTACTGATTGATTAATACACAATGTAGGTACCAACCAATGAATAATATTTTGTATGATCGAAATCAGTTCGAACGATCTGCCTGGTGGTGTGATATGATTGCCAATGAGGCAACCATTCATAAAAATCGTAGATTTGCTTTGCTATCATAAATCCTTTTTTGTGTTATTTCGGCATCAAGCCACTGAATGCATGATAGTCTTCCTTACTTTGTAATAATACTTCATAACAAGTATCTCTCATATTTGAATATGTCTTCGTATATTTTTTGGCCTTCTTCCTATTTTTTGTTTAATAAGAGCGTCACTGATGAGTCTTTTGTAGAAGAAACGCTCGTCTGACGTACAACGTATCAATCTTGGAATCTATAATGAGTTAATTATATCCACGTACCTGGCAGACGATAGAGGTTACAATCAAACCAAAATAGGTTTTCAGGTAACTACTTAGTTGTTCATTGAAGTTTTCATAGCAGTAATAAACACCAGGTGTGTTTATTCCATCACATCCTAACTACAACATACATGAATAATTACATTACATACGATTCCGTAATTTCGAATGCCAGAGGCATGGTTCCGATAATTATGTTTTATTTCCGTATAATTACATTACATGTATGTTTCAGAAGAATCCGTTATTTTGATTGGATAACAACGCTTATGCGTCATACTAAAATTCACCATCATATCCAAATGAAGTTTAACATTCATGATGACACGTGCTATCACAATAAAAGTGCACAGCTTATTCAAAGAATTAAATGATAAAAATCGATTTTTCATTATCATAGCGAAAAAATGTAATTATAAGTATTGAATGCTTCTTTTAGTAATTTCATAGGGTTGTAAACGCGTTGCCCGTGCGCATATTTTTAGAATGAAGCGCTTCCGTGCTTCATACAAAATGTACTTCGGTCAACGCTTTTACACCCCAATGAATTTACAAAAAGAAGCATTCAATTCTTAAAATAAAAATTCAAAGATCACGGCAGCACGTGCTATCCATGACAATGGTAAAATACTGCATAAAAAATATGAAAGATTTGATTAAACTCGTAATTTCATGGTTGCAACATAAAAGTGTAATTACAAGATTATTTTTTTTCACTGAGGTAATAATATATGGTTGTAAAAGCGTTGAACGGTCGCACACCTAAAGTATGAAGCGCTTCCGCGATTATTGTCAGCCAATCATTTTTATGGGTTTGAATTAAAAAAAAAATACACGTTATATAGTAATGAAACAATAAAGAATGTCATTGCTGTAATCAAAGATATATAATCAAAAAGTCAATACCGTCATTGATATCCGCGCTTATGCGTTTTACTTTCTAGTATGCATAAATTCAACTAACAAATAGTCACTAACATTCAATTGGAGATGTCCTTTTGGTATTTCAAACTAAGGACGTTATTAAGTATTCTTAAAAAAGGCTATATCATTATAAGAAAGAACTTACCTTAGATAAAAAGCTTGGAAACGTAGACCAATAGTATGTGCTTGAAATGTAAGAAGTTCCTTGGTGATAAGCTTGCGTATAAGTGTACAATGTATCACGTAGGCTTGATTTCTACAATTATATAATTCGACGTGTTAACCTTAGTCAAAAATTTGGACAGACATTTATTTTATTTCATTTTTAATTTATGTTTTATATCTCTTGATACTGGCACAAATATAGTATATCTGAGGAGTCTGATACCGAACACACCTTTTTAATCATTTTATTGATTTTACTATTTCCAGTATATTTAAGAAAAAAGTATAACATCTTTATGTTAAAGGGACACTAGCTGTCAAATTCGTGTTCACCGATTTTACTCAAATTCCTATATTTGATGTATACCAATGTATAACATTTATCTAAATTATAAAAAGTATAAAATAAACAATTCATAGGACATGGGCTCGATAATACGTAGCTTCGTTTCGTGTGTATTTTAGTCTAGACGCCATCTAATTAACTGTCGGCTTGACCTCCGAAGACAACCGATGTCCATATAAGCGATATAAACATAAGTATAAATATAAATAGATAGTGAACTCGTGCGTTTGGATTTATCTATGTCTGTTTAATTTCATATTATAGGATAACAATATGTGTTTATCGTCGTTTTTACCTGTATAAAAATGATTTTTTTTTGTGGATCGAATCAGTCAATCAAATGATTTACCTTTGTTTCACTTTCAATGTTGACATTCTTTTCTTTTAAATAATCAACACGCACAATTCGTGCGTTATCCACTCTAGCTAAGGAGTTAAATTGAAGTTCACATGAATACGGATTCAATGAGGTCGAATTATTCACTTGAAAGTGAAAAATTCATCATCACTGTTTCTTAGCTTTTTGTCTTGCAAAATTCAACCATACTGGTCGCTACGACCAAGCATAAAAAAAAATGAGCGAGTGCGGAGATTTGATTTTAATTAGATTGTATTTTTTATATATCTCGTAGCTAGTGTCCCTTTAACTATTTATTGGCGAGTTTCAATATACAGGTATTAACTTCATAAAAAAGACTGCAAATAGGGGGAAATATTAGTTTACTATAAAGTGTAGGGTCAAAGTAAGGTCTTCAACAAGGAGCCTTGGCTCACACCGAACAGCAAGCTATAAAGGGCCCCAAAAATTAGTAGTGTAAAACAATTCCAACGAGAAAACCAACGGTCTAATCTATATAAAAAACGAGAAACGAGAAACACTTAAATGAACCACATCCACATACGACAACCACTGAACATCAGGTTCTTGACTCAGGACAGGTGTATTATTAAACAAATGCAGCGAGTTTAAACGTTTTAATAGGTACCAACCTTCACCCTAAGCTGAAACAATAGTTTAACAACACAACATAGAAAGACACACCTTAAACTATCAATTGAAATGAACTCAATCAAAAATAATATTAATTAACACAAACTAGTGAATATACACTGAACGAATAAATTTGATCTATGACACAATGTAAAAACATAATCCATAAAATAAGGGCTGTATGTATATATGCAAATACTAACCTGATGGTATAATATAGAAAGAATCACTAAGTATATACCGTAGATTATAATCATCAATGAACTCATCAAAACGGTCTGTAATTAAAAAATAATTCATAATTAAAAACTTATTTTTATTTTTAAAGTTTTCTCAAACATAATTATTAATTTTTTATTGGTTTTCAGCTAACTATATTTATTTTACGTATTTTATTACTTAAGAATTAAGATGTTGACTGTTATAACAAAACGTAAGTTATTATTCATATGTAACCGGGAGACTGGCTACTTTGACGGACAAATATTGCAAATAAAATGATTTCGATAAAATAATGAAAAGTTTAACAATATAATGACAATTTATGACCGAACAGTTTGTCAGTGAAAGTTCAAAAGTATCAGATTTGTGAAAAATACACTTTTTAAATAGCTCCAAATGAAGATGCATAATTTACACAAATTAGCGCTATCACACATATATTGTATAACGGAGCAAGAAAATCAAGTGAGTGCGGAGGCCATACACATTTGGACACATGCTATGCCGTGTCTTTTAAAAATTCTCTAATTTCGTTTTCTTTCAGGTCACATAATTTGTAAACAGAATATGAGAATTTTTACACGCGACCAGGAAATATTAACACCTTTGTCGTTTGCTCCAGGGATATTTATCTCATTTGCAATCATAATAAATCTTTTTATTTTTTATGCTGTAGCTCGATTTCATTTTTATCGTCCTGAATATGCATGAAATATTTGCAACTGGACATTAGGAAAACAACAATAAATCAATTGATTTCTTTTCATTTAAAAACTTTTTTTCTTTTCTGTTTAGGCCTTTTTAAATCATTGCGTGCATGTAACATGTATTGATGCAATATGACAGACCAACAGAAAACCCAAATAAAACACATGATTTCTATATGATTCAAACAAACTGTGATTGGTGATTGCTTAACGTCGCGCGAAGTCGGCGCAAAAATCTACATGTATATAGCGATAAAAAAACAATGAAATTTGAATTCGAAAAAACATGTTATGAGAAATTGCAAACTGGTTAATATGTCGATATTCTACCCAGAAGAGTCTTTTACATGCACATAACTTAATTTGCAACTTACTATCGCTAGCATTCGCTCTTTTCGTCCAATAGCTCCCCAAATACCAAATATTCCAGCAAGAAGTTCGAGAACAAAAACACCAATCAAGGACCACACAATGGATTTCATTGTTGTCCCAAGAGGCATGCCGGCCACGTCTTCCATATCCACAACTTTAATGACGTCTTCATCCAAGATGTCATCGCCAACTTTGATGTAGATTGACATCATTATATATCCGAAAGCCAGAGTCTGAAAAAGTTATTGATTTTAAAATGAAAAAGTTATAAATTTAGAGCACTCTCTACTTTTAAAGATTTTATATGGGTTAACGTTGCCCTTTAGAGCTTATTTAGTAATTTTTTAAAACTTACAAAATCATTGAAAAACGTATCTTCCTCAGGCAAAGCTCTTATTCCTTGTTTTGTTTGGTAATACGTTTTTGGTCAATTTCGGTTATATCAGCTGGTACACAATAAAATTGGACCCCTTAATATTATAATATTAAGACCACTGTATCGATACCTCGGCTTGGTGAACTGTTAGTCCCTGAAGGCGTCACCAGCCCAGTAACTCAGTGTTTCTGTATAGAAATGAAAATGCGCCTATTGTCATGTTAAAATATGCTGCTACAAATCTAAGAAAACCATTTTAAATAAAGAATGTTTTTCCTCATGCAAAGCTCTGATTCCTTGTTTTGTTTGGCAATACATTTTTGGTCATATTCGGTTATATCAGCTTTTAAAAATTTGTATTGCGTTTTGAATTTACAAATATTTTGGCCTCGGCCAATACTGAACAGACATTGAATACATGGTACACGGTGAAATATGACCCGTTAATGTTATATTAATAACACTGAATCGATACCTCTGCTGGTTGACTGTTAGTCCCTGTAAGTGTCACCAGGCCTGTAACTCAGTACTTCTGTACAGACATGACAATACGGCTATTGTTTTGTTAAAATTTGGTGTATAAATGTAAGAAAAACTTTTAAATAAGGTATGTATCATGCAGAGCTCTGATTTCTTGTCCGTTTTTTTTTTTGTTTTTTTGTTTTTTTGCTATACGTTTCTGTCTTTTTTCGGTTATATCAGATCCTCAAAGTTAGAATATATATATATATATATATACATTTTGGATTTTCCGGCAAATATTTTGGACATCACTGTGTTCACTTTTACCAGTATATTAATAGAGCACGGTCTAAAAAAAAACTATGAGGTAGTAGGGGCATATGTCTTTGCCGAATCGGATATTTGTTATAATCAAATGTAACGTTATTGGTCAGTTGAAATGACAAAACGTTTTTTTTTTGTATGGTAGCCCGGACTGTAAACATTTCATAAGTAAATTAAGTTTTACATCTTACTTTTCTTTTAGCTTCTTTTATAGTAAGAAAAACCCGTTCACAAAATAGTAAAAAAAACTTTAGACTGAAAAATATTTTATCTTTTTTCTTCATTTTTTTATATTCCTTCCATCATTGTCCATACTTTGAATGGGAAATGAAAATACTCTTCAAATATGTGTAGCTCCTTACAAATATGATATATACCTTGAGTGTCTGTATAATTTTTATCATAGAATATTAATATTACAAAGAAAACAACCGAATTCATATTCCATGGTTATGATTTACTTAAATGAACAACTTTAGATTATAAATGACTTTAAAAAAGTACATTGCCTTACCCTGGTAATCAAGGATGCTGTCATAATAATATTGGTTGAGAGAGTAAAACGACCTCGTCTTACTTTCGCCATTTTGAATTTTGTCTAATATTGTATTTTTTATTATTGATTTACAACACGTAAATCGATGTTGTCGATTAAGAGGTTTTTAAACATATAATATTACTTTAAAATGCATCGAGGCATTGTAAGTTTGAATAAAAGAATCGTTCAAAAAATGTTCCTTTAAATATTTAGATATTGGTTTTATATGATTACAAACGTATATCATATAGACAAGGACTTCCTTGTTTAATGTTATATAGGTAATCTGAAGAAATGTCATGTGTCAAAATGAATTTAAATTAAATTTGAATGTAATTTTCTATATCTGAACATAATAAAAGTAAAATGGGTACTAATATCATTAACAGGACAGTCTTTAAGGTTGGAGAGGAGATTAAAAAAAAGGACAGATAACATTGGCGGATCCAGGGGTAGGGGGTGTTCCGGGGGTTGATTAACAAAAAATGCCGATAACATTGGCGGATCCAGGGGAAGGGGGTGTTCCGGATTGATTAAGAAAAAGAACAGATAGCATTGGCGGATCCAGGGAGTGTTCCGGGGGTTGATTAAGAAAAAGTACCGATAACATTGGCGGATCCAGGGGTAGGGGGTGTTCCGGGGGTTGATTAAGAAAAGGGACATATAACATCGGCGGATCCAGGGAAAGGGGGTGTTCCGGGAGTTGATGAAGAAAAAGTACCGATAACATTGGCGGATCCAGGGGTAGGGGGTGTTCCGGGGGTTGATTAAGAAAAAGTACCGATAACATTGGCGGATCCAGGGATAGGTGTGTTCCGGGGGTTGGACCCCCCCCCCCCCCTTTTCCCCCTTTTCAAAATGGCTTCATTCGTGACTGCATGGATAGGCAATAAACAATAATAAGTCTAAGAAAAACAGACATTACCATGGCAAAAAAACGATGAAAAGGCGAATAGACAAACAATTCTACAAACGTTTACACAGAAAACTAAAGATTGACTTGATCAAAAACCGGGGCGATCTCAGGTGATCCGGAAGGGTTGGCAGATCTGGCTCTACGTGTGGCAATTTGAACATGTTGCCATATTTATCTCTTTTTAGAAGTCTCCTGTTATCGCTATACATATGTTTGGTAGTTTTAATGATGGTTTGTATGATTTTTAAAGTGTATCATAAGTTTACATGTAAAAAAATATTTCTCTTACTCTATATGCATTTTTTTTTCTTATTCTATATGCACTTTTCTCAAATTCTATAGGCCTATGCATTTTTCTCTTATTGTTTATGCATTTTTCTATAATTCTGTATGTATGGTTAGGGTTAGGTATAGTACATGTAATATATAGGATTATTTACTACCTGATGATCTATTAACTGAGTTCGTAAAATTTTTGTAAACAGTGATCGTTAATTTCTCAATGAAGTAGATATATTAGGATGTACAAAGGGATAAAGGTCGCCGACTACGATGAAATTTGCAAATTTTGGTTAAAAAAATAATTAAACAAAAACAAAATTCATGACGTCCTTATATTTGCTTCATTAAATCAAATCAAATAACACAATGTTGATTTAAAGTCGACAAGATAAGTATCAATACATGTAAAACGTTATAGTTCGCGTTGAGCTATTGAATAAGACATGCTGCATGCGATAAAATGCCTGTTATCAGATCGATGTCTATTCCGAACTAGCTTCGGAAATACTCATTTTGTTAAGTTTGCAAATATCGGACGTTAACCTATCGATCGTTCTCTCTGTTGTGTAACAGTTTTCTTAAACTCTAGATGAGGGTCTGGATTGGTGGGCCTTCATTACTGTAATTCTTTAATTGTTACATTACGTCATTTTTATGCCCCACCTAGGGGCATTATGCTTTCATGTCTGTGCGTCCGTTCGTTCGTTCGTCCGTTCGTCCGTCCGTCCGTCTGTCCCGCTTCAGGTTAAAGTTATTGGTCAAGGTAGTTTTTGATGAGTTTGAAGTCCAATCAACTTGAAACTTAGTTAACCCTTACCGAAAAATAAGCCCTGCGGCAAACATTTGCCGCAAGTTTGCAGCAAACATTGCCGCAAGCTTGCAGCAAACATTTGCTGCAAACTTGCCGCAACCATTTTACCATGCAAATGAAGGTTGCGGCAAGCTTGCTGCAAACATAATTATGCAAATTAGATTTGCCGCAAGCTTGCGGCAATTGTTTGCTGCAAGCTTGCGGCAATTGTTTGTTGCAAACTTGCGGCAAACTTGCAGGAACTACACATATACCAATGTCATGTGTGTAGACACATTCAATTTATCTCTTTCAAATTACACAGCAACATTTTTAAAAGATTTCCTGCCTGTATATAAACAGTCATTGAAAGAATTCTTGCAAACTTAAAGATTTAAGGAAATACATACATACATTTGAGTTTTGAAAAAGGGGGTAGGGGTTATTCTCAAATGACATCATATACCTGTATTAAGAAATGAAAAAGGAAAAATCTCCAATGTGTATTGGGTATAAAGCTATGTAATAATTGCATTACAGAATTGAACTTAATTTTAATAAACATGATACAGTACATCAGTTACAAAATTCAAACTTATAATAGCTAAAGTTTTTCAAACACACACATATATATATATATATATAGTTGCTTACTTAATTATGTATGATGGTGACATTAATTATTTTATTAAAACATGCAGTTCTATGAATTATTTGTACTTACAAAATTACCTATTGAATATCCTATATTATTGAACCAAAATGCCTCCTTGATCTCTTATATGTGAAATGCATTTTCCAAACACAATCAACATGACCTAGACACAATTTCAAATTGTTAGCTTCCAGGAAGTGCCAACTAGGCATGCCCAGTCAATATTGTGTAGTTCTTGCAATCTTGCGGCAAACATATAGAATGGTCAAAGTTTTCTGCAATCTTGCAGCAAACATTATTTATTATCTTAACTTTCTGGCAATCTTACGGCAAACATTGATGTTTCTGCAAACTTGCCGCAAGCTTGCAGCAAAAAGCTGCAATGTTTGCCGAAAGTTTGCAGCTAGCGGCAAACATCTGCAAACACTATTGTCTGTGTTCCTGCAAACTTTTTGTTTGCCGCAAGCTTGCAGCAAGTCTGCTGCAAGTTTGCGGCAAACAATTCAGTTCCATAAGGGTATACACATGTTCCCTATGATATGATCTTTCTAATTATAATGCCAAATTAGAGGTTTTACACCAATTTCACGGTCCACTGAACATAGAAAATGATAGTTCGAGTGGGGCATCCGTGTACTTTTGTCAATTTTTCTCTATTCTATATTTTAGGTTCATTTTCTGTAGGTTTGATCTATAATTCTCCATAGTTCTGTAAATACCATCAAGACCCTCCTAGATGTGTTATACACGATGCCAGTAATTCATTAAGTCAATTTCAAGTTCTTTTGTTAACACCGTGTCTTATATACATGTTTTACAAATATGTTTATTATCGATTTATTCTAAAATGTTATGTAATATAATTACTAGTAATTTAAAGGTACTGAACAACTAAAGAACCTGTGCACTAAAAACTTATTCTGAAAAATAAAATTAGATAACCATACGACCTTCGATGATGGATATGATGACGAAAAAACATAAGGTTTCATAAGTTATACCCCCCCCCCCCCCCCCCCTCTTTTCCGAACACCAATGGACACAATGACATGACTAATGGCGAATTTACAATATTTCGTTTATTGACGTTAGACTCTGTTCTAGATCTAAAATTGCCCGATTATAAATTTTGAAATTATACAGAAACTATATAGGTTTCAACTCCCTCAGGTAAAGTTGGCTTTAGATGGATTTTGCTATGATTTATCGGGTCATTTTTTGTTTGCAACTCTTCAACATGTTCGTTCCTTATACATCCTTGGCTTTTGAATATTTGGCTTTGAGCGTTCCTGATGAAAGTAAATCCAGAAAAAAAGCGCTTCGCACGCATAAAGTTGATAACATGTTTTCATCTTTATTTACTAGTCATATTTAGCCGTTTCAAGTATCATTCCTTTCAACAAACATGGTGTAGGTTTCATCTTGTTCAAACTGCAAAACCTCTATAATAGCTTCAGGAGCTGCGCCCGCAGACCCCCAATACAGTGATGGAAGATCCAGTTCTTCATATTTAATTGAAATTCCAAAGGAACATAGAGATACCTACTATTCCATGATTTCCTCTTTACTAAGTGTCGTGGGGGGTATATGTTGAGTTTCCAAGTGAATTAATTGTCAATGCCTAATTCACAAGGCAATGTGATTTCCACACAAAAACGACGTTGTTTGGGGCTTTATCTGCGAGGACAACAACATTATTTGTCATGGAGTTAGGACTAGTGGTTTGCAAAATTTGGGTAATTACAGATTGATGTAGCATGGGTATTAATAGACGCATTCAGTTTCTTGATAATTCTGATTTGTATCAACGACCTAACAGCCTTAATAATTAATAATCCTCGATTGAATCCATCAGTTTTTGAAGGTTTTTTTTTCCCATTGATGTATTTATAGGCTCACGATATTTCTGACCTTAGGATAACACATTTCGCAGATAAATGCAGAGGCGGATCCAGCCAAAAAAAGGGGGGACTGGTCACTGGTAACATAGCGTGGCCAGTCGGATTAAATATGAAAGGGGAACTAGCACAGGTGCAATCAGGAGGTTTAGACGAAGAAGTCTTCAATATTGAGATCCTGCATAAATGTTCATACTAGATATATATATATCCCTTACTGAAAAAATCAACCTCCTGCAAAAATTTGCTGCAAGGGCATTAAAGTTTAATAAACGTATTCAATCATTTATTAAACCACATGGAAATATTTATAAAAGTTGATGGCTTGTTTTGGGGCATTAGTTGTTCAATGACATATATAATTCTCACTGATAATTGTAATACTTGTCTTTGGTGGATTAATAATAAAAACAACGTTTTGTTTTGAAAAACTAGTCAGCTTCAACCTTGGAATTAATAAAAAAAACAATGATGTACGAATTGTAAATCATTAAAAGGATTTATAAGTTCACTTATTATACTCTGTGACTACCATTATAAAACATGTGTCATGGTAGTCTCAGTTATATATATACTGCATAAATTGACTGAATAGAATTATTTTGTTATCAAATATTAATAGGCCTATAGATAAATACATTGTATTCCACTATTCAGTCTACTATGCAAATCAAAGGGAAAATAATAAATTGGTTGCGGCAATACAAATATATTCGGCAAATTTGTCAACAAACTCGAATGGACCCTGGGCGAACAGGTACTAGGGCGAACATGAATCAGGGCGAACGGACCCAGATTCAGTGTCGAATATAAACTGGACCCCTGCTGTTGTTTCAATCTTATCTACACAAACGGCTGTGTCGGAAGTTTTCGAGAGTTTTCCAAGGCACAATTTGGCGCTTTATTTAGGCGGGTAAATTGAAGAAGGTAAACAAAGCTGAAAAGTATTTAATTTTTCTATTCTCTACTTTAGATCTTCATCGATAGCTGTGTATTCGCCGAAACTATCTCTAACCGTCAATTTTGTACGTTTTGCAAAGAGATTGATTATCTGAATCACACATGCACAATCACACTGATTCACAGACACTTTTTATTTTACCTACAGGCTACAACTACAAGTAAAAATGTACAAATGTACCTTTTAATCTATATATTTCATATAAAACTAAGGTTGGAACCCCCCTTTTTTGGACTATCATTTGAATGGGAACATAATGTTGAAACTCGCTTTATCCTGGGTCGGGACGACCCCTCCCTTTTTTTTTTTGAAAATGGCTGGATCCTCCCCTGAAAACAATATTTCATGACTATCTAGTCCAAATAGTTATGATGTGTTGCTAGGCTGTAAATAGACTTGTAAGACGTTGTAATTATTTGGACTAGACTGTCAGTCAGGGGTACTACTTGTACAAGTATCCTTTATTTACTTGAAAAAGTAAAAGATATTATAAGTTATCTACGTTCATATCCGTAGATATGGATATTTTAACACCCTGAAGTATCCAAGTACACCCTGAGGCGCAGCCGAAGGGTGTACAGGGTACTGAAGGGTGTTAAAATATCCATATCTACGGATATGAACGTAGATAACGAATATTTCCCCGGTCTTAGTCTAAATCTGGCGATTTTTAGAGAAATTCGACCACAAAGTTAAACGTGAAAGCAACGTTTTTTTAATTTTTTAAATATATCTTTTATTGAAATTTGGGAATTTGACATATTTTTAACGGGGTGTAGGGTCCTACCTTTGGTAGGACCCTACAGGTAGACAAATATAAGACGTTTTTAAACTAGAGACAGAGAAACTGAAATGGGTCTAATTTGGCGCGCAATGTTGTGAGAGTTACATCATAAACGGTGTGACGTCAACGTGGGTCATTTGCATAGCTAGGTCAGTAGTACCATTCATTGAAAATGTGGCTGCATAGTGATGCATTTACTAAAATGAGTGCAAATAATCGATATAATAAGATAAAATCGTTAGTGGATTAAATATTTAATTATACAGACATCATGGAAAATCTACATAATTCGATATTTCATAAGGAACAACCATGGAACTAAGGAAAACGCGCGTGAAATTCCCCGATGTAATGGGTAGCAACGTCCGGGGATATGGGTTAGCAACACCCGGGGGCTATGGGTTTTGTAACGACGTACGTTAACCAATCAGAATCCTAGAAATATACTAAGCCGGGGATAAATACTTATATCGTCTTGGTACCTGTTTTGACGCGGACCAGAAATGACGCACCGATTTAGTTAACGGTTTTATATTTCTAAACAAAAGCCGTGACGTCATCAACATTTGTTGTTCATAACATGATGTTGAAGGTCATCTGACTACAACAAAGATGCCTAAAACTCTGCCCAGAAATGTTATTATTGCTTAAAATATTAAAGACGATGCAATTTCCGCCATTTTATTAAGGTCAAAAAAATTCTACCCTTCCCCGAAAGATTATCATTCCTATCTCCACTTTGGTCAAGAAAAGTATGTAACCGTAGGCTTCCCCATTTTGTGTTTTTCAAATCACGTGACTGTCATGTGATATGGCTTTACATTTAAGCGGGAATCACTGTAGAAAAAATGATCGTCGCTTAAATATCATTTTCTATGGTTTATCGATTTTTTTTCATTCAATGTATGAAGTATACATATGTACATTGATAAATGTATTATTGTCAATGTTGTTTAATGAATGCAATTACTTTTTATTTTCAAATATATGGAATATGTATATCACTTTCATAAATTTTGGACAATTATATATCAAAATATAGGTTACAATTAAATTGATTAAAAATTTGGTGTTACAATCATCATGATCATTAAAGTGAATGAAAATTTCAAAAATTGTTAATAAAATTGAATCTGTTGAACAGTTTTAACTTCAAAGAATCCGGATTGAAGCAATTTTTCGATTATCAGTTACGTACAAGTGGTTTCTACTGGTTTGTTTATAGTGCGTCATTACTGGTACCCATCATTAGTTGGCAGTCCGTTTATTATGTTAGCAAACATGATTTTTATTGCTATTACTGTTTCAAATATCAACTGTTTAATAATTGAAATATAATAACAAGTTATCAATCTTTTATTCCATTCCGTTTTTCTAATTCTTTCAAATGGTAGATTAAATGCAGAGACAAACACAACCTTAGGTGCGTCATTACTGGTTCCTCGGGGATATAAGTTAATTATAATGTTTGAATAATCTCCCCTTAATTTTCTCAAAAATTCACTTGTATAAGTAATTTTTTTTTACAATCCCACAAAAATTCTCAAGTTTTGAGATGTAAAAACATGCCTTTAATGATTTTTACCAGGTTAGCTCATAATTTTTTATTAGAGTTCAATGTTTCATCTCATTAATTCAACAAAGAAACTGATTGCGCAAGGCCTTCAAAAATTGCTCCTTGGGGGGCTTGTAATTGAGAAGTGTTCTGAAGATAACAGACAAATGAGATTTTCATTGTCCAGGGCTCGACAATAACGCTTGTCCGATTGTCCGGTACCAGAAGAAAAAAAGGTCGGACAAGTAAAAGCTAGATCAAGGTTGTCCGACGGGACAAGTAAAATAATTTTGTAGAAAATAAATTAAATCCAACTTTGATGAACAAAGTAATAAACAAAAAACAAGAAAAGATAGATAAGGTAACAAGACAGTTCGGCACCGGCACGGAAACTAATCCTTCCATGTTTAATAGACAGTATGGCACCGTAGGAGACATTTCGGGACCAAGCCAACCAGCACCTCATTTCCCTACCATATTCTGTTGCTTATAATAAATATGATAAATTTTATTTAACAAAAATATTTTTTAAAATAAAAAATGAAGAAATTATTGACCATAAAATTCACAGAATCATATTTGATCATATGTAGACAAAACAATACTTGATTGCATTTGAATAAACATTTTAATATATTAAAAACAAAGCTGTTTGTAGTAAGGCATTAATCATAGTAATCAATATTTTACCAACATGAAAGACCAGGATACAAACCAAATGAGTGTAGACTGACAGGCCTACCAGACTGTGCCTCATGTGCAGAGTCTGATGAGACTTTGGCATTGATGAAAACTAGAACCTAAGTCCTGTGACATGACTTGATTCAGTTGTTCTCGACTCATATTTTTGAAAAGGATATCAAGAGATATAAATCAAATTCTGTTCTTATGTTCATTAAATCAACTTAAAATGCAAAAAAGGTTAATATTTAGATTTTTCTTGGACAAGTTACAATTCCATTCGGACAAGTAAGTTTTGATGTGTACTTGTCCTATTGGGCAAGTTGAAAAAAAAAACATTGTAGAGGCCTGTTGTCCATGAAATTACACTTAAATGATTAGTTAAGACAGCTGCAAAGGACAGACAATTTAAAATTCTATTAGAGCAAAGAAGTCCTAAGAATTCAAGAAAAGAAGATAGGATGACTTTTTCACTTATATAAGTAAAAAAATCTGAATGTCTAAGGGACATAACTAAGCCAATCTTTTTTTTTTACCTATACAAGTAAATAAAATACACTTGTATAAGTATCCTAAAAATTTACTTATATAAGTATATTAATATTACTTCTTCAAGTAAATAAAAATTACTTGTACAAGTACAATGTAGTACCCCTGACTGACTGTATCGTGAAATTTTTTCCCCATCTATGAAATAATGTCCAGAGAAGGAAATATTTCCATGATATAGACAATATTTTACCATACACATGATACATGTGATGGACTGTGAAACTCCGATCAGGAGATTAGGAAATTTTGGTCAGGAGATTAGGACTCAGATCAGGAGGTTTTTAATCGACATAGATTTTGTCGTAAATGTAACCGTGTGCTGTAGAAATTGTCTTTTAAAGTGTTTTTTCTTCAACTTTCCATCCGAATGTATTATGTTTATAGTACCCTTGTACTTATAAATTTTCTCTATCTTTATTCAACATGTTCAATCTAAGGCCTAAAATAAATATTGTTTGTTTCCCCAATCCCGACCGACCCTGCAAAAATGGTCTGACTCGCAAAATTTTATTGTCAAAAGTAAGTCAAATATTATTTTATTCATTTCTGATTTTCAGGCTTGCTGGATCAACCAATATTGTTCCAGCTTTTTGGAAAAATAAAATTATTTCCCTACCTACCTACCCACACCTGGCTTGGCAGGGTCGGGATTGGGGAAACAAACAGTATATTAATTTAGGCCTAACATTCTTTTTTTTTTAGTATGTTCTTTAAATTTTTTATTTTTGTCGAGCCTTCGACTTTAGTCGAAAAAGCGAGACATAGCGATCCTACATTCCGTCGTCGTCGTCAGCGGGGTCCACAAATATTCACTCTGTGGTTAAAGTTTTTGAAATTTTAATAACTTTCTTAAACTATCCTGGATTTCTACCAAACTTGGACAGAAGCTTGTTTATGATCATAAGATAGTATCCAGAGGTAAATTTTGTAAAAATAAAATTCCATTTTTTCTGTATTTTACTTATAAATGGACTTAGTTTTTCTGCCGGGAAATATTACATTTACTCTGTGGTTAAAGTTTTTAAAATTTCAATAACTTTCTTAAACTATCCTTGATTTGTACCAAACTTGGACAGAAGCTTGTTTATGATCATAAGATAGTATCCAGAAGTAAATTTTGTAAAAAAAAAATCCATTTTTTCCTTATTTTACTTTTAAATGGACTTAGATTTTCTGCCAGGAAACAACACATTCACTCTGTGGTTAAAGTTTTTAAAATTTTAATAACTTTCTTATTCTATTTTGGATTTGTACCAAACTTGGACAGAAGCTTGTTTATGGTCAAAAGCTAGTATCTTGAAGGAAATTTTGTAAAAAAAATAAATCCATTTTTTTCCGTATTTTACTTTTAAATGGATTTTCTGCCAGGAAACAACACATTCACTCTGTGGTTAAAGTTTTTAAAATTTTAATAACTTTCTTATACTATTTTGGATTTGTACCAAACTTGGACAGAAGCTTGTTTTATGATCAAATGCTAGTATCTAGAAGTAAATTTTGATTTCTTCCAGTTAACATTACATTCAGTCTGCAGTTAAAGCTTTTAAACATTTATTAGATTCATAAACTATCCTGGATTTTTACCAAACTTGGACAGAAGCTTCTTACAATCAAAAGATAGTATCAAGAGGAATATTTTTATTGATTTACTTCCTCATTTTTGTTGAGCCTGCGATTAACAGAAAAAGTAGGCGAGACACTGGGTTCCGCGGAACCCTTACGAATTTTATACCTTTTTTATCATTATTCTTCAGAACAATCACTGCAATCAGTACATTTGTTTAACTATCTACCCAGAGATCTTTTTTGCATGTTAAGAAACACATTTAAATCTAGAAACAAGGGTCATAGTTATTATATAAATTTCAATTTAAGCCTTGAAAGGAAGTATAGAACCCTCAAATAATTTTCAAATTATTATTTTTTTATTTGTTCTAAAACATTTAAAATCATTTAGTTACCATCCTTTTACGATTATTTGTTCAATTTATATTTTATTTATATTCTTTTACAAATTTACATTATTTAAAGGAAAGTAACTTAAAACAGGATAAATCAAGGGAAGTAACCCAACATTCATTTCAATTATTTTTAAATACACAAAGTTTTTATTACACAATGGCAGTTAGCCTGAGGTAAAAATCGTTGATTACCAGTATGTTTGACACCCAAGCTGACAAGTGAAGCCATATAATTATGCATGTTAGTTGATTTACAGGTAAAATATAACTTCAGGTAATGTCAGTTACACCAGATATGTTGGGCTGAAATTTTTCATTCATGAAATATTTCATACATGGGATTTTTTTCTCTTCAACAGGAGGTCGGGAGGAGACCCCTGAAAAAGGGATTATTGTACTACCGTCTGGAGGTTCACATGTATGTTTTACAGATGGATAGTATGACATTTTGTCCTGTTTAAAGGGAGGTTATCCAGATCCTGTATCCAAGCTACGACTGCAGAGATCTGTTAACTCTTAACTCATACACACCTTTAAAAATTTGAAAGCTGAATTTTTATTGGCTGATATAATAAAAATTCGTAAAGGTTCCGCGGAACCCAGTGTCTCGCCTACTTTTGCTGTTAATCGCAGGCTCAACAAAAATGAGGAAAAAAATTAATAAAAATATTCCTCTATATACTATCTTTTGATTGTAAGTAGCTTCTGTCCAAGTTTGGTAAAAATCCAGTATAGTTTATGAATCTAATAAATGTTTTAAAAACTTAAACTGCAGAATGTATGTAATGTTAACTGGAAGAAAAACTAAGTCTATTTATAAGTAAAATACGGAAAAAATGGAACAAAATTTTAACAAAATTTCCTTCTAGATACTAGCTTTAAATCATAAACAAGCTTCTGTCCAAGTTTGGTACAAACCCAGGATAGTTTAAGAAAGTTGTTAAAATTTTAAAAACTTAAACCACAGAGTGAATGTAATGTTAACTGGCAGAAAAACTAAGTCCATTTATAAGTAAAATATGGAAAAAATGGAATTTTTTTTTTACAAAATTGACTTCTGGATACTATCTTATGATCATAAACAAGCTTCTATCCAAGTTTGGTAGAAATCCAGGATAGTTTAAGAAAGTTATTAAAATTTCAAAAACTTTAACCACAGAGTGAATGTAATGTTTCCTGGCAGAAAAACTAAGTCCATTTATAAGTAAAATACGGAAAAAATGGAATTTTTTTTTTACAAAATTTACTTCTGGATACTATCTTATGATCATAAACAAGCTTCTGTCCAAGTTTGGTAGAAATCCAGGATAGTTTAAGAAAGTTATTAAAATTTCAAAAACTTTAACCACAGAGTGAATGTAATGTTTCCTGGCAGAAAAACTAAGTCCATTTATAAGTAAAATACGGAAAAAATGGAATTTTTTTTTTTACAAAATTTACTTTTGAATATTATCTTATGATCATAAACAAGATTCTGTCCAAGTTTGGTAGAAATCCAGGTTAGTTTAAGAAAGTTATTAAAATTTCAAAAACTTTAACCACAGAGTGAATATTTGTGGACGCCGCCGACGACGCCGACGGAATGTAGGATCGCTATGTCTCGCATTTTCGACAAAAGTCGAAGGCTCGACAAAAACCAGAACAGATGGTAAAAAACGTGTTAACAGAGCCTTGTAAGGGTCGCTTGAACACAGGGTCAGTAATAAAATTGGAATGCACATGGGCAGAAAAAGCAACAAAAGTATAAGCTGTTCATGTAGGATCTTGTATAACATATAAATTAGAAGGTGTGGTATGATCAATGAGTCAAGAGACCAACTGATACAGAAATTAACAACTATAGGTCATTGCATGGCCTTCAACAATGAGCGAAGCCAAAACTGTATTGTTGGCTATAAAAGGCCACACAAAGTGACAAATGTAAAACAATTCAAACGAAAAAAACTAACTTTTTTAGACTAGGGGCCCAACCAGCCACAATATGAAAATTAATGTAAGCACTATGGGCATTTTCATAAAAATTTTATGGGCCCAATCCAATTTTCAGTAGCATTGGCTACTGGGCCCCTGCTAATCTTTTTCCCTGAGTTGCAGCCTAATTTATGTACAAAATAATGAACAATAAACAAATATGTATTGTTATAGAGCAACAAATGACAACCACTGTATTGTAGGCTATTTTTTATATGTGTTCTGATCTTGATTTTACTAGACAATTATGGAAGCAGAACAGAAACAGATGAATGGACATGGCGACAATTTATTCAAAACAGGAGAAATAAAACAAAATGGGTGTAATGGACATACAAATGGTACAACTAGAAGGTAAATAAAGAGCTGCTGAACCAACGCTTCCTATGTTTTGTGCTGGTACCAGATGGTATGCAGGGTTGTCAGATTAAAAAAAATCAAATACTGCTATATTGACAACAACACTTCATTCTGTGTGAAACTGTTTTAGAGTTTGTCTGACCGAAAGAGAAATTTGAACTTTTTCAATATATATTCAACAAAAATATCTTATAAAAAGTTCTGTCTGACATTTTGTCGGTCAGACACTGAGAGTTGGATACACTGACACTTAAGTAAACTGCATCTTTTATTGTCTACCTTTTTTCGCTGGGATCTAGTCATCAAAACAAAGTACTGTAAATTCAGAAATTATTGCGTGCATTTATTATTGCGATTTTGGAAGAATGGACTAAAATGCGAGATTAATTATTGCGATTTCAGGAAAATCTACATACAGATATAAGTATCAGATATCATAATGCGAGTTCTTATTATTGCGATCTTCATCCACTCGCATTATTCGCATTAATAAAAACCTCGCAATAATTTCTGAATTTACAGTATACAAAAGGAGAACCCCTGAAGTACAAAAAATGATATCTTGTATGTGACGTCATAATTGTCTAGGCCAAAAAAAAAAATATGTTTGTTTACTATTACATCTTTGAAAAAAATAGGGTAGGTAGGTAGGGAATTTTATTTATTTTACCTTTTTTTTTACATTGAGTCTATGGGAGGGACATTCTGACTTTAAAGAGCTTATTGAAAAATGAAAAAAAAAAAAAAAATAGGGTAGGCTATTTTTGAGCTGAAAAAATAGGGAGGGTAGAGTAATAGGAAACACACATCTTTTTTTATTTGGCCCTATTGTTGACTTTGCTATAGGATACAATATATATAATTATAATGAACTAGAAAGTAACTATTCTTGAAAGAGGTGTGACCGTGTCACTTTTGTAAGCCACGTATGAATTTCAAGAAATTTTATGAGACGTATTTTTTGTCTTCTACATGTTACTAAGAAAGTTCTTTTTTTCATCATAAGAACTAAAAACACAAACCATGAAAACTAAATATTAAGTTTTTGTATTGAATATTTTTCAAAATCAAAATTTAAATTTACGTGGGCTAGAGTTAGCTCCATTCACTAGACAGGATGAACTGAGATGTTGTGTACCTGTATATTTTTTTCTATATATAGACACGATGAATACCACTACTTGGATGCCATACAAGAAGTTATTGACCATGGTGTAAGGAAGAGTAACAGAACTGGTATTGACACGTTATCTATATTTGGAATGCAGATGAGATACAGTTTAAGAGATCGTACGTATGAACATTTTCTCGACAAAAGAACCTAAAAGGTACTCATACCTGTGTACTTTTCAAAATCTCCCAGGGCTCACACTACCAGGCGACTAGGGCGAAGAAGTTGCTTTCCCGTCCATCACTTCGCTTTGCCCGACCCTCAAAATATAAAAAACAAGTCACCCTGTGGTTTACGATACTCGCTTTCAGTAGCTTTCGTCATCTGCAATATTCAATTTTTACCAAGACGATGAAACAGCAATTTTTCATTTAAAAGTAAAGAAATTCAAGGCATAAACGATTTATTTTCTTCAGAAAAGAGGTTAAAGCATTGATTTCAAAGTTGGTGGCATGTTATTTCATAAAAACAATTTTTTATCACTTCCGGTACTTGTTACTCAGGTCAAATCATTCTAACTTACAGCAAAATAAGTTGTAACTTCATTAGAACTTGATGAAATTTGAAGTAAATTTGTTATCCTTGTATTGCATTAAAAACGTCATATTCCTTTCCAAATAGCGTGTCAAACATCTTTTTTTTTGTAAATTTTTCTTCGTCCGCCATTTAAATTATTGGGCATATTATTGTACAACTACGGATCGGAGTTGGGATTTCATCGGAAACGGACCTGCTATGACCGAAATCCGGATTTTTACGATAATGACTATGGACGCATTAATGGCACTGATGACAGACAAAAATAAAAGGAAAAATTACGCATTCCACAAGCATTACCGTACTTTTGGTTAGATCTTCTCGATTAATGTATATATTTCCATGTATATGCATTGTTTCAATTTATAAGTTAAAGTTGCTCAATTCTGGGACTATTACGCTAATATAATTATATTATGTCCAAGCTTAACTGTTAAATTTATATATCTTTTTAATGAGAAATACTCAGTTTCATGAACATGATAACAGAGTAGTTTTTGTCTCGCCTTGACCGAGTCAAAAAGCAAGACATAGGTATGCTGTTTCCGGCGGCGGCGTCAACAATGTATTAGTTTGTGATTAGGTCTTGTTCATGGTGAACCACTAGTAGTAGGTCAATGATATTTGGTATGCAGTTGTATTAGCATTGGCACATCTCATTACCATAGAGATTATTTGGCCCCACCCCCTTAGTCATGGTCTATAGACTTTGAAAAATTTTGCTAAGTTAACATGTATTAATTTGTGATTAGGTCAGTTCAAGGGGAACCATTAGTGGTAGGCCAATGTTAATTGGTGTTCAGTTGTATAAGCATTAGGACATCTCATTTCCATGGAGAATATTTGGCTTTGCCCCCTTAGTCATGGTCTATAGACTTTGAAAATTTTGCTAAGTTAACGTGTATTAGTTTGTGATTAGATAAGTTTAAGATGAACTGCTAATGTTAAGTCAATAATATTTGGTATGCAAATTTATTGGTATTTGCAAGTATCGTTTTCATGGAGATTATATAGCCCCACCCCTGATCATGGTTCATTGACTTTGAAACTTTTACATAGTTTACAAGTTAATGGTTGTGTTTAGGTTTGTTTAAAGGGAACGACTTATAATAAGTCAATGGTATTTGGTATGCAGTTGTATTAGCATTGGCACATCTCATTCCATGGAGATTGTTTAGCCATGTACCTTCAGTCATGGTTCATCGACTTTGAATATTTGCATAACCTACATGTTAAAGTATTGCTATTTTAATTTCAACATTTGCATTATCAAAATTACAAAAAGGCGAGACATATCTCTGTGATAACAGTTTATTTAATTGATTTAACAACTTTCTTTTCCTTTTTAATATAAAAAAAAATCTTTTTTATTAGTGCCAGATATTTAATTGTTTTTTCTGAAAAGAGGACTCCTATGATTGTGCAACTAGATATGATAAAATTAAACAACTTTAAATTTGAACAGTTACTTTAATTGTATACCCAGGTACAAATTGAACTTTAAAAAAAAAATAAGATACATATGGCCCTTAATGTATTATAGTAAAAACAAAACATTGTAGCGCCGCGAGCGAACAAGCACTTCTCTTTCAAATATCACCACTTCTCCCTATCAATTTCAAAAAGAAGTAACTTCTCCCTATGATTCTGAAGTAGTGTGAGCCCTGATCTCCATTGGGGATTTTGAGTGCAAGAGGAACTTTTGCACCTCCTATTTTGTCATAAGTGTTTTAATCTACTACTGTATTATTTGAATGATAATGTATACATGTGCTTAAATACCCTTTCAGCTAATTTAAATGCCTGTTTTGAGGTGTTCAATTTGTTGAAATATAGAATTTTAAATTCTACATCAACACCTCTCATGTGGGATATAAATTGAGATAGTTGACAGGTGTTGTACTCAAGTTCTTGATACACCCCTGTATGTGTAAAAAGTTTTCATGGTTTTATTCACGTTACAAGCAAACTTTAATTATACACAAAAAGGAATCCAAATGATAGTTGACAGAACAAATGACTATACTAACCACCAACACTGAACACTTCAGATACCCCAGACTAATAAAATTTTATTCTGACTAGTTTGTTTTTTTTAAATATGTTGTTTAGACACATAAGAAAAATATCGGAATATTAGTCTTTGGAATATTAGTCTTGGAAAAGTTTTTGGTGCAGACTGGTTGTATCTGTGTACAAAGTCAAAAGTCAATTAATATCCTGAAATTTTTGTAGGTTTAATTTCTCTTCATAGAATACTATTTAAGAAGAGCTCCACATGTTTATTTTTGTTTTCTGAATATGATGGAACAGTTAAACATCAGAATGACAGACGTTGAGAAAGTAATAAAAGAATTTAAATCATTGAGTGACACATGTAGATTTTAAATGCATATGAAATAAGCCAAAATGTTAACATGGTTAAAGAAACTAATATGGTTCTTAAAAAAAGATAATTTAATTTTTGTATAAGGAGGGTTTTTTTTTAATTTGGTTATCTCCCTTTTTGTAATAGTAATAGTAAACAGACATATCTATCACTATGATCACCTAAATGATATTAGAAGCAGAAGAAATCATCAGTGACTTTTCTAGAATTAAAATCACAGGGCAATGATTGGCACTTTTTTAAAACCTGACCACCTTAAATAAAAATTTTATAATTCTTACCAAATTTTATAGAAAAATGCAACCACCCATATTTAATTTATTTTGTGGGACTCCCGTCCCCCACCAGATTTATTTTGAGACAGCCTTTTTTAAAAATCAACATTATTTTCAGAATTTCCCCTCCTGACAACTAAACGAGTGTTTTGGAGAGGAGTAGCTGAAGAGTTACTATGGTTTGTGGCAGGTTGTACTAGCGGGAAGAAACTGAGTGATAAAAATGTAAAAATATGGGATGCTAATGGTTCCAGAGATTTCCTTGATGGGTTAGGTCTTACACACCGAGAAGAAGGTATTTTTGTTTAGAAAATTATATATGAAATTGAGAAAAAAATCACTGTAAAAGTGCAAATTTTTTGCTCATTGTTGAAGGCCGTATGGTGACTTACACTATAGTTGTTAATTTCTGTGTCACTTGGTCTCTTGTGGAGAGTTGTCTTATTGGCAATCATACAATATCATCTTATTTTGATTGTTTTAGGAAGTGTTTTGATGGAAGTTTGCTTGCGAGTATTGTCAAAAGGTACCATTGGTAATTTGGATTAGCAATATTTACTTAAATTTATATTACCACACTTTTAATGCCTTCTGTTATAAAATCTATTTACAGTGATTTTCCTACCCTTTTTCAAATGGGGCCTGGGCCCTAGGCAATTGGGAAAATGTGTCATATAACGTCTGAATTGGGAAAAAATAAATCATTGTTTTCATCATAGTTTAATGAGGTTATTTATTAAAATTCCAATTTTCTATCATAACCAAATTTTAACATATCATTTTTTTTTCTTAATGCATTTAATTTAATATATATCATCAAGGTTTTTCATACTAATGATAAAACTTGATTAAATTGGGAATTTTCAGTGTTCATTTGGGAAAAAAATAGGGTTTTTCTAATTGGGAATGGGGCCTATATTCGGACCCAAAATATAAGCAGGAAAATCACTGATTTAGATAGCAGCATGGTGATATTCATCCCTTGGCAAATCCTACCTGGATGAATAAATCATGTAAATGTAAAACACCCAGAACCTATCCGGGTTGGAACATTTTATTATAATATAGAACAATTCTGTCCAGTTTCAGAAGGTGCTTAGTTTATTTTCCTACAAATTCATATGTTCAATTCTTATAAACATTGATAAATTAAAAGAAGAAATGAAAAGGTACTCTGAAACTTTGATACCATGGCCTTGCAGAAATAAAACTTGTTGGTCTCAGACCAATCAAAATGCTAGATAAGGTGTTTTGAGCAAAAATTTTGTACTTCAACGACTGAATATAGTTTTATTACCCCAAAACTATCTGCATTTTATAGAAAATTTCTGTATTTGTCAATATTATCCATTTTCTTTCAAGTTTTAATTCCTACCAATTTTGATTGTAGGTGATTTGGGGCCAGTATATGGATTTCAGTGGAGACATTTTGGTGCAGAGTACAAAGATATGCATGCAGACTATAGTGGACAGGGCGTCGACCAATTAGCAGACGTCATCAACAAGATCAAAACAAACCCTGATGACCGACGAATTATTATGTCCGCATGGAACCCTGTTGGTAAGATTTTGTAGCTGATATGTGTAAATTTAAACATAATATAACACAGGAAGTAATATAAAAAAATCTTTAAAAAAATTTAATACAAAAAATGTGGTAAGATTGCCAGTGAGACAACTATCCAATTAAGTTAAAATGATAGAGTAAGTAATTGTACCGTTCAACATGATTTTGAGTAATGACAGTTTTACTTTTAAATGTTGTGTGCCTTGATTATATTCAAACAAATTCTTTGTGGTTTAATGAGATAAACCAAGCACCATACTTGACAGAAATTTGTTTGTTTTGAACTGTTAATTTATTGGCAACATTTCCGTTGATATTTTTTTCAGATCTAAAGAAGATGGCATTGCCACCTTGCCATGCCTTTGTACAATTCTATGTAGCTAATGGGGAATTATCTTGTCAGTTATACCAAAGATCTGGTGACATGGTAATGTATTGTCAATTCTTATTTTAAAATTCCAATAGGGGTATTTAATACATATTAAAGTATTATTTTTTAAGGCGTTTTGGCCACTGGCCTGCTTCTTCATTATCCTTCTTACCTACATGGTAGACATTTCACTTTCACAATCATGGAAATGTTATACATTTATATCCTTGGTAATGTTGTGACGTCATAATAATTTTTTTTTTTCATGGGTACAGTCTTGATTTTTTAGTTTTCATGAATTCAGTGTGCATGTGTCTAGGAAATTTGAAATTTTTTGACTTTTTAAATTTGTGGAACATCTGAAATCTGCCAAAATTAATTTACACTCTACCAGTTTTAATCACATTTGAAAAATGGCAAAAAATAGATATTTAATAAGCTTGTGAATTCACTTATAGTTTGACTACAGATTGAAATTCATTTTCTAGATGATTACTACTTCCTTGGCTTGAAATAAAACCATGCTATTTTATTTTATTTTCAGGGTTTAGGGGTGCCGTTCAACATTGCCAGTTACTCGCTACTTGTATACATGATCGCTATGGTAACAAATCTGAAGGTTAGTTTAATTACTAGTGGAAAACAAAAATCCAATATCATTAATATTTAATAATAATGAGATGTGGTGTGATTGCCAATGTGACAACTATACACCAGAGTTCAACTGACAAAGATATATCATGCTTGAATCCTCATAAAATAGATAAGAAAGAATATGGGTATCCATCCATGACACAAAATTAGTTCATGCACAGCAAAAAATATAAATAGCAAAGGAAAAGTGCTTTTCTAAAACATAAGAAAATGTAATACTATACAGAGGTTCTACATGCTAAGCAATTTTAGTTTTGCAGTCAAATACAGTCTTCACGATAATCTTCTAAATTTAAAGGCCCCGAACCATAATTTTTGGAAATTTTTAGTTAGATTCTGTTGGCCTGTAGAGATGATTTTTACAAGCCCGAGAGCAATTTTACAAGCCTGGGCTGCTGTGGCCTGTGGTTAAGCCAGAGTTGACTGCAAATAGGCTATTTATTACCAAAGGTCTGACAGAAATAGCATGTATTACAAAATTGCCCATAATTACTTGTATATTCTCTTATGGTTGTGGCCTGTTATCTATTTCTTGCATAAATAGATATTTCTCGTATCACACTGCACTGAGTGTGATACGAAAATCTGTGTTAATTTGATTGGCTTCTCCAGCATCACAAGACGATATTACGGCATTTCCATTGGCTATTCGTTAGGTCATTGATGAATTTGAAAGGTTAAGACGATGTACATTTCGTCCATGGTAACGGACATATGTGATTTCTTCAATAATATACAAAACACTCACACATTTCACCTGACAATCTTCTTTTTGTCAAATTTTTTTACATTCTGAAGCGTACAAAAAGTCTTTCGTTGTCTGATGTTAAAGTTTGACACCAGAAAAGGACATATGACGTCATACTGGAATGTGCAAAAGACTAGATCAACATTTCGCGGAATTTTTAATTTAACACATTGAGAGTGTTGACCATAAGAGAAATAGGTTTCACAACTTGTGAAAATTGGATATCGCTTGATATCAACTCTCGTTATTTAATTTAAATAGTAATAACAAATTCTCCAAAGTTGATCAGGCGAATTATCTTTTTTACCAGTTATTCTTGGTCTTCTCAAAATTCAACAAAGGATTGTCTAGCCACAGCAATCATTTCTCTGACTTACAAATTATTTATTGATCTATAAAATCAAGGAAATTAACCTGCTTTCTCTTAAACCGGTTCAAATTTACATGTTTACCATCAGTATCTGAAAAATTTAAAAATCATGAATTTTAACAGTGAAAGTTAGTGGATACAATATTTATGGTTTTAACTAAATCAAACTAAATTTTAAATTTGGCATGTGAATCAGGATCAAACCATTTTCTTTACCGACCTTTGGATTAATGAACTGCCAGTATTTGACTGTCACACAGCATATTTTCCAATTTGTCCAAAAGTCAACATAGTTTGGCAAGTCTGATATAGGCTGACACACTATCTGGGAATTTATCAACTTGAAAAACAATGTTATAAACAAAGACATTGATGGTGATGGTCAAATCTATATACTTTGGATACATTTATTTTCGTTGGTACCAATTTTCCTTGATTGTGGAAAAAATGTATTTCATTCGGTGTGAGCCAATGCTCCGTGCACGTGTTGAAGGCCATACTTTGACATATAATGGTTTACTTTTACAAATTGTGCCTTGGATGGAGAGTTGTCTCATTGGCACTCATACCACATCTTATTATATCTATTCATGCATTTTTTTCCTTCACTTTTAATGTCTCTTTCAGTGGATTGGAATTATAGAAACGCTTGTTGTTTTTTTGGGGCATTAATTTGATTAAATGTTGTTTGTTTATATCAGTGTTCAGTGGCAAATACTTCATACCTAAAATCAGGACAAGTACAATTTGAACCATAAAGCAATTAGATACATGTAGTTCTATTAGGTAGGCCAGTCAGTAGGAAAGACTAGAGATTTGGACATCACTTGAAAAAGGGCATAATTGATAGGGTCAGAAATATTTGCCATGAAATTGGTCACCTACAGACCCCTCAATCAGTAGTTTCGGAAGTTCTTTTGGATGCAGAGAGGGACGCCATCCTAGCTTGACCTCATTAGGCCAAAAGTGAATTATCTATATAAAATTAAGAAATATTTTCAATTTGTGACTTCTTTTTCTTTACTTTACAGCCAGGAGATTTTGTACATACCATTGGAGATGCCCACGTTTACGTTAATCATTTTCTTTACTTTACAGCCAGGAGATTTTGTACATACCATTGGAGATGCCCACGTTTACGTTAATCTTTTTCTTTACTTTACAGCCAGGAGATTTTGTACATACCATTGGAGATGCCCACGTTTACGTTAATCATTTTCTTTACTTTACAGCCAGGAGATTTTGTACATACCATTGGAGATGCCCACGTTTACGTTAATCATTTTCTTTACTTTACAGCCAGGAGATTTTGTACATACCATTGGAGATGCCCACGTTTACGTTAATCATTTTCTTTACTTTACAGCCAGGAGATTTTGTACATACCATTGGAGATGCCCACGTTTACGTTAATCATTTTCTTTACTTTACAGCCAGGAGATTTTGTACATACCATTGGAGATGCCCACGTTTACGTTAATCATTTTCTTAACTTTACAGCCAGGAGATTTTGTACATACCATTGGAGATGCCCACGTTTACGTTAATGATTTTCTTTACTTTACAGCCGGTAGATTTTGTACATACCATTGGAGATGCCCACGTTTACGTTAATGATTTTCTTTACTTTACAGCCAGGAGATTTTGTACATACCATTGGAGATGCCCACGTTTACGTTAATCATTTTCTTTTCTTTACAGCCAGGAGATTTTGTACATACCATTGGAGATGCCCACGTTTACGTTAATCATTTTCTTTACTTTACAGCCAGAAGATTTTGTACATACCATTGGAGATGCCCACGTTTACGTTAATCATTTTCTTTTCTTTACAGCCAGGAGATTTTGTACATACCATTGGAGATGCCCACGTTTACGTTAATCATTTTCTTTACTTTACAGCCAGAAGATTTTGTACATACCATTGGAGATGCCCACGTTTACAATAATCATTTTCTTTACTTTACAGCCCGGAGATTTTGTACATACCATTGGAGATGCCCACGTTTACGTTAATCATTTTCTTTACTTTACAGCCGGGAGATTTTGTACATACCATTGGAGATGCCCACGTTTAGGTTAATGATTTTCTTTACTTTACAGCCAGGAGATTTTGTACATACCATTGGAGATGCCCACGTTTACGTTAATGATTTTCTTTACTTTACAGCCAGGAGATTTTGTACATACCATTGGAGATGCCCACGTTTACGTTAATGATTTTCTTTACTTTACAGCCAGGAGATTTTGTACATACCATTGGAGATGCCCACGTTTACGTTAATGATTTTCTTTACTTTACAGCCAGGAGATTTTGTACATACCATTGGAGATGCCCACGTTTACGTTAATCATTTTCTTTACTTTACAGCCAGGAGATTTTGTACATACCATTGGAGATGCCCACGTTTACGTTAATCATTTTCTTTACTTTACAGCCAGGAGATTTTGTACATACCATTGGAGATGCCCACGTTTACGTTAATCATTTTCTTTACTTTACAGCCAGGAGATTTTGTACATACCATTGGAGATGCCCACGTTTACGTTAATCATTTTCTTTACTTTACAGCCAGGAGATTTTCTACATACCATTGGAGATGCCCACGTTTACGTTAATCATTTTCTTTACTTTACAGCCAGGAGATTTTGTACATACCATTGGAGATGCCCACGTTTACGTTAATCATTTTCTTTACTTTACAGCCAGGAGATTTTCTACATACCATTGGAGATGCCCACGTTTACGTTAATCATTTTCTTTACTTTACAGCCAGGAGATTTTCTACATACCATTGGAGATGCCCGAGTTTACGTTAATCATTTTCTTTACTTTACAGCCAGGAGATTTTGTACATACCATTGGAGATGCCCACGTTTACGTTAATCATTTTCTTTACTTTACAGCCAGGAGATTTTGTACATACCATTGGAGATGCCCACGTTTACGTTAATCATTTTCTTTACTTTACAGCCAGGAGATTTTGTACATACCATTGGAGATGCCCACGTTTACGTTAATCATTTTCTTTACTTTACAGCCAGGAGATTTTGTACATACCATTGGAGATGCCCACGTTTACGTTAATCATTTTCTTTACTTTACAGCCAGGAGATTTTGTACATACCATTGGAGATGCCCACGTTTACGTTAATCATTTTCTTTACTTTACAGCCAGGAGATTTTGTACATACCATTGGAGATGCCCACGTTTACGTTAATCATTTTCTTTACTTTACAGCCAGGAGATTTTGTACATACCATTGGAGATGCCCACGTTTACGTTAATCATTTTCTTTACTTTACAGCCAGGAGATTTTGTACATACCATTGGAGATGCCCACGTTTACGTTAATCATTTTCTTTACTTTACAGCCAGGAGATTTTGTACATACCATTGGAGATGCCCACGTTTACGTTAATCATTTTCTTTACTTTACAGCCAGGAGATTTTGTACATACCATTGGAGATGCCCACGTTTACGTTAATCATTTTCTTTACTTTACAGCCAGGAGATTTTGTACATACCATTGGAGATGCCCACGTTGACGTTAATCATTTTCTTTACTTTACAGCCAGGAGATTTTGTACATACCATTGGAGATGCCCACGTTGACGTTAATCATTTTCTTTACTTTACAGCCAGGAGATTTTGTACATACCATTGGAGATGCCCACGTTGACGTTAATCATTTTCTTTACTTTACAGCCAGGAGATTTTGTACATACCATTGGAGATGCCCACGTTGACGTTAATCATTTTCTTTACTTTACAGCCCGGAGATTTTGTACATACCATTGGAGATGCCCACGTTGACGTTAATCATTTTCTTTACTTTACAGCCCGGAGATTTTGTACATACCATTGGAGATGCCCACGTTGACGTTAATCATTTTCTTTACTTTACAGCCAGGAGATTTTGTACATACCATTGGAGATGCCCACGTTGACGTTAATCATTTTCTTTACTTTACAGCCAGGAGATTTTGTACATACCATTGGAGATGCCCACGTTGACGTTAATCATTTTCTTTACTTTACAGCCAGGAGATTTTGTACATACCATTGGAGATGCCCACGTTGACGTTAATCATTTTCTTTACTTTACAGCCAGGAGATTTTGTACATACCATTGGAGATGCCCACGTTGACGTTAATCATTTTCTTTACTTTACAGCCAGGAGATTTTGTACATACCATTGGAGATGCCCACGTTGACGTTAATCATTTTCTTTACTTTACAGCCAGGAGATTTTGTACATACCATTGGAGATGCCCACGTTGACGTTAATCATTTTCTTTACTTTACAGCCAGGAGATTTTGTACATACCATTGGAGATGCCCACGTTGACGTTAATCATTTTCTTTACTTTACAGCCAGGAGATTTTGTACATACCATTGGAGATGCCCACGTTGACGTTAATCATTTTCTTTACTTTACAGCCAGGAGATTTTGTACATACCATTGGAGATGCCCACGTTGACGTTAATCATTTTCTTTACTTTACAGCCAGGAGATTTTGTACATACCATTGGAGATGCCCACGTTTACGTTAATCATTTTCTTTACTTTACAGCCAGGAGATTTTGTACATACCATTGGAGATGCCCACGTTTACGTTAATCATTTTCTTTACTTTACAGCCAGGAGATTTTGTACATACCATTGGAGATGCCCACGTTGACGTTAATCATTTTCTTTACTTTACAGCCAGGAGATTTTGTACATACCATTGGAGATGCCCACGTTGACGTTAATCATTTTCTTTACTTTACAGCCAGGAGATTTTGTACATACCATTGGAGATGCCCACGTTGACGTTAATCATTTTCTTTACTTTACAGCCAGGAGATTTTGTACATACCATTGGAGATGCCCACGTTGACGTTAATCATTTTCTTTACTTTACAGCCAGGAGATTTTGTACATACCATTGGAGATGCCCACGTTGACGTTAATCATTTTCTTTACTTTACAGCCAGGAGATTTTGTACATACCATTGGAGATGCCCACGTTGACGTTAATCATTTTCTTTACTTTACAGCCAGGAGATTTTGTACATACCATTGGAGATGCCCACGTTGACGTTAATCATTTTCTTTACTTTACAGCCAGGAGATTTTGTACATACCATTGGAGATGCCCACGTTGACGTTAATCATTTTCTTTACTTTACAGCCAGGAGATTTTGTACATACCATTGGAGATGCCCACGTTGACGTTAATCATTTTCTTTACTTTACAGCCAGGAGATTTTGTACATACCATTGGAGATGCCCACGTTGACGTTAATCATTTTCTTTACTTTACAGCCAGGAGATTTTGTACATACCATTGGAGATGCCCACGTTGACGTTAATCATTTTCTTTACTTTACAGCCAGGAGATTTTGTACATACCATTGGAGATGCCCACGTTTACGTTAATCATTTTCTTTACTTTACAGCCAGGAGATTTTGTACATACCATTGGAGATGCCCACGTTTACGTTAATCATTTTCTTTACTTTACAGCCAGGAGATTTTGTACATACCATTGGAGATGCCCACGTTTACGTTAATCATTTTCTTTACTTTACAGCCAGGAGATTTTGTACATACCATTGGAGATGCCCACGCTTACGTTAATCATTTTCTTTACTTTACAGCCAGGAGATTTTGTACATACCATTGGAGATGCCCACGCTTACGTTAATCATTTTCTTTACTTTACAGCCAGGAGATTTTGTACATACCATTGGAGATGCCCACGTTTACGTTAATCATTTTCTTTACTTTACAGCCAGGAGATTTTGTACATACCATTGGAGATGCCCACGTTTACGTTAATCATTTTCTTTACTTTACAGCCAGGAGATTTTGTACATACCATTGGAGATGCCCACGTTTACGTTAATCATTTAGATCCTTTAAAGGAACAGGTAAAAGTAGTTTTATACAAATACAGTTAACAACAACATATGGCAACAATATATGCAAATTTAGAGGTTACCCCAAAATATCAACAAGCATAATCACATTAAAGCCTCTAAAAGTGTCTTTAATTAATGGCGAGGTAATCTTCAAGATGCTCTCTGTACACAAATGCTATGTTAAAGAACAGTATGTCGTTTTAATGTAAATTCAGAAATTATTGCTTGAGTTTATTATTGCGATTTCAAAAAATCTGCGTACCCGTCTATATTTCAGTTATTCTTATTATTGTGATACTCACCAAATACCTTTATTGGCATTAATAAAAACCTTCACAATAATTTCTGAATCTACAGTAATCTTTGAAAACTAAAACACTTTCATGCACTTGACATAAACTATAAAGGAGCTTGTCCTTTTATGTCTGCATCTTTGATTAGTTGAAAGTTTCAGCACAAAAACTGTCCAACAGATATTTTGACAACAATATTCCACTTTTCTATCAATGTGTAATCAGGTAATGTCAATTTACACCAGAAACGTTCGATCCACTCGAGTTTTTTCATCTTCAATATAAACAGCGTAGTAAAAAATGATACCTAAAATTATACAGTGGATTTTTTTCTCTCAAATGGGAGAGAGGGAGGAGATCCCTGAAAACAGGATTATTTTACTCTCGTCCGGAGGTTCACATGTATGAAACATAATAGATTTTGTTATTTATTGCAGCTGAAAAGAGTGCCGAGAGAGTTTCCAAAACTTGTCATCAAAAGGGAAGTTACAGACATTGACGATTTTAAATATGAAGATTTTGAAATTGTTGGTTATAATCCTCATCCAAAGATTGCTATGGAGATGGCTGTGTGATGTCGGGTTGTCATGGAGATGGAGTTGTTATTGTTTATTAGTTGCCATGGGAATGCCAATGCTTTCAATTGATCAATTGATCAGTGTAGAATCTAAAATAATTCAGAAGGTCCTTTATTTAATAACATTGAAAAGTGCTTAAATCTTTTATTGATTAAAACATCAAAGTAGGCATGATATTGTAATGTTTTGAAGGGCCATCTTGAAACGTTCTTCACCATATATGATGGTTTATATGTCAGAAGCACTTCTTTATAAAAAAAATTATACTAGAAAACCAAATAATGTGCTCTCTCAAGTTTATGCATAGTTTTGTGTTCTCTCAAGATTATGCATAGTTTTGTGTTATCTCAAGATTATGCATAGTTTTGTGTTATCTCAAGATTGATTAGTTTTGTGTTCTCTCAAGATTATGCATAGTTTTGTGTTCTCTCACGGTTATGCAGTTTTGTGTTCTCTCAAGATTATGCAGTTTTGTGTTCTCTCAAGATTATGCAGTTTTGTGTTCTCTCAAGATTATGCATAGTTTTGTGTTCTCTCAAGATTATGCATAGTTTTGTGTTCTCTCAAGATTATGCAGTTTTGTGTTCTCTCAAGATTATGCATAGTTTTGTGTTCTCTCAAGATTATGCATAGTTTTGTGTTCTCTCAAGATTGATTAGTTTTGTGTTCTCTAAAGATTATGCATAGTTTTGTGTTCTCTCAAGAAGAGATCCAATTAATTTGTCAATCTCATTCATTATGTATGTACATTGAAAGAAAAGATGATTTGAATACTATGATAGATATTATACTCGCATTTTTGTGTGAATTATTTGAAGCTCTCTTATGCTCAATTATACTGTTGCCCAGTATGTATACACTTTTTGACTTCAATATAATTTTTTTTTTAAGAATCTTATAATTTCAATAATACTAGACCACTTTATAAAACATTTTGAATTAATCAGAAATATTTTTTTTTTATCTATGTAATTATTTAAGCCCAGTTGTGTTCAATTATATTGATGTTCATGCCAACATGTGTTCAAAAATACTTAACTTATGCAATATAACTTAATCCAACATGTGTTCCAATATTATGATATTATTTTTCTATGTATATATTCAAGTAAATATGTTTTCAAATATACTCTACTTGCACAAATTTCTTAACCCCATATGTGTTCAAATATACTGAAAAAATTGATCTTTGCAATTTCTTTATAAACCCACATGTTTTAAAATGTAACTATCCTGCTCTGATGGAGGCTACACTACTCTTTCTCTAACTGTTCATATATCTGTCCCATGAAATATTTATCACATTTTTCTCAAAAACTACAAATTGGAGCTTCATGTGAACATTCGGGCCTTGGTGGGTGAGTGGTCTAAGTAGTTCAACTACGGTACTGTATCACTAGCCTCTCAACACCAACACTGAGGTTGTGAGTTGAATCCCACACATGGCAGGTGCACTTGACTCCAATCTTAATTGAGAAGTATTGCCAGATTTCCTACTGAAGGTCATAGTTCTCTCTGGGCACTCAGGCTTCGTCCACCAAACAGCTGCCAGGAAATAGCCAGTAGTAATGAAAGTGACATTAAAAACCAACAATCAACCAATCATGTGAACATGCCATACTGTGTGATATTTTTTCACATCAATCTCTCATCAACTTCCTGTTTTCAGAAAACTTTAAAGTAACATTAATAATCACTAGCTCTCAGTACATCTTGGTATCATATTCTATGCAATTACTGATTCAAAATTGTTCTGATTTATTGTCCCCTGCGAACACGTTGCGGGGGACATAGAAATTCCAGGCTTCTGTCCGTCCGGTCTTGTTAGCGCTCTGACATGTACAGTTCTTGCCAGATTTTTAGGTTTAAATCATCAATGTCTCAGACAAATTTGAAAATCAGTGCCGATAAATTATTTTTGAAAGAGTTATGTCCCTTGGAAATATTGATTATATGGAAAATTGCATTGTTAGTGCTCTCATGTGTAAAATTCTTGCCAGAATTTTATGAAACTTATATCATAGGTTTATATCAGCAATGTCTTTAACACTTTCGAAAATAAGTGCTGATCAAATATTTTTAACTAGTTATGCTCTTTGGAAAAATTAATTATAATGGAAATTGCATTGCATTTGCACTGAAGCCTTCATTTCTCTAAGATATTTATAAATTGTTTAAAAAAAAAAAAAGTGTTTTTTTTTTTTAGTTATTTCCCTTGGATTGATTAAATATGGTTTAACGCGGTGGACATGGGCACTCTTTTCTTTTATTTATCCTTATTTAACCATCCATACATATAATTTTGGAATAGACATTAGACTAATGCATGTTCTGATTTATTTATACATTTCTTCCATTGTCTAACAAATGTGTTCCAATATACTGAAATTCTTGTATTCAAATATATGACGATGATGGGTGTGTTTAACCACCTTGACAGGCTATATTAGCCTTCGCACAGTCAGTGATCAAATATACTGCTACATTATAAAGTTATTTATAATGATATCAAAGCTTGTATGTGGAAAAAATGTGGATTTAAGGACATTCTTATAAACTATACCACTTGTGTTCAGCTATTATGATATAAATATATTAAATTTATGCAAATACTAAACTTGTGTGTTATAAATTTTAGATAACTTTCACTTATGCAGTTATTTAAGCCAGCATCTGTTCAAATATTTCATCTTTGCATCAACTTAGTAATACTTCTGTTCAAATACATGTAAACAGGAAATCATTATGTTTACAATTACTTAAGCCAACATGATATGAAATATACCTATAACTTTGCTATGCAATTGTTCAGTCTATTATTTGTATATTGATAAAATTATGTATGTATTTTTTTATACCAACTTGTGTTCAGCCTGAATGGCAGCTATTATTTTCATTGTATTATCCTTGTGCCATAATTATGTACAGAACTTAATTATGTAGATCTGAAGTTATAAATTCATTTCATATTAAGTAAAAAATTATGTTAATATTCTCTTTTTCCATTTTTAAAGGCAGTGCTTTAATGCCTTTCTAGTTGCCGTGTTAATCTTTCTTTCCGCGATATCCAACTTATCTACGTGGGGGGTCATTAGGCTCCAAGTAGATCCGGAAATTGTTGATTCTCTCCTCTTCTTATTGTGATATAAAATGTTTTTTGTTTCATTTCATTTACATTGGGAAATAGAGAAACGATCATTGTGTTTTGTTAGTTTTATAAACTTTTGATATATTTGTATTTTACATTATAAGCAGTCAACCGATTGACAAACTAGAATTATTTGAATTCCGTGTGGAAAGAGGTCGGGTTAATTTCGAGTGTTATCTGCAATCTAGATGTTTATAAATCATTTCAGTCGTTGATATAATAATTAAAGGTCGACTGAACATGAATTATATTATACAATTTAAAGCACATTTCTGTGTATGCACGCGAACCCGTCTAACGTAATTGTTATTTCGCGGTTATATAAAGTAGCAAATTATCGTTCCTGAATAGGTGGCGCCGTGGTAGCCGATCCTGTTCTTCAACTTCCGGTTTCTGCACTGTGCAACTATTACAGTTGCAATTTTGATTAACGATGTAATCATATCATGGACACCAGGACATGCCAATATAGCTGGCAATGACGAGGCTGACATCCTTGCAAAAACAGCAGCACAGGAAGCAAAAGAACTACCACCGGAAAATAACGTCATAACACTACAGGACGTCAAACAGGCAGCCTATAAAAGTACAGGAGAAAAATGGCAGAGAAGATGGGAAATATCTGAGAGAGGCAGGGACCTTTACGAAAAAATACCAACTACGAAACACTCAATTATGTATGATTTTCCCACTAAAAGACATTTCAGTATATTCGTCCAACTAAGAACTGGCTATACAGAACTCAACTACTACAAGAACCGAGTAGGCCAAACCAACGGCATAGAATCATGCAACTGTGGAGCACCTGAAACACCTCACCATTTCCTTCTGGAGTGTCCCTGCTATGAGAACGAACGAGCAGATATGTTACAACAAATATCCAAAGAGGTCGGGATCAGAAACCTGAATTTAGCTACTATGCTAACGAGACTAGACGGTGAGAACACCGAAGAGACAAAAGCCAAACTACAAACAGTGGCACATTACATTGACAGAACAGGCAGATTTGATACTGCTGTTCCTCAATCCCAATCTTAACCAGCACATACTAATTTAAAGCACAGAGAAGAAAATACGCCGAGAAAAACGCACCAAAGAGAAAACCTGCACATTGGGAAAATTCGTGCCAACAGGCCTTAAGATTGAGGATTGAGGAACGATGCCAAGTACATGTTGTTGTGTACCTGGATGTCATTTAAGAGGAGGACATGCATTTCCAAATGACTTAAAAAGAAGAGAAAGTTGGATCAACGCCATGGCCCATACGCAGATTGGACGAGAATACGATGAAATCGTGGAGTCCATCTCAATCAGCTGTTGTTTGCAAGGCACATTTTACTGAAAAAGACTACGTGCAGGAAACTATTCATGGTAAAACTCTATTTTCTTTTTAAAATATATAGTTATATATGTAATTGCCATGCGAATAAACCAAAGTTTGTTTACAACCGTAATTATCGTTTTAGAATAAAAGGGGGTGGTTAATTCAAGACGTCATAATTTTTTGGATTACGATTCAATGTGATCTGTTTGAGATTTTTTGGTGCTTGCTACAATTATAATGATTTCTTACAAGAGGTATATCATACTGAGAATTATTTTAGCAGTAATTATGCTAATGTAGTAATGACAGGAATGCATAAGCTATGCCTCATAGACTTTCTTGAAAAATATCAATGACAATGTTAACATGAACAAAACAATGACATGCTCTCATCTATATTATAGTTATTTAGGTACAAACAATGTATGTTTGTTGCATACGTCTCTCATTGTTTGTCCTCATTAGAGCTTATGTTTGTATGTTTGTCAATATGCCGAATCAAAATAAAGTTTTACTTACTTACTTACTTACTTTGGATTTACATAACATACATTTTGATGTACATTGATTCAGGCTAACATAGTTTTATCCAGATTGTAATGAATAAATCTAGTTAATATTTTGCCAGGTAGTACAAAGTATGCATTGCTAATGGAAGTTCATTTAATTATCAAAAAACTAATGTTTTATAACCTTTTTCAGGGTGCAAACCCACCATACAGAGACTAAGGTCTACTGCCATTCCCAGCCTATTTTCCTGGATTAAGCAAGAGACTGAATCGTCCGCAAAAAGAAAAATCAGGGCAGTTTCCTGTGAAAACAAAAGAACTAAACTTGATGAATATTGTAGTAGAAATCTAGAGGAAAGTTTTGATTGTAAAGTTGGTTTTCCTGAAGAAGTCATTCATACTGCAGACAGGATTTATGACTGTCCACCACCAACTGCCGAGCTAATGTTGAGCTTCACAGATGGAATTACGCAAACACCATCAATGCCTATATTTTCAGCAGAGAATTTTGAAATGAAGACACGTGACACAGCCATGCATTTTTATACCGGTTTAGAGTTGTATACTAAATTTTTATTTGTTTTCACCACACTTGGTCCAGCAGCACATTGTTTGAGATACATATATTTTCAAATTGATAGGGTGTCATTTGAAAATCAGTTTTTTTATGACTTTGATGAAATTGAGGCATTATACAACCAACTTTGAACTGTCTAGATTCTAGATTGAAACTAGTGTTAAGAATATTGTGTAAACATGGATTGTTTTTATGTCTAAACAGTGGTGTGAGGCTAACACTTGGCCATTAAGTGGTTTAGTCAGGTATTTTTCGCCATCCAACTTCAAATTAAAGTTTCCTACAACTTGGATTATTATTGACAGCACAGAATATCCCGTGATAAAACCTAAAGCTCCTAGAGCTCAGGCAACCTTTTCATCATATAAAAACAGAAACACTGAAAATACTTGTATGTTCGACACTGGTGGTTTAGTCAACTATGTCTCTAATGCATATGTTGGTTGTACCAGTGACTGTGAAATAGTTGAAAGATGTAGAATAGTTCAATTATGTGATCCAGGTGACAGTGTGATGGCAGGCAAAGGTTTAAATGTGCAAGATTTGTTTGCTCACTTTTTTCAAAAAAAGAAACAGAATTAGTTCCAAAACTCTTATACGGGATAGAAAAGTCTCCAATTAACATGTGCACATAGAGCTAATTATTGGACTTGGCAAAACATACAAAATTCTAATAAATCCTATGAATGGAACTGAAACAAAACTTTCATCTGAAATAACATTTAGTTGTTTTATGTTGTGTAATTTTAGAATTTTTATTGTGCCAAAGGATGCATAAATAAAAGTGACACAATGAAGTTTGTTCTGATATATATATATAAATATTATTTACAATTACATGCACATGTAAATTGTAATGCATATAAAAATAAGGAGATGTGGTATGATATTCAGTGAGTTTATCGAACCAAAGTGCATAAGAAATGGGTTAAGCAGTTACAGGTGTTACTGTCACCGTACAATCTCCAACAATTAGAAAAACTTGTACCGTGTAAACAATTTCAGAGATCTTACAACTAAGTTTGACTTTGGTGAATTGTTTATATCTGTTGATGTAAATATAAAAAAGAAGATGTGGTATGATTGCCAATGAGACAACTCTCCACTAGAGACCAAATGACACAGAAATTAACAGCTATAGGTCACAGTACGGCCTTCAACATTGAGCAAAGCACATACCGCACAGTGAGCTATAAAAGGCCCCGAAATGACAATGTAAAACAATTCAAACAAGAAAACTAACGGCCTAATTTATGTACAAAAAATGAACGAATAACAAATATGCAACACATCAACAAACGACAACCACTGAATTACAGGCTCCTGACTTGGGACAGGCACATACGTGTACATACAGAATGTGGCGGGGGTTAAACATGTTAGCGGGATCCCAACCCACCCCCTAACCTGGGACAGTGGTGTAACAGTACAATATAAGAACGAACTATAAAAAATCAGTTGAAAGAGGCTTAACTCATCAGATGGATAAATACAAATACAAGTGGACGTGGCCGGGTAGTTGTACATCCAAACAACAAAAAGACACTAAGTACAGATCTGAGAGTACTCGCATTTACTGACAGCTAGTTCAAAGCCACTAACAACTGATAAAAAAATCTTGCATCTTAGACTAAATTATCAATCCGTAAGCTCCCTTTAGAATTTTATAAATTTTAGATTTTACATTTCTGAGTTATGGGGTTTTATTCATTAAAAAAGGGGGGATTTTCCAGTTTTGGACAACAACTCAAAAATGCTTTAAGCAGTTCGCATGAAACTTTGGTGAATTATTTATAGCTATTGATGTAATCTCCCTATTGATTTTCCTAAATTTCAAATATGACATTGAGAAGAAATTGAACTTTATTTGTTTATAGTCTGGCAACAGATTTATTAAGTATTGCGCAACAGCAAGAAATCTTTAATTGAATATAAATTCAATTCATATAACCAATTTCAAGTTCTTTGACTACATTTATTCAGAAACTATAATATGTGAAATATTTAATTACAACCAAATTCAGACTTGTATCAAGCTTGAATATTGTGTCCATTTTTGCCCAAACTGTTCAGGGTTGGACCTCTGCAGGTGTATCCAGCTGCGCTCAGCGAATCAGTTTATTTCTTAATTAAGAACTCCTTTTTGTTGAGCCTGTGACTTTTCACGCAGAAAGCTCGACATAGGGATAGTGATCCGGCGGCGGCGTTAGCTAACTTCTTAAAAGCTTTATATTTTAGAAGGTGGAAGGTCTGGATGCTTCATACTTTGTATATGGATGCCTCATGTTACGAAGTTTCAGTCAGTCACATGTCCAATGTCCTTGACCTCATTTTCATGCTTCAGTGACTACTTGAAAAAAAAGTTGAGATTTTTTGTAATGTTAAATTCTCTCTTATTATAAGTAATAGGATAACTATATTTGGTATGTGCGTACCTAGCAAGGTCCTCATGCCCGTCAGACAGTTTTCACTTGACCTCGACCTCATTTCATGGATCAGTGAACAAGTTTAAGTTTTGGTGGTCAAGTCCATATCTCAGATACTATAAGCAATAGGTCTAGTATATTCGGTGTATGGAAGGACTGTCCAACTGGCAGGTGTTATCTGACCTTGACCTCATTTTCATGGTTCAGTGGTTATAGTTAAGTTTTTGTGTTTTGGTCTGTTTTTCTTATACTGTATGCAATAGGTCTACTATATTTGGTGTATGGAATGATTGTAAGGTGTACATGTCTAACTGGCAGGTGTCATCTGACTTGACCTCATTTTCATGGTTCAGTGGTCAAAGTTAAGTTTTTGAGTTTTGGTCTTTTTTTCTAATACTATATGCAATAGTTCAATTATATTTGGTGTATGGAAATATTTTATGATCTATTTGTCAGTCACACAGGTTTTTTTTTACCTTGACCTCATTTTCAAGGTTCATTGCTCAGTTTTAAGTTTTTGTGTTTTGGTCTGTTTTTCTTAAACTATAAGCAATAGGTCAACTATATTTGTTGTATGGAAGAATTGTTAGCTGTACATGCCTGCCTAGCATGGTTCATCTGACCTTGACATCATTTTCTTGGTTCATTGGTCAATGTTTAGTTTACTTGGTTAATGCTAAGTTTATGTGACAGTTGTAATGAAGCTTTATATTTAGGACTATCAACATAATATCAATGATTAGTAAAGATGGCGAGACATTTCAGCGTGTGCACTCTTGTTTCATTCATAAATTACTTTATACTTGGAAATATAATTTTGCTTGGAGTTTCTCAAAAAAGTATTGTCATTGAAAGAGTTGACATGTTGCAATGTACATTTATTCTACATAGTTCTATGGTACCAAATCAAAAGTTTATATAAAAGAAAGAAGTCAAAGGTTTCCCATCATAGTTTAGTTACATACTTTTTTTTTGTACCTGAGGTCGTTGAATATAGATCATTTTATATAAATAAGGAGATGTGTTATGATTGCCAATGAAACAACTATCATCCATACATTGTACCTACCAGTAACAAACCACATTTGCGAAGTTGAATAAAACACAGTTGATAACATTTACTTATTACTAAAAAGAAAATGCCAAACTATTTTAAACAGTATTTGACTATAAACATAGATAAAAAAAGGTACAAAGTGGACATAATGCACTAGTTCATAAACAAGTGAGAACAATCGCCTTCATATAGTGCTCAGAATATGACATTCATAAAAACTTGTTCAATATCATTAGAGAACTCTAAATCTTAAATACTGAAAGCCACCTCTGATAAGTACAATGTACTATGCAAGATAATGATATAACTGGACTAAAAATACACACAACCTGTAATTAACTGCCTTTACAGCGCTTTCGCGCTTTGATTATACACTGCCTACCAGTTTTTGGTTGGTTTCGTGTTTGTCTTTAGATTTCTATACCAGTGGTTTGTTGTCACGACATGTTTGTGTATTTTATATCTGACTAGGCTATATAGGTTTTGCTCATTGTTGAACACAGTAACATGGTTTTTAATTGCTTACATCCACATCATTTGTACTCTGGTAAAAGGTTGTCACATTGGCAGTCATACCACGTCTCCTTATTAGCTCACCTGGCCCTTGGGCGTCCGTCGTTAACTTTTACAAAAATCTTCTCCTCTGAAACTACTGGGCCAAATTTAACCAAACTTGGCCACAATCATTATTGGGGTATCTAGTTTAAGAATTTGTCCGATGACCTGGCCCGCCAAACAAAATGGCCGCCATGGCTAGAAATAGAACATACGGGGAAAATGTAGATTATGGCTTATATCTCTGAAACCAAAGCATTTAGAGCAAATCTAACGGGGTAAAATTGTTCATAAGGTCAAGATCTATCTGCCCTGCAATTTTCAGACGAATCAGAAAACCTGTTGTTGGGTTGCTGCCCCTGAATTGGAAATTTTGCAGTTTTTGTCGAGCCTGCGACTTTTGTCGCAGAAAGCTCGACATAGGGATAGTGATCCGGCGGCGGCGGCGTTAGCTAACTTCTTAAAAGCTTTATATTTTAGAAGGTAGAAGACCTGGATGCTTCATACTTTGTATATGGATGCCTCATGCTACGAAGTTTCCGTCAGTCACATGTCCAATGTCCTTGACCTCATTTTCATGGTTCAGTGACATTTTTTGTAATGTTAAATTCTCTCTTATTATAAGTAGTAGGATAACTATATTTGGTATGTGCGTACCTTGCAAGGTCCTCATGCCCGTCAAACAGTTTTCACTTGACCTCGACCTCATTTCATGGATCAGTGAACAAGGTTAAGTTTTGGTGGTCAAGTCCATATCTCAGATACTATAAGCAATAGGTCTAGTATATTTGGTGTATGGAAGGACTGTAAGGTGTACATGTCCAACTGGCAGGTGTCATCTGACCTTGACCTCATTTTCATGGTTCAGTGGTTATAGTTAAGTTTTTGTGATTTGGTCTGTTTTTCTTATACTGTATGCAATAGGTCTACTATATTTGGTGTATGGAATGATTGTAAGGTGTACATGTCTAGCTGGCAGGTGTCATCTGACCTTGACCTCGTTTTCATGGTTCAGTGGTCAAAGTTAAGTTTTTGAGTTTTGGTCTTTTTTTCTAATACTATATGCAATAGGTCAACTATATTTGGTGTATGGAAATAGTTTATGATCTACATGTCAGTCGCGCAGGTTTTATATGACCTTGACCTCATTTTCACGGTTCATTGCTCAGTGTTAAGTTTTTGTGTTTTGGTCTGTTTTTCTTAAACTATAAGCAATAGGTCAACTATATTTGTTATATGGAAGAATTGTTAACTGTACATGTCTGCCTGGCATGGTTCATCTGACCTTGACCTCAATTTCATGGTTCATTGGTCAATGTTTAGTTTTCTTGGTTAATGTTAAGTTTATGTGACAGTTGTAATAAAGCTTTATATTTAGGACTATCAACATATCAATGATTAGTAGCGAAGGCGAGCCATTTCAGCGTGTGCACTCTTGTTGGTTATTATCGTGAACATTATTATAGATAGAGATAAACTGTAAACAGCAATAATGTTCAGCAAAGTAAGATCTACATATAAGTCAACATGACCAAAATGGTCAATTGACCCCTTAAGGAGTTATTGCCCTTTATATTCAATTTTTAACAAACTTTTGTAATCTTTTACAAAAATCTTCTCTGAAACTACTGAGACAAATTTAACCAAACTTGGCCACAATCATCATTAGGGTATGTAGTTTAAAAATGTGTCTGATGACCCCGCCTGCCAACCAAGATGGCAGCCATGGCTAAAATAGGACATATGGGGTAATATGCAA